AGCGCTGCTGCAATGAAGTCATTCAAATTCTCCCTGTTTGGCTGGCAGAGTGCTTGCTCGGGAGAAGGGGAGGGGGCGACAAAGAACAAACTGTCCCAAAGGAAACTGCCCACAAGGACAGCCGTTAGAAGAAACAAGCCAGAGACATTTGCAAAGAAAACACACACACACACACACACACACACACACCTGTGTTGCATAAGGATTCAAGTCTTGAAGGGTGTTAACAGTAACTGATTTCAACACTTCCTTAAGGCCTGATCTTTCCTCTATTAGCTCTTCTGAAGTGGTGGTTTCTCTGGGAAATGGTTCCAAACACTCTGAGATATTCCATCGCCCACAAATGGGCCCTCTTTCTTTGAACATGGGAGTGACAGTCCTCTGATGGAGATTGCGGAATGGCAGTATCCCAAGGTTTTAGGGCTCTGAGGCAAACTTTTCATAACTTACAATGCCTGGGAATGAATCCAGGACCTTGTCCATGCAAACCTCATGTTCTTCCACTGAGCTAAAAACAACAACAACCAAAGACAAGTGTGGAGCCTCATCCATGGCATTAAGGACGCACCAGAATTATGTAAAAGTTTCAATTCAGATTCAGTTCAGATTTCATATGGACTCCTAGAGACAGCTTAAGAGTCCAGTCCAGAATGAATCTGCACCAGAACTTCCGGGGTGGTGCCATCGGCAATGGCGGATTCCCTCTGAACTGGAGGGGCCAGCTCCACGGGAATCGGGTCTTTTCCGCTACGGCGAAGCGGGGACCCATTCAAAAATCACAGGCGGATGAAGCCTGTGACCATGGGACTCGGCGGGCACCCTTAGCGCCCCCCCAACCCGCAAAAGAACCCATCAACGGGCTCCGGAGCGAAGAGGGGGAAGTGGCGCGGTGCTGAGAGTCAACTGCTTCTTCCATGGAGTGAAGCCGCACAGCCGTTGCTGGAGAGCGCTGCCTTTTTTCCTGGGACAATCTGGCTTCTAAAATAATCACCCGTGAGTACCTAAACTCGGACAATTGGACTCTAAATAAGGACTTGTGAGCAGAAAGGAAAATTGGACTTAAAAGTTTACCTTAATTTGGCGCTGAAACGGGAAGGTCTAAACAGGAAGTCAGCCTTCCGTTTCTTTGTAGATAGATTAAAGCAAAGACATGGCAAACTAGAGCTCAGAAAATCGCCTGTAAAAGATTAACTTTCATCATTTAAAATTGTTGAACCCCCTTCGGAAGCAGGAGAAGAGGGGGGATTTTTTTGGACTGTTTAAACCTGCAGAAGTGAGGGTAAAGTAAAGTAACTTTCCACCGTCTTGATCCTGGAGCGGGGTGTTAGGACTGACATTTTTTGAAGCTCATTGACCAGAGACAACGTTTTTGACAGATAGCTATAAGAAGAGAAACTTTGACTCCATTGTTCCCCTTCGCTTCTTAAAGGAACAAATATTGACAAAATATCTGAAAAAGGAAACTTTGTCGCTAGACTTGTCTTTAAAAGAAAGAACAAATAGAAGTTTTCCCCCTAGAGGAAGCTGGCAGCTGTTACAGATTACAATCGTGGGAATAGACATCTGACCTTGTAGGACAATGTATTCAGAAGCTCTGTTGTGTGCTTTCTATAAAACAAATGCCCTATTGGAACAGCTACATGAGAAGACGAATTTGATGGCTGATTCGATTAGAAATTTTGAACAGGCAGTGGAAATTTTGAACAGGCAGTGGGAAAATATGTGGAGCCCACCCAGGAATTAAATCAGGAGTGTGCCTTGACAGAACAGGCCCAACAGGAACATGAGCTTTGGATTTGACAAATGAACTTGGAAAAAGCCAGATTTGGAAAGAAAAAGTTTGGTTTGGTTTGGAAATGGGGGCTGGATAGACCCCTATGCAGGGATGTTTGGACTTTCCAAGTCTGGCAATGGGCCGTGAGATGTCTGGGATTGTGGGGGCTCTTAATTTTGGAGGGATTCTGAAACACGTTTTTAAATACCACATGGAGTTTAGTTTGGACTATGGAAAAGGGGCTGATCTGTTGAAAAGGGTCAAAAACATTGTTAAGCTGGAGTTCCCACGAGTGAAACGAGCAGGAGACAAGGGAAAATACAGTTACAAATATGAAGAAGAGCTGCGGAAGGGACATGGAAGAGACTTAAGGGCCTCGGATATAAGGTTACCAGGTTAATGCGCTAGATCGATGGGAAAATAAGGACTGACAAAACCCGGGACCAGGAGGAAGGGACGCTGGATGAAGATTGGATTGTTTCTATTTCTTTTTCTACTACTAGGATTGTTTTATAAAATTGATGAATGTTAGAAAAATGTTGGAATGAAATCACTTGGCTTTAGTAAAAATGTTTAAAGAATTATGTAAGAATATTATGGTTATGAGAAGTTGGTAAAAATAAGATTTAAGTTTTAAGTTTCAAGGTTTTTATAGTAAGATAAGATTAAAATAGTTTAAGGTAATGTAATGACAGAATTTTATGAAATATGGAAAGGATTTGCTGCAACAATTAACAACTAGGATACAAAAAAAGGGAGGAGGAGGAGGTCAAAGAAAGAAGGTAATGACAGTTGAGGATTTGAGAATAATGGATTTGTTTTTAAAAGTTTGTGGTGTATTTTTGTTTTTTTTAATTTGTATTGTTGGATGTGGTTTGTGTTTTTCTTTGTTCTTTCCTTTTCTTTGTTCTTTCTTTGTTTTTTTTCTACTTTGTTTTCTTTTGTAACTCTAAATTTTTTTCCCAATAAATATCATTTTAAAAAAAACACAGAATGAATCTGCACCAATCAGAAGCTGTGCCTTGGTTTTCTTTTTTTAAAAAAATAATATTTATTACTTTTCCAAAAAATTTAAACACTAAAAAAAGAAAAAAACACATACAATACAAAACATTAAACTAACAAAACAAAACAACAACAATAAAATAAATCAAACAATTTCATTATCCCATCTTTCGTTCACTTGTTTCCAGGACCTCCTCACACCTCCCTTTTTGTATTCCACTTCTGTTAATTGTTTCAGCAATTCCTTTCCATCTTCCTCTGTTTTCTATCCTATAATTATCTTAACACATTCTAACCTTATTTTTCCCTTTAATACTCTATTAATCTATTTATACTTAATTCCTTATAACATTTCTACTAAAGCCATATAACTTCATTCCAACATGTTTCTAACATTCATTAATTTTACAGTATTTCTGTAAATAGTCTTTAAACTTTTTCCAATCTTCTTCAAATGGACTTCCGGAACGGATTAAGTTTGGCGCTTTTGTTTTTGCTATTTATTTTGCATTTTTGTTTTTGAGGCTTTTTCGGTTCATTTGTTTTTGTGACTGTGTGGAACCCAGTTCAGCTACTGATTGATTGATTGTGTGACTATGGAAATGAATAAGAGCCCCCCATCCAAACAATGACTATCATCAGTGTAGGTAAGAAAATAATAATAATTTTAATTTTTTATCATCTACAATAGTGTCATATTTATTTTATAGTACAGTACATTGATTATTGCTTTCATTTTATGGATCAGTGGTCTTGTTAGATTGTAAAATTCATCTTAAACCCCCTGTTTTAGGGGTTGTTTTTAAAAGTCTGGAACAGACTAATCTATTCTGCATTACTTTCTATGGGAAAGCGCACCTGGGTTTTGGAAGGCTTTGGTTTTGGAACGGACTTCCGGAACAGATTAAGTTTGAGAACCAAAGTACCACTGTATCTGAAAATAATAATTATTTGGGCAGTTCACCAGCAATTCTACCCACAATCACATTGGATCTGGGTACAGAGATGCATATGAGCCCATTCTGGTCAATTAGATTTTCATCTAGGTAAAGGTAAAGGGACCCCTGACCATTAGGTCCAGTTGTTACCGACTCTGAGGTTGCAGCACTCATCTCACTTTATTGGCCAAGGGAGCCAGTGTACAGCCTCCTGGTCATGTGACCACCATGACTAAGCCGCTTCTGGCGAACCAGAGCAGCACATGGAAATGCTGTTTACCTTCCCGCCGGAGGGGTATCTATTTATCTACTTGCACTTTTACGTGTTTTCGAACTGCTAGGTTAGCAGAAGCAGAGACCAAGCAACAGGAACTCACCCTGTCACTGGAATTTGAACTGCTGACCTCCTGATCAGCAAGTCCTAGACTCTGTGGTTTAATCCACAGTGCCACCCACGTCCCATAATGGATGCATATTTAGGCATTAAAGCATATCCTCCAACATTTCTCCAATGAAAATAGGGACGCCCCATTCCAATAGGATGATTTTACTATTTATATCCCACACATCTTACTAATAATAATAATAATAATAAATTTTATTTATATCCCGCCCTCCCCAGCCAAAGCCAGGCTCAGGGCGGCTAACAACAAACAAATAATCAAACAATCAAATAATCCAACATTCTAAAACATTTCATTATAAAAATTAATTAAAATCAAATTAATGGCAACCGTTAAGCAAAGTTCTGTGCAGGTTGCCAGAGGAGGGAGTCAGGCTGGGCCCTGACCAAAGGCCTGGTGGAACAACTCTGTCTTGCAGGCCTTGCGGAAAGATGTCAGGTCCCGCAGGGCCCTAGTCTCTTGTGACAGAGCGTTCCACCAGATTGGAGCCGCAGCCGAGAAAGCCCTGGCTCTAGTTGAGGCCAGCCTAACCTCTCTGAGGCCTGGGACCTTCAGGATGTTTTTATTTGCAGACCGTAGGTTCCTCTGTGGGGCATACCAGGAGAGGCGGTCCCGTAGGTACGAGGGTCCTAGGCCGTATAGGGCTTTAAAGGTTAAAACCAGCACCTTAAACCTGATCCTGTACTCCACCGGGAGCCAGTGCAGCTGGTATAGTACCGGATGAATGTGATCTCGCAGCGAAGACCCCATAAGGAGTCTCGCCGCGGCATTCTGCACCCGCTGGAGTTTCTGGGTCAGTCTCAAGGGCAGCCCCACGTAGAGCGAGTTACAATAATCCAGTCTGGAGGTGACCGTCGCGTGGATCACAGTGGCTAGGTCAGGGCGAGAGAGATAAGGGGCCAACTGCTTAGCTTGGCGGAGATGAAAAAATGCCGCCTTTGTTATAGCTGTAATCTGCGCCTCCATAGAGAGGGAGGTATCGAAGATTACACCCAAACTCTTAACGGACGGTGCTGGCACTAATTGCACCCCCGCAAGAGATGGGAGTTGCCCCCAATCCCATATCGTCCCGTCCCAGCCAGAGGACCTCTGTCTTCGAAGGATTTAACTTCAACCGGCTTCCACGTAACCATCCAGCCACAGCTTCCAAACATCTGGTCAGTGTGTCTGGGGCCGAGTCAGGATGGCCATCCATCAACAGATAGAGTTGGGTGTCATCGGCATACTGATGGCAACCCAGCCCAAAACTCCGGACAAGCTGGGCGAGGGCGCATAAAGATGTTAAAAAGCATCGGGGAGAGTATCGCACCCTGAGGCACTCCACACACCAAGGAGTGGCGGGATGACAATTCCCCCAAGCGCCACCCTCTGTCCCCGACCGGAGAGAAACGAGCGCAGCCATTGAAGGACTGTGCCCTGGATCCCCACGTCGGCAAGGCGGTGGTCCAGGAGTTCGTGATCAACCATGTCGAAGGCTGCTGACAGGTCTAGAAGAATCAGCAGCCCCGACCCGCCTCGATCCAGCTGCCTGCGGAGATCATCTGTTAGGGCGACCAGAGCCGTCTCGGTCCCATGACCAGCGCGGAAGCCAGACTGGAATGGATCCAGAGCCGATGTTTCATCCAGAAACCTACCAAGCTGTTCAGCAACCGCTCTCTCAATCACCTTACCCAGGAATGGAAGATTCGAAACCGGGCGGTAATTGGATAGATCTAAGGGATCTAATGATGTTTTCTTTAAGAGCGGGCGCACCACTGCCTCCTTCAATTCCCCTGGAAATATCCCGGTGCCAAGGGACAAATTGATGATATCCCCCAGGGGGGCCCGCACCTCGTCTGGACACGCTCTAATCAGCCAAGACGGGCACGGGTCAAGAGGACAGGTGGTGGGCTTTCCAGCTCGGAGGAGTCTGTCCACATCGGCTGGGGATATCCGATCAAAGTGGTCCAATACTGGACCCGAGGACAGTCGAGGGGCCTCCAGTTCCTTTATTGTATCCAAATTGGCAGGGAGGTCATGGCGGAGCAACAGGACCTTCTCCGCAACAAAAGCTCGCAAATGCCTCACAGCTGTGTGTCAGATTGTTATTTAAATTTGGCTGTCCTTCAAGGGACGTTAAAGACCTAATTATACTAAATAATTGCGCCGGGCGAGAGCTAGCGGATGCAATGGAGGCCGAGAAGTAAGACTTCTTAGCGGCCTTCACCGCCATCTCATAGGTTTTCATAAAAACCCTATAAGATGTTCTTGAGGCTCCGTCACGGGCACCCCGCCATACTCGCTCTAGCCGTCTGAGGTCCCGCTTCATTTTCCGAAGCTCCTCGGTAAACCAGGGAGCCCGGTTTCTGCGGAGTCGCAGAGGGCGCTTAGGTGCGATCTCATCTATGGCTGCCAGGAGCTGGGTATTCCAGCCCTCAACAAGCTCAGTCAATGAGTCGCCAGGGGGAGCAAGGTCCCGCAAGGCTTGACGGAATCTATCAGGGTCCATCAGCCTCTGCGGGCGAGCCCAAATCGGCTCGCCACCTAAGCAGGGTGGGGGTGGAAAGTCAATCCTGGCTTTCAGAGCGTAGTGATCAGACCATGGCACCTTAATTGAAGGAGACATGATCACATCTATACCTACGCCAAAGATCAAATCCAGCGTGTGGCCTGCTTGATGTGTGGGGCCTGAAACAAACTGGGAGAGCCCTAGTGTTGCCATGGAAGACACCAGGTCCAGAGCCTGTGAGGAGGGAGTGGCATCAGCATGGATGTTGAAGTCCCCCAATACCAATAGGTTAGGGAACTCCAAGGCCCAGCCGGCCACCGCCTCCAGCAGGCCTGACAGGGTGGCTGCTGGTGCGCTAGGTGGCCGGTACACCAGCCAGACAGCCAAGCTCACCTCAGAGCCCCACACTAGGCCAACACATTCAATGCCGGGGATCGATGGCGATGGTAGAGCCCTGAAAGGACAATCTTCCCGGATTAATAATGCCACCCCTCCCCCCCGGCCCACAGTCCGTGACTGGTGGAGGACGGAGAAACCCGGGGGCGCCATCTCTCGTAAGGTAACTGTTGCCCCTTCGCGTACCCAGGTCTCCGTCACACAAGCCAGGTCGACCCCCTGCGAGGTAAAGAAATCTCGCAGAGTGGCGGTTTTGTTGCCTATAGACCTGGCATTGCACAACACCAGTGACGGAGGTGAGTAATCCTTGCTCACCCTACCCTCGTCCCTCGGGATGGGGCGCAGATTGGAAGGGGTACGAGCATATCCGTATCTCGATCCCCTTCGCCTATAACATCTGCCCCCACCACCATACCTCCCTCGCCCCTCCACGGTAGCAATCCCAAGCCTCATACAAGCCTCCATTTACAAAATAGCAAAACAAACCAAACCGAAAACAATTCTACCTAAACAAAACCAATCCCCACCCCAAACCACAATAAAACGGAACAAAATAAAAATACATAGATAAAAACCACTGTTCACGGTGGTACAATAAAGTAAAAAGTAAAAACACCTTTAAAACACTTTAAAATATATAAAAACATTTTTAACATTTGCTGCAGCAGCACCAGTGTCCTTAAAACTGTAGCGGAGGTGAGTCTGGGCCCCGCCCCTAGGCCAGGTGGAATCAGCCTGAAGAGGGAGCGGCCTTCCCCAACACTCACGGTGCAGCAGCAGCGATGTCCCAGTGCCTCAATGAGGCCTCTTAAAGCTGTGGCGAAGGTGAGTCTGGGCCCCGCCCCCTAGGCCTGGTGGAGTTAGCCTGAGGAGAGCGGCCTTCCCCAACACTCATGGTGCAGCAAAGTACTTTGCGCAGCTTCCAACATACGTAAAAACATAATAAAACATTAAACCTTTTTTTAAAACAACTTCCCCGTATAGGAGCAATGGGAGCTCACCCCGTCGCGGGGATTCAAACCGCCGACCTTCTGATCGGCAAGTCCTAGGCTCTGTGGTTTAACCAACAGCACCACCCACGTCCCAGATTGTCATCTACTGCTCTGCATTTACTTGGAGGAGGATTTTAAGCATGGCAGCCCCACTTTGTGGAATAGCATCCCTGTTGAGATACGACAGCACCTGCTATCTGCATTTTCGGAAAAGAACTGAAGGCAGTTTTGTTCCAGCAGGTTTTCCCAGCTGTATAAATGGGCCTTTGCAGTGCTTTTTTTCTCTCTAGAAAAAGATATTTGCTAAGCAATAATGCTTCTCTGAGGGGCAAACTCAGTTCGTAGCACCTTGGGTGCCATGCTTTAACCTTTATGTATGTGAACTGTATTTTTCTCCTTTCACAGCTGAATGCAGTCATTTGGGGGCAGGACTTGGCCAGATGACTCCATTCAGATTTTCACCAGATTTCCAGGGCCAGTGGCAGTGCTATCTCTACTTGGAAAGGTAGAAGGTGACATCTCCTTTTATTTTTGAGATTAGCAGCATGGAACAAGCCAGGCGTGATATTGACTGTCCTTGAACTCTGTCATCAGCTGCAAGTGTTGCAGAAATAACAGCCTGCGTGTGACTGAAGTAATCTTGGACAATGGGAAGATGGTAAAAAGCTCCACAGCTGTGGTTCAAAGTCATAAAATGATGCATACTGAATATGAAAAAGCAGAGGAGATGAAGGAGCTGCCTGAAGACTAGATCCAGCTGCTGGGGCTGCTCTGTGTTGCCCCAGCAGACAAGCAGAATTATAAGCTGATGGTATGAAAACTTGATGGTATTGTACATTCAGTTGGACCAATATTATTTTGTGCCATGTTTTGCCAATGTCCAGAAGGAAACATGGGCACTGATAAAGTATCAGGATGAAATGATACATATATTAAATAATTAACTGATGAAGTATTTCCACCCATTTATGTGCTCCTGAACACCATAGCTTCTAAGCCATGTGAAATAAAGTTGCAAAATGAATGGTAGGTAAAACCAGTTAATCATAAAAACCGACTTCCGGGTTGGCGCCTCTGGCAATGGCGGATTTCCTCCGATCGGGAGGAATCCGCTCCGTGGAAAACAGGGTCTGAACCGCCACAGCGAGGCGGAGACCCATTAAAAACCACAGGCGGGAGAAGCCTGTGGACGTGGGATTCGGCTGGCACCTTTGCGCCTCCCCTACTCACGGGGAAACCCTGTTTTGGGGATCCGGAGCGACGTGGGGTGAGTGGCGCAGTGCTTTGAATCGACTGCTTCTTTCACGGAGTGAAGCCGCATTGCTGTTGCCGGAGAGCGCTGACTTTTCCTGTGGACAATTGGACTTTAAACAACTACTCGTGAGTAAAACGGAAAATTGGATTCTTAAATACTTTAATTCGGCACTGAAACAGGAAGGTTATAAACAGGAAGTCCGCCTCCCGTTTTTGTAAATAGACTGAAGCAAAGACGTTACAAGTTAAAGCCTTTGAAAGCTTTTGGCAAAGGATCAAATTTCCACCGGTTTAAAATACAAAACCCCCTTGGAAGCAGGAGAAGAGGGGAAATTTTGGATCTAGTGAGCCTGCAGGAGAGAGTGAAAAATCAAATCACCACTGCTCTGAACCTGGGAACGGGCTGCCAGATGACGTTTGGAGAGAGTGCTTTTGACAGAACGGATTTGACAGCTAGCTAAATAAGAGTAAGATACTGTTTCCATTGTCCTTTTCTGCGTTTAAAAAAGAGGAAAAGTAACTGAAAATTTATCTTTAATGCTTGAGTTGCGCTTGAAAGAATTGATACAAATGGAGACTGTTTCCCTCTAGAGGGAGCTTTTGAAACTGTTACAGGAGTATAACTGGGGGATTTCCAGTTGTAGATAAGGATTCTGAGAACCAGAGAGCGACCTTGGACTATTTAAAAATGTTGACAGGAGAGGCCATTGTGACTGTTTTATGCAAGATAAGCTGTTCGCTGGGACAGCTTCACAAGAAGATGGATGACATGACTTTCAAAGTTGATAATTTGGAACAGAAAGTGACCAACTTGAGTCAAAAGCGAACACCAACACAGAAATAATTCAGGACTTGGTACAGGAACCCATTTTGGCAGGACAAATGGTGGAGGAGAAGGAGGAGAAGGAGAATGCTGCTGTTGTTGAACATAAAATAATACAAGTGAGATCTGTGGTTTTACAGAAGCAAATTGAGGACTATAAGTTGAGGCCTTCTATGATTGAATCTAGGAAAAGTCAGACTCCGAGGAATGGATCCCGGCTTGGATTAAAGAAGGAAAGTTGGAAAGAGCCCTCTATGCAGGGATTAACTGACTTTTGGGACATGGACTTGGGCCTGGAGGAGATTGAAGTTTTGGGGGCCTTTGGAATTGGAGGAATTTTGAAATATACCCGGAAATACTTTATGGACTGTAGCTTTAACTATGGAAATTTAGCTGATCTGTTCAGAAGGAAGAAAAGGATTGACAGGCTGGAGTTTCCCCGAGATTTGCTCTTTAGCATTAAAGAAAATGAAGAAGACCTGCAGAAGGGACTTGGAAAAGAGTTAAGAGCCTCGGACATAAGATCACCAGGTTGATGGACTTTATGGAATTGACGGAAAGGACTGGCAGAATCCGAAACCTGGGAGAGGAGATGGTGGAAAAAGACTGGAAAATTTAAAGTTTATATATAGACTTATATATATGGTAAAATTAATGAGTGATAGAAAAATGGTGGAATGATTTTCTTTTATTTTTTATGGGCCTAACAGAAATGTTATAGGGAGTTAAGCAAATATAAGTATTTTAGTTTTAATGGAAAATAAGGTTAAAAAATACGTTATTTACAATATCACAGAAAATGGAGAAAGATGGAAAGGATTTGCTGAAACAATTAATAGAAGTGGAACACAAAAAGGGAGGTGTGAGGAGGTCGAGGAAACAAGGGAATGAAAGATAGAGTATGGAAAAGAGACGATGTATGTTTTTAAATTGTTTTTGTTTTGTTCTATTCAGGGTTAAGGTTAGGGAGTGGGGTTTGGTTAGTTTAGTTTAATGTGTCTAGTTTTGAGTTTAGGTTGTGTTTTGTATTGTTTATATATTGTATTGTATTGTATTTTTTTTCTTTTTGTTTTTCTCCTTTGTTTTTTCTTCTGGGGTTTTTTTTCTTTTTGCTTTTTTCTCTTTTTTGTAATCTATAAAAGTAATAAATATTATTTTTAAAAAAATCATAAAAACCATCATGGGGCAGGGCACCGTGCCTTAAATGCCCGCTGAAATTTTAAAAAGTCTTTGTTAAGTGCAAAAAGTTCAGTCTCAGACAGAAAGATTCCATCTAAGAATCCATATTGAGGTTCCTGCTACTACTTTTTTTGGGGGGGGGCAGTGTTTCATCACTACATCGATGTCCACATGTGCAGATTGTTGATGTAGTTAGGAAGAGAAAAAAGAGCAAAATAAACAAAAGCTGCGGGAATAGTAAAGGAATAAAATGGTTATGGGACATTCTCTCATCCACATGATTTATAGACCAATCCTGCAATCCCCTGTGTGTTATATTCTTTTAAAACCCCTTTCACTCAGTAGCCAAACTTTGCAGTAGAGAAATCCAACAGTTAATTACATGCTGTATGTATGAAGAAGAGTGCTCTCTTTGAGGCCTGGCCCTACCATTAGACAGCAACTTATAGAAATTTATTAAGAGAAGAGGGAGGAGAGTTTAAATTGAAAGAATTTGAGGACTTGAGAGGGCATAACATTGTTTAATGTATGATTATTGTGTTTTTATTTCTGGAGAGTAGCAAATGGGGGGGGGGGGCTTTCTGCCGCCAGGGACAGAACAACTTGGCAAGCTTTGAGTACTGTACCTCTTGATTTGGGAAAGAGTGGTGACAATTGTTGTTCTGCAATTTCAAAATATCTTGGGTCTGTTAGGATTTTTATCCATCCGTGCTGCTCCAGCAGTAGCACTCTGTTTTGTGTATATCATGTGAGTGTCTGAGAGAGCATGAGACAGGAAGTCTCAGTACTGTTGGAGTACTGTTGGAAGTTAGTTTCACTTCTGTTTGTGATGCTGTTCTGTACTCGTGCTCAAAAAGCACAGATGTGATGATGGATTCTCTGTATATAGACTGTAAAATCAAGTAGTTTAAAGCTACTGATTGCCTTTTTCTTCTGCTATGATATGCCAGAAGAAGAGCATGCTCCTCTCAGGAGGGAAGGGTCGCTTATTACTGGTCTCTCTGGACTGAAGGAGATTTATAGCCAGGGAGGACCACCGGAGAGATGCCCCGAAGTCTTGGGAAGTTGGTGCTTTCCCACGTGTGTTTCCAACAGGGTCTGCCCTAGCTTCTCTCATTGCTGAATGACCTGCCCCTATCTCTTGCACTGAAAAATAAACTACCCTTTCTTCCTCAGATACGGAGAGTGCACCATTCCATCCCGTGGAAGCAATTAAGCACTAGCAAATGTAATGTTTCTGAAGAACCCTTGATCAGGCAGAAAATATATCTGCAAGACTTGCACCTCTTTCCAAGAATTTTTGCCAGGAGGAACACGCTGATGAATGTCACATGCTGCTCTGAATTCAGGGAAGGATCTGTTGGATCTGCGATGTCCTCATTCCAGTCTCAAGCAGATGGAGAGTTTGATACACACACAACTACAGCTTTCCGTTTACAGTTGCCTTGACATAGACACAGACACTTGTGGTCCAAGACATCTGCCCATACCTCCCTTTTAGTATAAGCATTAAATAGGAATCAGCTCTGTGATTGGAGAAAAAGGATAGCCTTGGTAAAATCAGTTCCTGATTGGAAGCTGTACTTCCAGGATAGGGAACTAGACCTGGGCCCAGATTGGCAGGTGTATGGGTGCCCTATCTGTTGCTCACCTGGCATCATTATGACAGTGGGGCTGCCAATACCAACCAGAAAATTGGCACCAACAGCTTGCTTTGAAAGGAGAGGGCTTCCTTCCTTCCTTCCTTCCTTCCTTCCTTCCTTCCTTCCTTCCTTCCTTCCTTCCTTCCTTCCTGGTATTCCTGGATGAATTGCTACTTTGAGCATTATATTTGTGTTTATTACATTTATATACAACCCTTTTCTTCCAAGGAGCTAAAGGTGGTGCACATGGTTCTGTTCTTCGCCATGTCATCCTTACAACAACCCTTTGAGGTTGGTTAGGTTGAGAGATGGTGACTGGCCCAATGTCACGCAGTGAGCTTTCTGTCTGAGTGGGGATTTGAACCCTGCAGTCTCCCAGGTCATAGTCCAACACTCTAACCACTACACCACACTGGCTCTCAGGAGATGGCTTCTGGTCCCATCAGCCGATTGATGGAGAGAACAATCCTTTCAGAAGTCTCTGTGTAAGTGGATTGAATGCAAACCACTTGCAGACAGAAGTCAAAGGGCTGGTTCTCCACACTCATGAGACGATTGATAGTCCTTGTAAGTGGTTTACATTCAGACTGTGATATTTACTTCAGACGCGGGTTGCGCTGTGGGTAAAACCTCAGCGCCTAGGACTTGCCGATCGCATGGTCGGTGGTTTGAATCCCCACGGCGGGGTGAGCTCCCGTCGTTCGGTCCCAGCTCCTGTCCACCTAGCAGTTCGAAAGCACTCTTAAGTGCAAGTAGATAAATAGGTACCGCTTTATAGCAGGAAGGTAAACGGCGTTTCTGTGTGCTGCTCTGGTGCCGGTTCGCCGGAGCAGCTTCATCAAGCTGGCCACGTGACCCGGAAGTGTCTGTGGACAGCGCTGGCTCCCGGCTTCTAGAGTGAGATGAGCGCACAACCCTAGAGTCTGTCAAGACTGGCCCGTACGGGCAGGGGTACCTTTACCTTTACTTAGGACATGAGCAGCAATCCAATTAGGTCAAAAGGCAGGCAGTGTCAGCTTAGTACTGAGGTTTCATAAATAGGGAGCTAAACCTGACTTAAGCCTTACATGAGGGAACTGGTCCTTCAGATACTGTTGGACCCCTATCTCCCATCTCCCATGAATTTTGACTATGCTGAGTTCAGCAGATATGCATTAGTCCAATAATTTCAGGAGGGTCATTCCTGAGAAGTTATCCCCAGCATGAGTTCTCCATCTCTCCTTACAGGAATCGACTCAGACTTAACAGGCCTCTGTTTCCTAAGCTGCCATTGCTGCATACCAGTAACAAATAAATAAAACCACTGAGCTGCAGCCAGTTCCAGAGGTGCATCTAATTCAGCCCAGCCCAAATATCAGCCACGCAATATTCACAAACAACTGCAGAGGTCTAGAAGGGTAGCAACCGATGAGGCGTATGTCTGTTGTTTTCTTGAAATATTCCCGCTTTCACAGAAAAGCCAGGAAACTGGGGTGGAGTGGGATGAGAAAAGAAGGTCTTGTCTTCAGCCCAGGAGGGAAGTTACTACTATTGAAATTTAGCCAACTGGGCATAAAGGGTTGAAGGATAACAGTAACTACTCTTTTGGAATCCCTCCATTAATCTTAAAAATCTATTTAATAGACAAACAAACAATCTGCCGAAAGGGGTGCTTCCTGAGTTTTTACTTTTCCGCCTGCTTCTGGATGTGGATCTTCACGGCCTTTTTCAATGCTGTGCGTCTCCTGATACCCACAAAGGTCCTGTTTTTCGTTTCTGGGACATACCGGAAGATATAAAAAATTGTGGCTACAGAGATAGGCCAGAAAAGAAGGAAAATGAAGGCTCCAACATATGCCTAGAGATGAAAGAAAAGGAGAGGGGAGGAAAGAATCAGAATCTTTTTATTTGCCTGTTGTACAAATATTCTCCTTGACTTTCTCCCACAAGGAGATCAAGACCAGTCATCCTCTTACCCTTGCTGCCATATTTGTTCCAGATGGCAGTTCAGGATGAGGGGTAGATTGTGAACCAGCTCCTGGCATTTCTGCCCCATGTTGGCCTGTCTCAGTTTTGCTTCATGTTGTCTTGCACATTGAGGGTTGGCTTCTTCCTGCTGCTACCACTTGTCCCAGAGCCTTGCCAGTCTACCCAAAAACCTAGCTAAGTATTTCTTGCCTTGGAAGGTACTACAGTGGTACCTCTGGTTACGTACTTAATTCGTTCCGGAGGTCCATTCTTAACCTGAAACTGTTCTTAACCTGAAGCACCACGTTAGCTAATGGGGCCTCCTGCTGCTGCTGTGCCGCTGCCATGCAATTTCTGTTCTCATCCTGAAGCAAAGTTCTTAACCCGAGGTACTATTTCTGGGTTAGCAGAGTCTATAACCTGAAGCGTATGTAACCCAAGGTACAACTGTATTGGTCTTGGAGGTGGGGGAGGAGACTATGCAGAGTCCTCCCTACTGTTGTGCTGCTTGCTAATTATTGAGTGACCACTACCCTTATGACCAGGGCTGGCCCATGACATTTCGGCACCTGAGGCGAACCACAGAACAGCATGCACATCCCACTGGGGAAGAAGGGGTGAGATCTGTATGAGGAACAGGGTGGTGGTGAAATAATGATCTACATCAGGAAACCAGCAGCACCTCCTTTTCACCAGTGTAGAGGTGGTATGGTGTGTGTGTGTGTGGGGCCAGATCCGGTCTCCAAGCTGTGCATGCTACAGCCGTTGCTGCCACCATTCCTCTGTTGTAAGGAATAATGACTGGTGTCTCACTTCCTTGTGGCGAGACAAAACCAATCACAGTTATGAACACATAACACTGCCTTCTACAGAGACAGGCTACTTGTCCATCTAACTTGCTATTGTCTATGTTGCCCAGCAGCAGCTCTACATCTTCTCAGACAGAGGTCTTTTGAGGGCTTCTGTGGAGGTGTCAGGCGTTCATTCTGGGACCTTCTGCATGCAAACCATGTGCTCTGTCAGTGAGATGTGGGTTATCACCTGAGAGCAAGAGTGATTTGCCCAAAGACATGGGTTGCTCATGGGCTTCATAACCAACTGGGCATTTGAACCCCAAGCCTACCTACTAAATGTAGAAGGCGTGGCCACCTAGAAGCTGGAGGGTTCCAACTCCCATAAGCCCTAGCAAGGATGGCCATCATGCAGAGATGTTAGAATTTACAACCCATCAACATCTGGAAGGGCAAGGTTTCCCCATCACTACACCGAACCCAGGTGACAAATGTATGCTGTATATTTCTGAAACAATCTAACATTCAGCTTTAACAAAACACACTGACTGGGTTGGGGAAGGGGAAGGAATAATGGTGGATAAATCAAAATCATTCTAAGGACATGGCTTCACTTGTGGGTTTGGAGGGGGACAATAATGGTGTGGGAAGGGGTTGAGCTTAGTTTAGTGACTGAAAAGATGTGCTCTTTATCAAACTGACATTCAAAATCACTCACCTCCGCATAAATGGTTGTCATGTCTGCAAGATAGCTCGTTAACCAATGCACTATTCCTGCGATCACAAGGGCTGATGACCGAGATGACTGAAGAAACAACTCCATCACAATTACAGTTGGAATAGGACCTAAGTAGAGATAAATGATTGAGAAATTGAATACCATCTTTTCACCTTTTGGGGGGAGTATCTATTGTATTCATATCTTTTGCATCATCTAAAGAGCACAGAACATCATCTGAGCACTTACCTGTTCCTAAGCCTTCTCCAAAGATGAACAAGAGGTCAACAACTGAGCTGAAATACACCATATCTGGGAAGGTGGCCTGTTGAGGAAAGTAAGGTAGTATTTCCATTACATACTGGGGGTCATTTATACCTGGATTTCATGTGTCCATATTTAGGCAACATTTTCCACATGTAAAAGGTAAAGGACCCCTGACAGTTAAGTCCAGTTGTGAAGGACTCTGGGGTTGCGCCGCTCATCTCGCTTTACTGGCTGAGGGAGCTGATGTTTGTCCGCAGACAGTTTTTCTGAGTCATGTGGCCAGCATGACTAAGTCGCTTCTGGCGAAACCAGAGCAGCACACGGAAATGCTGTTTACCTTCCCGCCAGAGTGGTACCTATTTATCTACTTGCACTTTGACATGCTTTCGAACTTCTAGGTTGGCAAGAGCTGGGACCGAACAACAGGAGCTCACTCTGTCGCGGGGATTCGAACCGCCAACCTTCCGATCAGCAAGCCCTAGGCTTAGTGGTTTAGACCACAGCACCACCCATGTCTGAACATGTAGTCCCTCTCAAACAGCTCCTATTCTGCATGTTCCTCCCTGTAAATTCAGATTTCACAAATCCAAGGATAATCCAAATAAAACTAAAAAATACAACTTCATTCAAGACAAAAGACACATCATCTCACTCCCCCCCCCCCAGTGGTATGAAGTATCCTTTTTGGCTACTCCCCTTTCCACACACCCTACCTTCCCATAACACCAATTCTGTGTGGGTAGCAGTGGCACCTATTTTTATGACCTCTGCTGCAGTTTTGTTTCTCATTTTTATTTTTAGTCTAATCAGATTTGTGCAATTCAGGAACTGAAAAACAATGAATTATCCAGATCTCTCTGCTTCATCCCCCCGCCCCTTTACCATTGATTATAATAATCTTCCTGTTTTGGAATTGAAAATGCCTATCTTTTGGGGATTGAAGGTAAAATGAAGTTTGCCATAGAAGTTTGCAATGAATTGGGAATGTGTGGCTGTGTGCTCTCTGTGCTATTGTGACAGCTGCAATTTCTTTGAAAATCTGCATTGATCTTCCGGGGTGGCACCATCGGTAATGGCGGACACCCTCTGATCCGGAGGGACTAGCTCCACGGAAAACGGGTCTTCCCGCTACGGCGAAGTGGGGATGTTGGGTGTAGTGAAGGGTTAACCTTCTGTGTCTCGAGGCTGAGAGGAGGCGCTTACAAGGGAAGTAAGCCAGGACGTGACGAAAGCAGCTTGGAATGCTGTGAGCTGAGTGAAAAGTGAAAGCAGCTTTGCTACGCAGCTGCAAGCTGAGAGAGAGTCGCAAAATGCAACTGGAATCAGATGGTGTATATGAACTGTAAATATGCTATTTTTGAGCAAATAAAGTGCTACTAGAAAAGAAGAAACGTGTGGGACGTCCTTTACTGCCCTTCCGACACGGACGCTGTGCAATTCTGCTAATTGCTTTACAACCTGCAGAGGAGTGCAGGGAAGTGTGCTGGACGATAAGAGTAAAGCAATAAATCTATCTTAACATGGTTATGGGTCAACGTGAAGCGTAAGAAAGGGCTTTGAAGTTTTATCTGCTGATCGTCAGTTTGATCGACTGCCGGAGACTTCAAAGAGGCAGATCGGAGGAGGCTGACGGAGGCTGGGAGCCAAGAGCCATGACGTCCGGAGTTTCCAGTTTGGCTGAGTGAGTACCTTTGGAAAAGCCAACAGAAGGGAGGGCAATGGCTCAGCCCTGTGAACATGGCTTTGAGCTTAAGCTGCCATGTCAGAAACTGACTAGCCACAATTGGCTGCAGTGGAGCTTTCAAGTGGAGCTTTTGCTAGTTGGGGAGCAGCTGTGGAATGTAATTCACCCCACACAGAATGCAGCTGGGAAAGCAGAGGCTCAAAGGGCTGCAGAGCAAACTGAAGCAGAGAAGCGTGTGCTTGCTTTTTTGGCAGAAAGTGTGGATGCTCATCTGGTGCCTGTTGTCCTGGGTGCAAGAAAGCCAGAGGCCGCTTGGCTAGCACTCCAAGAAGCTTGTGGAGCTGGAGTGGGAAGCAAGGGCCGAGAAGTGGCTGCATCTGAAAGGGAGAGGCAAGATGGCGCCGGCCACATTCTTGAGTGCCGATACACAGCTGGGAGTAGCTGTGAGCCCCCACAGGGGGGCGAAGGGACTGTTGTTGTTGTTGCTAGCAATGCTGCTTGTGCTTTTGTGGAGCCTGGGAGCTGTGTGGATGCTGCAACGTGTCTGTGTGAAGAGAGGCCAAGTGTTGAGAGCCCTCCACCCTTCAGAGGGGGTGCAGAAAAACGTTCTGGAGACCCCATGAGCTGTGGGGGGGCAGTGAGCAGTGAAAGCTCAGAGACGCCTCTTTCTCCAAAAGCTGCCAAGAGTTGTTTACGTCGTGAGTCGGAGCCTGGGAAGCTGAAAAGGGCTAGAGGCTTCAAGGTCAGCCACCTGCACCAAGTAGAGATAAGAGCTTCAGAGTTGTGTGGGAACACCGAGACAAGTCCAGTCTCCATGGCAACTGAGAGAGTTGCATCTACGGAAGCTGTCAAGGTCGTGGGCAAGTCTTCCTGCCGGGGGGAGTCTGTTGCCGTGACAACCAGAGAGGACATCTGCAGAAGCCCCAAGGAGGGGGGTAGTGAGGAGATTGTTGCCCTGGCGACCCAGGAATGTAAACAACAAGACTTTCTCACTATAATCATAGACTCTGGTGCCTCAAATTCGTTAGTGCCATCTCCTGATCTTTTGAGGAATTGCAGGACAGTAAAAACTGAGAAGTTTGTTAAGTTTGCAGATGGGAGCAGAAAAAGGCTCACAGAGACAGGACTGTTCTTCTGTCCTTTCCTTAAGCATGAAGTCAAAGCTTATGCAGTGCCCGGTTTAACTAACTGTTTGTTAAGTGTGCATGATCTATTGATTGATAATTTTCAAATTTCTTTTTCAGGTGACAAATGTGAATTTTCCAAGGATGGGAAACACGTGTACACAGTGCAGTCTAAAGATAATTTGTTTGCTGTAAATGTGCCTTTTTCCACAGGAGAGAATGACACCGAAGATGCGAAGGGCCAATGTGTGAATGTAGCGCCCCACAATGGTTGTTCACATATTTGGCACAGACGCTTCGCTCATTTAAATTGGAGATTTCTCCAGAAAGCACCAGAGCTGACACAAGGGTGCAAATTTAATGTTTGTGACAAATTTCTAGATTGCAATGCATGTAAACAGGCGAAAGTTGTGACATGCTCATATCCAAAGTCAGAGAGGCAGACCACACAACCCTTTGAATTAAGTCATGCAGATTTGTGTGGACCCATGTCTGTTGAGTCACTGGGAGGTTCGAAGTATTCTTTGCTTTTGATTGATGATTTTTCGAGGTCTGCTTGGACGTTCTCTCTGAAAACGAAAGGGGAGGCGGCTAAAATGATCAGGGATTGGATCACCGCAGTTGAGGTAACCTTTTCCACCTAAGTTCGTGGTTTTCAAAGTGACAGAGGTGCTGAATTCACTGGTTCTGCTTTACAGGATTTCTTTAGGGAGAAGGGGATTAGCCACAGACTGACCGCTCCTTACTCTCCGCAACAGAATGGGGTCGCAGAGAGAAAGAACAGGACGGTGCAGGAAGCTGTGTCTGCGATCTTGTGGGACGCAGGGCTACCCCAGAAGTTTTGGTCGGAGGCCTGGAGATATGTGGTCCATACCGAGAACAGAGTGTACAACTCTAGTGTAGGAAATACACCGTATTTCGTACTTCATGGAAGGAAGCCTAACGTACACTACCTTTGTGTGTTTGGTTGTGAGGCTTGGGTGCTTATTCCAAAGGCTCTACGCAAGAAAGGTGAGCCAAGGTCTAAAAGGATGATCTTTGTAGGGTATGAGCCTGGCTCAAAGGCCTGGAGGTTTGCATACCCAAGTGGAGACCAGTCTAGGTTGGTTATCAGCAATAGCGCTGAGTTCTGTGAGCAAGCTGGTTGGAAGCGTCTGCACGCTAATCCAGACGTGCTTCCACAGCAGTTCTATGACTCAGACGAGGAGGAGGAGGAACTTGGAGCTGGGGACCACGGTCCAGAGCAACAGAGTCCAAGGCAGGGACAGCTCAGGATCCCTCAGAGGGGGGAACCTAGAACACCTCCTCAGGCAAGTGTCAAGTTTAAGCCAAAGAGTGAACCTTCTTCACCTGCTGGACCAGCTGTAAGGCCCAAGAGGCGCAGCAGGTCAGAGGGGGAAGACACTGAAGTTGAGGATGATTTAGCTGGACCCAATGAAGCAGCAGGGTCACCAGGAGTCACACTGAGGAGATCAGCGAGGACAAGGAGACCTCCTGATCGGTACGACGCTTCAGGCGTCTGGGTAGGTTCTGCAAGTTGTGAACCTGAATCCTTCGAGGATATTCAGAGTTTACCTGAGGAAGAAGCAGGCAAGTGGCACAGGGCAATGGACAAAGAGATGAAGTCCATGAAAGATCTAGGTGTGTTCTCACTCACAGAGTTGCCACCGGGAAAGCAAGCTGTGAGTTCCAGATGGGTTTACCGCTTGAAACCCACTGACGCTGGAGAGCCGCAGTATAAAGCCAGGTTAGTTGCTCGAGGGTTTACTCAGAGGAAGGGAATACACTTCACGGAGGTGTATTCGCCAACATCACGAGCGGTGACTCTGAGAACGCTTTTAGCTTGTGCGGCACAGAGAGGCTGGAAGGTAAACCACTTTGATGTGGATGTTGCCTACCTTAACTCAGATCTCCAGGAGGAGCTGTACATGATTCCTCCTCCGGGGTTTGAGAACTCAAGGCAGGATATTGTGTGGAGATTGCACAAATCCATCTATGGATTACATCAATCTGCTAGAAACTGGAACATGTGCCTGAATGAAGCTTTGGAGAAGCTAGGTTTCAGGAAGAGCCTTGCTGATAGTTGCCTGTTCCTTAGAGGATCAGGAGACTCACAGGAGCTGGTGATGATTTGGGTTGATGACGTGCTTTTCGTCTCAGAAACAGATGAACAGGCGGAGAAGTTTGCCAAAGAGCTAGGTAAACGTTTCAAGCTTAAACAGCTTGGTGCTGTCAAAACCTATCTAGGTGTCAATGTTGAGCGTGCACAGGATGGAAGTTTTTTGCTCAGCCAGAGAGGTAAAATTGAGCAACTGCTTCAGAAAATGAGGATGAGTGATTGTGCAGGAGTGAGAAGTCCTATGGAGACTAGTTTTGTGAAGGACAGCCAGCAAGTAGAACGCGCTGCGTTCGAAAATACTGAAGTGTTTCAGTCAGCTCTAGGGAGTTTGTTGTACTTGTCCCAGTGGAGCAGACCTGATATAGCGTTTGCTGTCAATCTGCTCAGCAGGGAAGCATCAAACCCTAGTGTGCAAGCCTGGAATGGCATCAAGAGAGTTCTGAGGTATTTGCAGGAGACCAAAGACTTTTGTCTTAGGTTGCCAGCACAAGGAGAAGTCAAACTGACTTGCTTTGTGGACTCGGATTGGGCTAATCTTGAGGATCGCAAGTCTGTGTCTGGCCTAGTGGTGAAGTTTGGGAACTCAGTAGTTGGATGGAGGTCCAAGAAGCAAAGTCTGATAGCGCTCTCATCCACTGAGGCTGAGTTTAGTGCTCTTTCAGAGATGTGCAGAGAAGTAGAGTTCTATGCTTGCTTGGTGCAGGAACTCTGCGAAGTGGATTGTCTGCCGATACGTGTTTTCGAGGACAATCAACCATGCCTGCGTTTGGCAGAGTCAGGTCAGTTCAAGGCCAGAACGAAACACCTAGACATTCGCTTTCGGAATGTGTGCCAGAGTGTTCAGGAGGGATTAGTTGCACTGAAATACTGTCCCTCTGCCAAGAACCTAGCTGATGGGTTCACGAAGCCACTCACCTTCCAAAGACATGGGGAGTTTTGTGAAGGTCTGGGTTTGGGACGAGCAAGGGTCGATTCTCCCCTCAGGCGCGAGACAAGAGGGGGTGTTGGGTGTAGTGAAGGGTTAACCTTCTGTGTCTCGAGGCTGAGAGGAGGTGCTTACAAGGGAAGTAAGCCAGGACGTGACGAAAGCAGCTTGGAATGCTGTGAGCTGAGTGAAAAGTGAAAGCAGCTTTGCTACGCAGCTGCAAGCTGAGAGAGAGTCGCAAAATGCAACTGGAATCAGATGGTGTATATGAACTGTAAATATGCTATTTTTGAGCAAATAAAGTGCTACTAGAAAAGAAGAAACGTGTGGGACGTCCTTTACTGCCCTTCCGACACGGACGCTGTGCAATTCTGCTAATTGCTTTACAACCTGCAGAGGAGTGCAGGGAAGTGTGCTGGACGATAAGAGTAAAGCAATAAATCTATCTTAACAGGGGACCCTTTGAAAAATCACAGGCGGATGAAGCCTGTGACCATGGGACTTGGCGGGCACCTTTCGCGCCCCCCCAACTCGTAAAGGAACCCAGTTGACGTCTTAGCTGATTCCTGCATGTATGCCCTGTTTGTGAAAAATGAACACATTCTAAAAAAAAACAAGTTGGAAGACAGGACAAAGACAAAAGGAAATGCCGGCTGGTACTAATGGGAACGAGTGGATTTTTTCTTCAATTCCAACTGCAAATGTGCATGTGTGTGTAGGAAACATGGATTCAAACAGAGGAAACATGGATTCCACATGAGATTAGGCTCAAATGTGGATGAACCCCTAATGCCAGGTGTCCTTCATGTAGCTCAGGGGCAATCAATGTGGCATTCTCCAGATGTTGCTGGATCATAATTCACATCATCCCTAATCATTAACCATGCTGGTTGAGGCTGATGCAAACTGGAATCCAACATCTGGAGTATAGGAACTCTTGATACATCCCATATTTGCAACTGCCACCTCTTAAAAAATATTTTATTTATTTGCTTTTCTGATAACATTCCACATCAACAAAGCATAAACAAAAATGATACAAAAAAAGAAATATAGTTCCTTTCAAAGAATTTAAATAATCGACAAAAAAATAAGAAAACATTCATTGACTTCCTATCTTCTCTTTCCATGGTTCTTTTAACCCCTCTTTTCCTCGTGTTTCTTTAGTTTACCCCGTCTATCACAACCACTTTTATATTCTTTAATTATTTCTTACTCTGTTGAAAATTTTACCATCCTGCTAGGTAAAATGTTTGCTTATAATACTTTCCCATATATTCTGTAAATAGTATCCGTTGTGGCATACAGAAACAACTTTCTTTATTGCAAACTTCTGTTGTTATTAACCCCAGCAGTAGTGCTTCTGGGTTTTTAACAAAAGGTTTTTTAAAATCATTTCCCAATAATTTTAAATTATGCTGCATGGCCATCACATGTGGTAGAATGTTCCTTCTGTTGTTTTACACTTCCAACAGTTACCTTTTATTGATTTTGACATTTTTGCTAATCTGTTGGTTGTCAGATACCACCTATGCTATATCTTCATAATTTTTTCTATTAAGCAATTATCATCTCTTATTCCATAGAACTGCTGGCACACAGAGTGAAGATCTCTTTGAGATCTCTTGCCTTGGAGTGGAACGCCCATCTGACTTTCACAGGGAAGATCAGAAAATGGAAAATATTTCAAGAAAATAAATGTTCTGTCACATCTACTGCCTACTTGCCCAGTACTTTGGAGCTGTTACAGAGGAAGGAACAGAGGCAAAGAGCAGAACCCTTAGTCATTCTCAGTTCCAAATGCCACCAATCACAAACCTGTAGTTCCAGGCTCAGGGTTAACAGAACACAGGAAATGATACTCATTCCAAATCCAATGAGAAGCATCAACCTGTGCCCCTTGGAATCAGTGAGATAGACCTAAAGAGTATAAAGAGAAAGAAAAATATCTTCTTAGCTACAAGCTAGTTAGCTTATGCCTTTACCTGTACAGCTGGCAGAAAGCACTATTAAAGATAAAATTAAAAGCATATATACGAACAAGTCATGCTGAAGAAATCCTAGCTTGGTTTCTCTCCCTGCTAATGACACTTTTGGATTTCTTTGAGAGTGTCAGTATAAGAAAGCATAAACGATGCATATTGGGGCAATTCTCCCCACTAAAATCTCCCCACTACACGGTGGGCAGCTCAAGGAAAATGTTGTCCCCAGCACATGACAGCTGTGAAAAAAAGTGAATTCTCTGTAAGGGATCAACAGGGAGGAGACTGAAGATAAAACTCCTGAAGTAATAATGCCATTAGACAAAATTTTCACAACAACAATATCACAGTATTGGAAAAGGTGTAGAAGAGTCCAGCCATGATTATAAGGTCAAATAGTTCAGTTGCTTAAAGTATGGTGCTGATAACAGCAAGGTTGCAGGTTTGATCCCCATATGGGACAACTGCATATTTCTGCATTGCAGGATGTTGGACTAGACTCAGGATCCTTTCCAATGCTGTGATTCTATGAAGTAACTCCCCGGTTTGGAAAGAGTTGAACATCAGGGCAGGAGATTCGTTTGGGGCGGGGGAGCAAAGCAAGGGGACACATGGTAGAGGTGTACAGAGATATCTTAGCTAGCAGTCTTTAGGTAACAACTGCATCCCAGGCTCATGAGGTAACAACTGCATCCCAGGCTCAGCTTAGGATGCATTGGGTCCCCTGGCCTCAGTTATCCAACCCCAGCTCAGCCAATGATATAAGTTGGCAGAACAGGGGGCAGTGTAAGTTCCAAAAAAGGGGATATTCTGGGTGTGTGGCAGGGATGGGACCAGAGAGTGATGACTTAAGCACATTCAGCCCAGTCACGTGACCTGGCAATGTGGTGTAGAGTGCTATTTTAAAGGCTTGTTTAACAACAACAACATTTTATTATTTATACCCCACCCATATGACTGAGTTTCCCCAGCCACTCTGGGCAGCTCACAGCACATATCAGAACATACTAAAACATCAAACATTGAAAACTTCCCAATACAGGGAAGCCTTCAGATGTCTTCTAAAAGTCAGATAGTTTTTTGTTTCCTTGACATCTGAATGGAGGGTGTTCCACAGGGAGGGTGACTCTACCAAGAAGGCCCTCTGCCTCGTTCCCGGTAACCTCACTTCTCACAGTGAGGGAGCCAGTGGAAGACCCTTGGAAGAGGATCTCAATGTCTGGACTGAACGATGGGGGAGAAGACGCTCCTTCAGGTATACTGGGCTGAGGCCATTTAGGGCTTTAAAGGTCAGTGCCAACACTTTGAATTGTGCTCAGAAATGCACTGGGAGCCAATGAAGATCCTTTAGAACCTGTGTTATATGGTCCCGGTGACTACTCTCAGTAACCAGTCTAGCTGCTGTATTCTGGATTAGTTGTAGTTTCTGGGTCACCTTCCAAGGTAGCCCCACGTAGAGCGCATTGCAGTTTCCCCTCTGCCATGGTTAAGCAGAGCAGCAGCAACCCTAAAATTGGATGTCATGTACTTTGACACCATGTAAATGTACACTGGCTTGCTCTACACCAGCTTCTTCTGTATAGGATTGCTCCCTTCTGCTTTCTCAAAGGATCTTGGGAACTGCAGTTCTATGATAGAAGGATGTGAGTTTTCTTTTCTATCTCAAGTGAAGAAAAAATAATAACATCAAACATATTAAAACAAATTTGAAAAGGGACTTTTCTTTTTAAAAATAACAATAATAACCTGCTTCAGTCAATTGGCAGTTTCCATGAACCGCATTTAAATCTATGGAGTTCTCTTACAAAGAAGAATGAGGGAACCTTCATAGACCTACAATTCCCATGATTTATTGAGGGCGGAGGGAGCTGTTGCACCATAAATAGCCATGGAAGGGATGTAAACAGTCACAGCAAAGACCGGTCCTTTTAAGAAGACTGATTTTCAAGAATTAGAAAGCAAGAGAATAAAAATCTGGGGAGGCTTACCGTAAATGCGGTTGCACAGCAATAAAAAGCAATTCCGCCTATAACAGTCAGCTGGATGCTATCTATTTCTACTCCCATAGCCAGGTAGATTCTTGCTGAGTAATAGTATGCCTGAAATCAGACCAACACAATGGAAAGCGTTGAGTGACTGGAAGAAACAACTGGTGGTCACTTAAGGTTATTAGAAATTGAAGATTCCGCTTTGGGCTAATGTGAGAAACAGGATGTTGAACTCACTGTTTTGATTCTGCAATGTTCTTTCTCTCTCTCTTTTTGGACTGAACCTTGTATGTCAGCTGCTCTTAGTCTAGAAGATAAACTACTTCCAGGTTGCTTGCGACCCAGTGTGGTGTAGTGGTTAGAGTGGTTAGACTAGAACCTGGGAGACAAGGGTTCAAATCCCCACTTGGCCATCAAGCTCACTGGGTGATCTTGGGACAGTCAATGCCTTCACACAGATACAGGGAAATACTGAGCAGAATTTATCATTTGTTTGGGGCAGGGATTACTTGCCCCATCCCAATTTTTTTTATTGACACCCATGTTTCCAGGAGAACACGACCATTCATGATGGAAGAGACGCCCAAATGTTTTTGGACAAATCCACCCATTATTCCACCCATTATTGTTGATGACTGCTTCTGTTATATATGTTGTTATGTATTATTTTATAAGTTGTATTATTTTATAAATTGTAAGCTGCCTTGAGCATGGATTTAACAAATAAAGCGAGCGAGTGAGTGAGTGATTCCTAATCATTAGCCATGCTGGCTGGAGGTGATGGGAACTGGAGTCCAACAACACTGGCTGGGCCACAGATTTCTGAGTAGGGTGGTTGGATAGTCCCGGTCCCTGGAATAGAATCCTGAGAACAAAACAGCTCCCTTGGTGAAAAGATCTAGGGCATTCCTCGAGACAAAAAGTGATAACTGGTGCCTCTGAACTTGGTTTGAAATGGACCCTCATTTTACCAGGCTCACCCTCCTAACATCTTAGGATCTTGCTTTCCTTACCGAATTGAGGGCATTGAGGTGTTCTCCACCAATCAAGGCAACTATGGGGAACACTTCTCGTCGTAGGCTTGGGGTCCTCAGCAGTTTTAGAGGATTCATATTCTTTTCTTGCTTCTCAGTGATGTCCTCCAGCTTCAGCTCTTGAATCTCATCCTCCACATCATCTCTTTCTCTTAGCTTCTTCAGTGCTGGATTAGAAAGGATTAGACGTCAAAGGAGGAAACTTCCCCAACAGCATATGAATCACTATGGCTAACCTGACCCAGCAACCAACGCTCCTCCCTCAACAAACAAGCTACACTGGAGTCAACTGAATGCAGCTAACCAAGCTCGGGGGCCCCTAATCTCTCACTTTAACAATAAAATGAAATACATAAACAAAGGACCTACCCATATGATGCTGACACAAACCTACTAAACTAAAAATAAGCAATAGAACAAAAAAACCCCACATCTCTCTCCCCCTCCCTTTTCCCCAAATGCAAGATGTCTATGACAAAAGTGTTTCTCACTATATGTAAATGAACTGTGAAAAAGACTATGAATTGAAATTGGAAGCAATAGACGTATGTTTCCCTCTTTATCTGTTTTGTCATATAAAAAAACGAATAATAATTAAAGTACATGGCTAGGCATAAGCTAAGACATTGTCTGAATGCCTGCCAGGGCCCCTTGGCTCTCATTTTGAAGAACTGGGTGGGCACAGTCATTTGAATAGTTCTTGTTCCAAGTGATGGGCAAACAAGAGGGCACTTCAATAAGTAGGCTGAGTCTGTTTGTTGCAGTGCATCTGACAGTGTGTCCTTGGACACTGGGCCTGAATCTGTATGGCCAGCTCACTGTCCAACTCAAGTTTTGTGTATCTCTGGTTGCTGGAGCAATCTGTCCCTCCTCCGCTAGGATGTCCAACACCAGTGGAGTACAAATGTCTCCAAGCAGACTGCTTCCCAGCAACAGACACAGAGAGCAGATCCCATTCCTCCTCTCCCTGTGAGCAGCCCTGCCACAACATCTCCATGTGGTTCATGGCAACGGGTTGTAGTTTAAATCCTATTCAGAGTAAACCTATTGAAATCAATGTACCTAGGTTAGTCATGTTTATTTACTTCATTAGATCTGTTCTGAGCAGGACTAGTATTGGATTCCACCTCACGTGTATCTGCTTTGTTACAGAATGGTTGTTGATAACTCTATATTAAGAAGATTAATAGAAACTGTACAAATCAGAATATTGTACCTTGTCTTGCACTCACTACATCCTTCCTCTGGATGAAAAGATACCTAGGACTTTCAGGAAGGTAGGGCAGCACGAAACTCTGAAGTACCGGCATGATTACAGGAAAGGTTGCCAGAATTGGGAGACCTAAGCAAGGAGATAGTGTGGTGATAATACGGGGGGGAACTGTGCTGGAACATTTTATATGCTTTAAGCCAAAATATTAATTCTTTTGAATTACCTTGTGGGTCCCCAAGAAGTTGCTGAAGAGCAAGTATCTCAAACAACAGATAACCGAGAGAAGAAAACAGATGATGCATCATGGTTATGCCTCCCCTCAGGCTTTTAGGGGAAATCTCAAGAAGATACAGAGGGACAACACCGAAGATTATTCCTGGTTCGGTGATAAATTAAAGCACAATTCACAATGAGTGTGTGGCATAATGTGCATAAATGTATAAACAAGTGTATGATTTCAAGGGATACTTCACAATATGCACATGATGTGATGTGCAGAAATGCATAGGCATATCTGCATGGCACAGCGAGTCACATTTTTGCTGCATAAGATGCACCTGACCACAAGACACACCTATTTATTAGAGGGGGAATGCAAGGGGAAAAAATTCTTTAAAGAGAGCACCGAGCAGAACCTGTATGCATCCCAGGCTCTGCTCAGTGCTTCCTCTCACGAGCTGCGTGGAGCGTGTGTGCAGCGCTTGCAGGCTTTTCCCCAAGGAGGGAGGAGAGCAGCCCATCACTGACGGCTCTTTAAAGGGAGCATGGCTCTTGGGGGCTTTTCCGGGAGGTGGGGGAAGGGACTGAGGGGCTAAGCCAGAAGCTAGAACAGCAAGAGGGAGCGCTGCGCAGTGATCCCTCTCACTGTTCTGGCTTCTGAGATAGCAGGGCAGTCTGCATTCGCTCCATAAGATGCACACACATTTCCCCTTACTTTTTAGGAGGGAAAAAGTGCATCTTATAGAGCAAAATCTACCTACAGAGCATAGGCAGATTCCTATGATGTCATGATGTCCCCTGTGGGCTTCTGCAAAATGCCATTCTGTCCTTCACAACTTGTATGTATGGCCAGTGGGTCAAACTGCAAGGTGAGATGGCATTTGACACCATAGATATGAAGATTTTGCCCACTTGTAAGCAAAATTGAGCCCCGCATGAACACAGAAAGGTGTTCTCAGCTGCTGCCTCTCAACTCTGAAAATTTCTTTCCCATGCTCCTTGCCAAAGCCAGAGCATTAGACACCATAAATATGATGATGCATTTAAGCCAGCTACACTGAACACGCTCAGCGCAGTTGGCAGAAGAGCCAGAGGAAGAAGTAGACCAAAGACTGAAGATTGTGGATATCAGATCGTGGATGGAGTCCTGTCTTATTGGACTGGTTGCCGAAACCCTGAAATGGTTTCATCCTTCCTGCAGGAGGCTGGAACGGATATAACAGTATGCCCAATGCCTGAGCCAAAGTTCCACCTACATCTGTAGCCAATAAAATTGTGGCCATTTTTAAACCAGATCGTTGTCTGAGTTAATCTTATCACCCCTTAATAAACAACTATATGACATTTAGAAGACATCTGAAGGCAGCCCTGTTTAGGGAAGCTTTTAATGACTGATGTCTTAATGTATTTTTAACCTTCTGCTGGAAGCTGCCCAGAGTGACTGGGGAAACCCAGCCAGACGGACAGGGTAGAAATAACGACCTTGCAACGGGGCTTCTTTTGCTTTTCTTTTTTAAAAAAGCAAGATGTTGAATCCAGGACCCTGACTCACCTGAACATATTCCACTATAGAAGAAGGTGAAGAGTATGCATCCATAGAATCTAAACTTACGCGAAAAAAGCAATACCACAGAAGAGGTAATGGATAAAAAGTTAGTTATCACTAACGCACCTTTCCTGTAAAGACAGTAAAAGGGGATTGGGGGTGTGATACCAGGGAATGTAAGGTACAATCAAAAGATCAGACAATTGAGAAAAACTATGGAATTGTAATACAGTCAATAATGTTTGGGGGATAATTTCTTTTGGTTTTGCTAGTTTTGAAAACAGACAAAAAGTACCCAAGGCACTGAAGTTCCCACTGCCAAGCCTGGTAAAATTGCCCAGGAACCCTCCCCCCCCCCACCTACAAATTTCAGGAGACATTGCTCAAAGTCATATATATATATATATATATATATATATATATATATATATATAATATCCTGCCATGCTAGGTAAATTCTCTTATTTGGAGGACAGTGATGAAAGAGCATGAAATATTCTGCATGGAAACATATGCTCTACAACTGACATGGCCGTTTCCCCATTGGCATACTAGAAAATCTGCACACTCATATTAGGTCTTACGCCGGATACATCATTATTTAAAACCACACTGGTAGGATTATCTTGTATCTGGAGGGTGTCTTCCCACCTTCTTAAAAACAAAGTTTCATTACCTGACTAATGGTCATCAAATAGGATTTGAGGCACCTCATTAGATCATACTCTTTCTTTCCCTGCCACATCCCTCTCCGAAATGGCTAGTAATAGGGGAAGGTGATCTGACATCACTGAATTTCCCTCCTGCATTTCCCTTTACATGTGGTTGAATGTCCTGGGCACGGGGAATGAAACCAGCAATAGTGATGACATTGTATCTTTTATTTGATGTTACTGGGGGGGGGTGCATGTAGGTCAGCAGCACCACCACCACAATGACAATCCTAGAATCATAGAATTGCAGAGTTTGAAGGGACCCAAGAGTCATCTAGTCCAACCCCCTGCAAAGCAGGAAAGCAGGACTAGTGTAGTTTACCTGTCACGTGTTTATCTTTATACCTGCCAAATCTCTCCACCAACCAGCCAACAACAAGGGCCCCAGCAATGTTTCCAAACAACAAGAACGTCATTTCAGTTGCGACCAGGCTTATCTCAGAAATTTCGACCTGCACCTCAGTATATTCTGTTAAGTTAAAAAACTCCCGAATGTCCTGTGAGAGAAACACATAACGTTCAGGATTAGGACCCCTCTAACAGATTACGTGACAGGAAAAGCTAAGAGCACCAGAGTTGTACGAAACCCTCAAGAGCACGGCCAGTCAGCCAAGCCCACATTCCCAGCATGTTCACACTCTTGTCTCAGCGACGTCTATGCTGGCTTAGTTCTGTCCACAGAATGGGAGATGGAAGAATCCCCAAGGACAAGCTCTAAGGGGAGCTAGTTTTATCTTGTATGTTTACAGGTATGCCCTGAGATCTACAAATGAAGGGAAGTATACATTTAATAATAATAATAATGATAATGGGGGCGGGCGGGTGTGGGGGATTCCCTGGTCCTGAATGGGGTAACTGTGCCCCTGAAGGACCAGGTGCACAGCCTGGGAGTCATTTTGGACTCACAGCTGTCCATGGAGGTGCAGGTTAATTCTGTGTCCAGGGTGGCTGTCTACTAGCTCCACCTGGTACGTAGGCTAAGACCTTACCTGCCTGTCTCACCAGAGTGGTGCATGCTCTAGTTATCTCCCGCTTGGACTACTGCAATGCGCTCTACATGGGGCTACCTTTGAAGGTGACCCGGGAACTGCAACTAATCCAGAATGTGGCAGCTAGACTGGTGACTGGGAGTGGCTGCTGGGACCACATAACACCAGTCCTGAGAGATCTGCATTGGCTCCCAGTACGTTTAAGAGCACAATTCAAAGTGTTGGTGCTGACCTTTAATGCCCTAAACAGCCTCGGTCCTGTATACCTGAAGCAGCGTCTCCACCCCCATCGTCCAGCCCGGACACTGCGATCCAGGGCCGAGGGCCTTCTGGTGGTTCCTTCATTGCGAGAAGTGAGGTTACAGGGAACCAGACAGAGGGCCTTCTCGATAGTGGTGCCCACCCTGTGGAACACCCTCCCTTCAGATGTGAAGGAAATAAGCAGCTATCCTATCTTTAAAAGACATCTGAAGGCAGCCGTGTTTAGGGAAGTTTTTAATATTTAATGCTGTACTGTTTTTAACATTTGATTGGGAGCTGCCCAGAGTGGCTGGGGAAACACAGCCAGATGGGCGGGGTATAAATAATAAATTATTATTATTATTATTATTATTATTATTATTATTATTATTATGCTCTGCAGGCCCTTGTTTGTTCATTTATTCAGAAACAGCCCGTCATGCACCTGCTTCTGATGCGGGTTGCATTCATAACTTGACCATAATGGTCCCTCAATTTTTTATACAGAATATTTTTTTAAAGGCTCAGACTAAAAATCGACGTAGCTTACAAATTATAGGTCACCTACAACACAGGTGAATCCAGTGGTGGTGTTTGAATTACAGTGGAGCAGTTGGGAGGGATATGGGGTGAAATGGAATGGAAGCCGTGCGTTTTCACTGTGCATCCATGTACGTGAAGATTTGCATGCATGCGCAGCAGGGGCCAGATGAAACCCCCACCCTAGTCAGAGATTGAGGTCTTCTAGAGCAGGGCTGGGGACCTTTATCATCCCATAAGTCACATCCTGCAATAAGCAGCCTTTCAGGGGCTGCATTCTGGCAGTCAGATTTTATCATGCCTTGTGTTAAAGTTTCATTTGATTGCTCTAAGAGATTATCCATTCTAGCAAGCAAGGAGGCATTGCAACAGTTCCAGCCTGGCAAAAGGAAATGTGAGGCAGGACTGATGAGAGGATTCACCTAGTGACTTCCCAAGGGCCAGAGAGAAAGAGGTTTTGGTGGCATGAAATTCCCGTCTTGTTGAGCTCATATATACCCATGAAGCTTTAGAAAAGAGGAATCCCCACCCTCTCTCTGCAAAAGCAAATTTATTGTAAAGTAACAGAGTAAACCGCTTCATGAATCACTGGCTTGTCGTGGTGAAGGGGTTTGAATAACTCAGAGAAGCTGTGAGCTATGCCGTGCAGGGCCACCCTAGATGGACAGGTCATAGCTGAGAGTTTAGACTAAATGTGATCCACCTAGAGAAGGAACTGGTAATCCATTCCAGTATTTTGACAAGCAAACTCCATGGACATAAAAAAGGAGAAGCTTTGAGAAGAAAGTGAGAGTTTCCAAGGCATGCTCTGGTTCATGGGGTCATGGAGAGTCGAACGACTATGACAACTAAACAACAACAAAAACAGAGTAAAAGCGTGCATAAAATGAATCCACTATTAAATGTAACAGTCAAAAAATGGATTATATTAAGGAGAAATTGCTTGCACAAATCTATACAGTAGTCAAAACGTAAGACAAAAAATGAGAAAGATTATTAGAAGAAATATTAAAGAGTTTTCTTTTCACACAAAAATCAGCATCTTGCTACAGAAAGGTGGGAGAGCAAATCTAAGAGTGGGAAAATGAGAAACTGTTGAAACTGAAACTGGAAGATCCTTTCACCCCTACCATCAAATTACCCTGGACAAAATGTGTCCCTTAACAGAGCAAAACACCCCCAGCCCTACTTTAACCCCTGTGTTAAAAAGCCATCTCCACTGCATACCATCTTACCATAGATGTAGAGAAGAGTACCCCCATGCTGAAACCGTCATGCTGTGATAGGAGGCAGGAAGCCAGTGAAACCCAAATAAGCATCTTTGACAGGTCCTACAGAAAGGAGCAGCATATACTGTGATGAGAATGGACAGGGCAAAATACATATGGACAGCTTCTGACATATAACAGGGGTCAGCAAACTTTTTCAGCAGGGGGCCGGCCTACTGTCCCTCAGACCTTGTGGGGGGGGCGGGCTATTTTTTGGGGGGTGAACAAATTCCTCTGCTCCACAAATAACCCAGAGATGCATTTTAAATAAAAGGAAACATTCTACTCATGTAAAAACATGCTGATTCCCATCCGCGATCCGGATTTAGAAATCAATTGGGCCAGATCCAGCCCCTGGGCCTTAGTTTGCCTACCCATGATATAGAAGTTCCACAAGCTTGCAGGCGTACTTTCTGTGCCATTGGGTTCTCTGATTGTGTGGATCCCATGTTTCAGATGTCAGCACTCTGTGTGGACATCAGGAGCACAGGGATAGATGTAGCACTGGGGGAAGAGGCACAGTGCCACTCCCTGATGCACCCGGGATTGCCCTACACCTATTTAACGACACATGAATAGGACTAGTGTCTACCACACTGTTCCTCTACATCCTAACACTGAGAGCACATTGTTTCTGGTATCTTGCTGGAAGCACCCAAGTCATAATTGGCATATTACTAGTTTATTTCTCGTGTTTCTCCCCACTTGGATCATCAAGGTCCATTGCAACTCCCATCATGCCCCCAGGAATCATGGATGTTCCTGGAAATACTCCTTAATACACTGTAAATACTGGAAATATGAGATCCAGATACCAAATGGGACCACATTTAGTTGGAAACGAGAATCCACATGTTCCTTGTCACCACCCCATCTTACCCTACCCACTTGTTCAAATTTTCAAATTTCTCAATTTGTCTTCTCTGTTTCTCACTCTGCAAAATTTGGTACCTGGAATCTATTTATATTCAATTAACAAAAAAGCAAACAAAAAAACATTTTTGAAGGGCTTCCCATGTTCACTCAAGCTCCAAAATACTGGGAAATTGAAACTGTTCTGGTTCACACCCTGAGCAGATGTGTGGTCTGTGCAATATGGATAGGTTATGGCATCCTACCTTGTGGTTAGTTCAAGCTTCACCACTACCTTGTAGCTGGGTGACTTTGTACAACAGAGCCAATACAACAGAAGCTGCCAGTACAACACTACTGGCAGCCAAAACCATCCATAGAGATAGAGCTGAACGTGATCATCATCCAGTCCAACTCCCTGCTTGGTGTAAGATAGGCACAGGTGAAAGACTGGAATGAGGCAGATATTTATTAAGGGAAAAGGCTTCTCTTTGTTGGCACTTTGCTGATCAAATTCTCTCCCCAGCTATCCCAGGACCCACTCTGATGTTTGCTCAGCATGCAGCAAATCCCCCACACACACCCTGCCACAGCTGTTAGCTGTACATCTATTCTGCTGCTCCATTGTTTCTTGGTTATGACATTCCTACGAAATCGCTTAGCTCAGGATTTTGATTTTGTAAATTATAATTTACATAATGGAGGTTAACACGGAAACATATTAAATAACACATTGCATTACATTGCATGAATAAAATGATGATATGAATTGATTACTATTAATAGTAATACATAATAGGGCAGGGGAGGATATTGTAATAATATAATGAATAATCTATTATATCCTAATGCTATTATACCTTAATATACTGTCTTATCAGTTCTTTGTTATACTATATCAACATATTAATTAATCATAGAGATTTAATATATAATTAATATAATGTATTGCCTTGGATCCATGCATAGAGAAAGAACAATGAAAGCTGTTCATTGGTACGACAGTACTCTAAGAACGACAAATTCTGAGCCGAAGCTGGATGAGTTGAGGTTGGTTTAAATTGAATGAATGAGTGATTGAATGAATGAATGAATGAATGAATGCATTCTGGGGTCATGGTGAGGGCAGGACCAGAATGGGGAGACTTTGTATGGATCTTAAGCCCATTCAGCTAACACCAAGTTCTTGTGCATAGGTTTGCACCCTTAGAACGACAAATTCTGCATCAAACCCAAAGTACTATGGGGTACCTTTTGGAAGTCTGGAAAAGATTTATGCATCAACTTAGATTTCCCATAAACCTCATTGTTTGGACAAAGTCCTCCAAGCTCACCCGTCTCCTTAATGCTGCATTGACAAGCTTCTTATTTTTAATCATGTTTTCTTCTGTAGCAGTCAGAAAATAAGGCTCACCTGTTGGGGAACAAGATAGTGTTTCCGATTTGCTCCAAGCACTAGATCGATACAGCAGGAGTAATTATGACATTTGTTGGATGCATTAGGATAACTGATGGACCTTCCTTGCTCTGCCTGGTGAACGAGCTGGTAAAGTTTGTGACACATTAGCTTAGAGGAAGTTGGAATATGGAAAATAATCAAGTAAATGTTTGGTTTTTACTTGATCTTTGACGGGGTTTCTTCTTCTTCACACTAGCTGCTTAAATTTTAACACTACTTTGCAGTATTGTTTGCACTTCTAATTAAAAGCTAAAAGTTGCATTTCCTTTGGCTGAAGATCTTTTGATAAAGCTTATTGTTGTATAGTAGTTGAAGGCTCACAGGAGTACAGACATGCAGATCCTACTAAACTGAGCATTGCTGCCTGACTTTTTGAATTCTCCTTGGGAATACAGGGAAGGATCTGCCATGATGAATTATTCTTAATATGATTTATTTATTAAATTTGTATTTCATGACTTTACAGATTATCAGAGCACCACTGGCCATCACCAAATCATTGGCAGTGAGATAATCATGGCAGGGAGTCATATTAGTCCTCTTGCACTGACCCTTTTAATATTTGCTGAAATTCCTGAAGGATCTAGTACAGGAGCTATTGAGCCCAGTGTCATTGATTATATAAATAACCACAGAACCGGCTACAGGTGGAATCTGTCTATAGGCAGCCTCCCTACCTGGCTGTGAGGAGTATTAAGCAGATTAGCATTTGAGGATGAGTAGGCAAGAGTTCACAAACTTACAGTAGCGTTCTCTTAATTGTGAGGAGAGAGGAACTGAGCCAAGTCCTCCTTTATATTGGAACAAAGCATTCAGAACTATGGCAGTGTGGTGAGAGCCAATCAGAGGATGGATGTCTGAAGGTTCCAGGAAGCTGTTGACAGTTGGGAGTAGAGATGATGAAATATCTCTGCTTGCAGCAGAGAATGGTTTAGGGTTGCATTCTGACGATAAATTAATGTGGGTTATTTGGTGGGACGATAGGTCTAGAATTCCAAATAAGGGAAGTGATTGAGCTATGAATCTGGAAGTCCTCATCTGGCATGATTGCATAGGTGGCCCTAGACAGACTACATTCTCTCTCCACCTGCAAGATGGGTTTAATCATAGTGACCTACCTTCCAGTGTGGTTCTGAGGATAGCAATATGATGTCCTGGAAGTGATGGTAAATTGCTTTATACAAATGCTACATCTCATGTAGCTTCCAACGTTTCACGTTTCAAAATAGAGAGCTGTTTTTTTGGGAACATGTCAGTTCTCATGCTGGGTATCCATGCTCTAACCACTGCCTTTCCCTGCCAATCCTGGTCTTCTCAACTGGAGGCTTTTTTACCAGCTAGCATATGGTGCAACTCTATATTAGCCACTCCTCCATTGATAGGGTCGGCCCAATCATGTCTAGAGCATGATGGTCTTTGTTTCTTGCAACCTCTGAAAGAGACTTTGCCATGGTCAGTGCAATATCATTTGACCTATCCTTCAGAAGGTATTTAATATGGGAGGCTTCAGATTTCCCCCACAAATTTGCTAGTAAGGGTTTGATCAGTTGATCCCTGAATTAGAACATATTCCTTTCCTAGGAATAAGCAATTGCTTAATCTCCTTTACGGCTCTCTCTCTCTCTCTCTCTCTCTCTCTCTCTCTCTCCACATAGATAGACATAGACATAGACATAGACATAGACATAGACATAGACATAGACATAGACATAGACATAGACATAGACATAGATATGGTACCCTTAGGTAAGAACACTGACAATTTGTGGGCAAATGGGCCCAGAATTTTTGTTTGCTTGTTGTGCTAGACACCTTTGAGGATGAAATGGATTTGACAGCTGATTTACAGACCTCAAAACACCAATGGCTGCACCCCTGCAGTTATTCTCTGGAATTCTGGCAGGATTCATTGCCATCAAAAGGGAAAAACTTGCTTGCAAATTTCTTCACCTGTTTTTTTTTTTTTTATGTTTCCACCTTGAAATCTAAATGTAAGGGTGTCCAAGACAAGAGTCACTGGACCTATTGGTTTAAAACCAGTATAAAATGGTTACCATGTCTGAATAGTTTGTTCACTTCTCTTAGAAATAGCATGCCACAGCCATTTTTAGGAATTTCCAAATAGTAAAAAACCCCAAAAAACAAACAAACGGAAAATGCAAGTGATCCCCAAACCATACTGGTTACCCTTGTGGGAAAATTAATGCAAGTATCTTTCTGAAATTTTGCTTTTAGAAGGAAAATTTAGTACCCTTAATAAACAAATTGTATATATGGTTTGTCCCCAGGTATTAGTTAAGTACATAATAGTTACGAGCATAAAATAAGAAATTATAAGCCTCTGCATTAGATTTTTATTCACATTTCATACATTCATATAGATGCCATTTTCCTGTAACACGGAAATACAAAAAGTACATTACAGTCAATACCATGTGCTGAGAGCACATTTTGTACTTGAAAAGAGGGGCAGAAGATACCTGATGGAACATTTCATGGTTAGGAAAGTTGCAATGTACTGTGTCAAGGCTTCCTGATTGAATAAAATTAAAGAAAACAGGATGAAGTGTTGAAGATCTTTTTGTAAAAAAACACACCTGCTTTATAATCTTTTATCAGTCTAGGAATTAGAAATGTTATTAGCCAATTATACAACCTTTGGTTGCTACCATCCCTTGAATAATCAGTGCAAACCAGTGTGAATCCTGTGTTGCTGAAATTTGGACAGGGTATAGTCCTTCATAGATGGAGATATTTGCTTTTCTGTTTAGCTTTTGCCTATAAGCCTATAAACTTTTGCTTTGCTATGATGGGGTGTGATCATTGTTTGTTTTCTTGTTTATACCGCAATGTTCTTTTGTTGCTATGGCTGACTCAAATAAAGTTTCATTCATTCATTCTGCTGCCATTAAATAAAAGATTGTACCATATGTGTGTGTGTGTTTGTGTGCAGCCACAATGATGAGCAGCAACAATGATGGGCAGTTAGTCCATTGTAAAAAGAGAAAAATGATTTACCTCAGTACAGTTAGGATACCTCCTTTTCTGTAAGGCCCTACACCCTTGAGAAGGGACGCGGGTGGCGCTGTGGTCTAAACCACTGAGCCTCTTGGGCTTGCTGATCGAAAGGACAGCGGTTCAAATCCCCATGACGGGATGAGCTCCTGTTGCTTGGTCCCAGTTCCTGCCAACCTAGCAGTTTTGACAGCACAGCAGGGCAAGTCAATAAATAGGTACCGCTGTGGCAGGAAGGTAAACAGCATTTCCATGCGCTCTGGCACTCATCACGGTCCTCCATGCTCCAGTAGTGGTTTAGTCATGCTGGCCACATGACCCGGAAAACTGTCTGTGGGCAAACACCAGCTCCCTCGGCCTGAAAGGGCCGCAACCCCATAGTTGTCTTTGACTGGACTTCACCATCCAGGGGTCTTTTACCTTTTTTTACCTTACGCCCTTGAGAACAGTTGATGTTTCCCTTAAAAAATTAAAATGTGTTTCTGAAAACTATAACTTCATTGTCTGGTTATGTTATGTTATGTTATGTTATATATGTTATGTATGTTATGTTATAGTGGACCTGTGGATTTCATTTTCCTGAATGATTTGCTGTGGAAGCCATTTTGAGAAGGTTGCCGTGGAGCTGAGGCAAAATCAACACAGGCTACTTTTCTTTGGTGGCCTTTTTTTGTCATTTATGTAAATTGTATCATTGAGGTAGAATCCATATAAATGCATACATACATATATATCTGTAAAAACCATTAGGACAGAATAGTGTTATTTCTTGATGCTTGAGAATTCTCAGTGTAGTTTGCTACTGTACAAGTCCTTCCCTGTGAGACCCTGTGAATTGTATTAGTCGTTTTGATGAATGATTTTTTATATTTTCTGATATTTTGAATGACTACGACTTTATTCATCATTTCAATTACTGTGATGTTAAAAGGATCATTCTGTCATTTTTAAGACTGCATCCCAGTACAGCTTTCACCACTCTTTTATTGACTATGAGGGCCACTCCATTTCTTTTATGGGATTCTTGCCCACAGTAGTAGATATGATGGTCATCTGAACTGAATTCTCCCATTCCCATCCATTTTAGTTCACTGATGCCCAGGAAGCCAATATTTATAGTTGCCATCTCATTTTTGACCACATCCAGCTTACCAAGGTTCATGGTTCTTACATTCCAGGTTCCTATGCAATATTTTTCTTTACAGCACTGGACTTTCCTTTCGCTTCCAAGTATATCCACAACTGAGCGTCCTTTCGGCTTTGGACCAGCCACTTCATCAGCTCTGAATCTCCTTATAATTGTCCTCTGCTCTTCCTCAGTAGCATGTTGGATGCCTTCCAACCTGAGGGGCTCATCTTCTAGCATCATAACTTTTATATGCCTGTTGTCTTTGTCCATGGGGTTTTCTTGGCAGGGATACTGAAGTAGCTTGCCGGTTCCTGCTCCAGGTGGATCACGTTTAGTCAAAACTCTCCACTATGACCTGTCCATCTTGGGTGGCCCTGCATGGCATAGCTCATAGCTTCTCTGAGTTATTCAAGCCCCTTCGCCATGACAATGCAGTGATCCATGAAGGAGCTAAACCTTAGCGATATCATATAGACATTTCCAACAAAAAAATAAAGACCCCAAACTACATCCCTGATAGTTTGATAAAATAATGAAGTTACACTCTCAGCCATAAGCAAAATAAAATGAAAATGAAAAACAACAGCAAGACTCAGAAACTACATTGATATCAGGAAGGAAGAACTTCCTGACAGTAAGAGACATTAGGAAGAACTTCCTGACAGTAAGAGCTGTTCGACAGTGGAAATTGCTGCCAAGGAGTGTGGTGGAGTCTCCTTCTTTGGAGGTCTTTAAGCAGAGGCTTGACAACCATATGTCAGGAGTGCTCTGATGGTGTTTCCTGCTTGGCAGGGGGTTGGACTCAATGGCCCTTGTGGTCTCTTCCAACTCTATGATTCTATGATTCTATGATCAGTAACAAGTATTGCACTAGTTCTCTAGGAGAGGCAAAAAAATAAGGCTCAGTTCAGTTGAATGTTAAAATCAAAACTAACTTTTTTCTCACTTAGGAAGCACATCCATTTAAATTAACCTAAGTTCATGTGCATAATTTAGAAACAGAAAAGAAATAAATGGTGTGTGGTAGCTACAGCCAACTTTTCCATGGACTTTGGAGCTGTTACCTACTGCAGTATATATTATGGGTAGGATGGCAGGGAGAGGGAGAACAAGGTCAAAGTCATTCTCAACTCTAAATGCCATCAATCACAAACCTGCAGTTCCAGGGTCATGGTTAACAGAACAGTGAAAATGTTGCAGATCCCAAAGTCAGTGAGCAGAAGAAACCTGTGCCCTTTAGAATCAGCGATAAACATCTAGAGAAAACAAAGATAAGGCTGGGAGATCTGATGAATTACTCACTGGTTGACTTATGTTTCTTCCTGGACAGCTAATGAAATTCATTTTTAAAAAATAATAAAAAAAAAATATAAGATTACCAAGCATATAGATGAACAAATTTTGCTGAAGTGGTATCAGCTTGCTTTCACAAAATTCTGATCGGATGATGGTGATGACGACGACAATGATGATCTGTCAGTATAAAGCAAGTATAAATGATGCATATTGGGGCAATTTCCAAAGATCAAGGCCTTCTGGGAAATGATATATAATGAACTAAAAAAGGTATTGAAATACACTTTTGTGAAGAAACCAGAGGCCTTCCTCCTGGGCATGGTCGGCCAATTGGTGCGAAGGGAAGATAGGAATTTTTTTATGTATGCGACAGCAGCGGCAAGAATACTCATTGGGAAATATTGGAAGACACAAGAATTGCCTACTCGAGAAGAATGGCAGGGGAAAGTGATGGACTATATGGAACTGGCTGAGATGACCGGCAGAATCCGAGATCAGGAAGAAGGGTTGATGGAAGAAGACTGGAGAAAATTTAAAATATATCTTCAGAAACACTGTAATATAAAAGAATGTTAGAAAAAGGTTGGAAAAGAATATTAGGCCGTATTGGCAGACATGGTACAATGGAATAAGTAAAAATGAAGCGTAAAATGAGGATAGAGGAGAATTAAATACTTTCGAATGTTAAAATAAGTAAAAGAAAAGAAGGTTAGAAGGATTTGCTGGAGATACGATTTAAACTAGAATACAAAGCAGGGAGGTGAGAGGAAGTCATGGAAATAAGTAAAAGGGAAAAAGGTTGTAAAGGTCTAATTTGATTTTTGTTATTTTTTACTGTGATTCTTTGTTTTTTCTTATTTCTTTTTTTATTGTCTGTTTTTTGTAACATGTGTATGGTTTGTTTTTTCTTTATTTTTTGTAACTTTAAAACTGGAATAAATATTCTATAAAAAAAAACAAAACATATTGGGGCAATTTCCTCATCTAATTTAATATATACCCCAGTGTTTCCAAACATGGTTCTCCAGCTGTTTTGGGACGACAATTTCCATCTTCCCTGACCACTAGTCCTGCTAGCTAGGGATGATGGGAGTTGTAGTCCAAAAACAGCTAGAGACGCAAGTTTGGGAAACACTGATGTACACTAACAGGGGCCGAACTCATCAGAGTCTGTGACTGACCATGGAAAAGCATTTGGGGTCATGGTGGACAGCTCAATGAAAATGTTGTCCCAATATGTGGCAGTTGTAGAAAAGGTGAATTCACTCTGTTAGGGATTACTAGGAAGGGATTGACATTAAAACTGCCAATATCATAAGGCCATTAGACAAACCTGTGGAGCAAGCAAACTTGCAATACCATGTACAGACCTGGCCACCACAGCATGAAAACAATATTGTAGAGTCAGAAATCGTGCAGAAAAGGCCAACCACAATGAAACAGCTGCCAAAGTAACTGCTCCAAAAGGAAACAGCTCAATACTGAAGCAGGGGATTAATTTGGAGAAAAGGCAAGTAAGGAACCAACGGGAGAGTGAATTGACTCGGCAAAGTCATACACTTGACCTCTGCTCTGTTACTATGGTAACCCAGTGCACCTGGCCTCTTATCTCAGAACATCCAGCTGTGTGAAGAGATGTGCTAACTCAAAAATGAGCTCAAAGACTGTGCAATTTAACCCAATGTTCACATTACACTGATGCTCCAAAGTTCTTCAGAAGGTAACAGGCAGTGTTATAGGCAGCCTCATTTTGTAAGGCCGTTGCTTCTGGATGTCTATTTTTCTTATATGTAATGTAATGGCTTGTGAGTTGTGCATTTTAAACCATCAATTTTTATTGCACTGTTTATTTGTTGTTTTAAATTGTACACTGTGTGTGTGTGTCTCTGTGTGTGTGTGTGTGTGTGTGTGTGTGTGTGTGGTTACATAGTGGTCTATAAAAGACTGGTCTTTTGAAGGAGAATGATTTTTCAAAACTTAGGAGGTGAAAGAGGAAAAGGTGGAGGAGACTTACTGCCAATGCAGTTGCAGAGCAATAAATAATGGTAAAGTAAAGGTAAAGGAACCCCTGACCATTAGGTCCAGTCGTGACCGACTCTGGGGTTGCGGCGCTCATCTCGCTTTATTGGCCGAGGGAGCCGGTGTACAGCTTCCGGGTCATGTGGCCAGCATGACTAAGCTACTTCTGGCGAACCAGAGCAGCGCATAGAAACGCCGTTTACCTTCCCGCCGGAGCGGTACCTATTTATCTACTTGCATTTTGACATGCTTTCGAACTGCTAGGTTGGCAGGAGCAGGGACCGAGCAACGGGAGCTCACCCCATCATGGGGATTCAAACTGCCGACCTTCTGATCAGCAAGTCCTAGGCTCTGTGGTTTAACCCACAGCGCCACCAGTGTCCCATGAATAATGGTAAAGCTTATCAAACCCAGCTGAACTATCCCCAGTTTTGGCCCTGTCAACCAATAGAGTCTCTCCATATAATAGCAGCCTGAAATCAGGCAAACATAATAAAAATTATTAGATGAATTGAAGAACTGGCAGGGTTCTGAGCCCTTGAAGAATCTGGTCAGTTCTCTTTCTGCTTTTAAATTCTGCGCTTAAACTTGGATGTCAGCTGCTCTGAGTATAGAAAATATTCACCTTTAGTTTCACCTTTATAATTGTCTAAACACTTTAAGCAGTGAGTCCTGCATCTCAGAACTGTCTTCACTTCTCATTTCCCCCACTACCTTGACTAAATTTTTCTTTAAATAAAGCACAGACTACTATCATCATTATTTATCAAAATGATTACAGTTTCAGACAGTGGAAGAATAACAGTAACAGCTCTTTGAATAATTTCATTTATTTAAAAAAGCTATTTAATATATACACAAACAACGAAATAAACTGCATAGGATGCTTCCTGAGTTTTTAGTTGATGTTCCTCTTCTTGGTATGTTTCTTCCTGGGCTTCGGGATCAGCATGGATCTCCTGATCTGTACAAAGGCCTTCATTTTTGTTTCTGGTATAATCCTGAAGATAACGAAAAAGGTAGCTACAGAGACAGGCCAGAAGAGAAGAAAGATATAGGCTCCCATACTTGCCTAGAGATGGAACAAAAAGGGGGCAGAAGGAAGGAAGGAAGGAAGGAAGGAAGGAAGGAAGGAAGGAAGGAAGGAAGGAAGGAAGGAAGGAAAGAAACAGAATCTTGGTTATTTATTTGTCACACACATATTCTTTTGGAGTTTACCCTTCAAGGAGCTCAAGACCAGACCTCCAGAAATTTGCCACAAGTGGCAGTTTAAGATCAGTGGTGCATTTTGGACCAGCTCCCCACCCACCTAACCCAGGTTGACCTATCCCTGTTTTGCTCTACGTTATTGTGCGCATTCAGGGTTGGCTCCTTCCTGCTTGCTTGCTACAAGTCCATCGGCAATTCCACCCAAAGAAGCCAGCTATGGCTTTCTTGTCTTAGGAGGCACCATGGGCTCTGTCCGGGACACTGAAAGAGCGCATGAAAGAGTTTGACTGTGTGGGTCAATAATGCAGGCAGAGATTACAGGCAGGTCCTCCTCTGGAGAAGCATCTGCAGAGTTGCTCTCCTTAAATAAATAATTTTATTATTTATACACCACCCATCTGGGTTTCCCCAGCCACTCTGTGCCACTTCCAGCAGAATATATCTCTTTCCTATGACTAAACAATTCGTGGCAGAGCAGAAGGTGCTGGTGTTCGCATGGATATTATTATTAATTCAATTAATATACCAGCCACCCAGAGTGGCTGGGGCAACCCAGTCAGATGGGCAGGGGATGATGATGATGATGATCATCATCATCTCAGGATGGTGTACCCAGGGATGTTGGGAGGTGCAGTCCAGCAACGTCTGGAAGGGCAGAGTTTCCCCATCACTGCACTGAACCTGATTGGAAAATATGCAGATTCCTGGTATGATTTAACATTCAACTTTAACAAAACACACTGGCTGGATTGGGGGAAGGGTAGAAATAATGGCAAATAAATAACTTCAAGGGTATGGCTTCATTTGTGGGTTTGGGGAAACAATAATGGTGCGATAAGGGGCTGAGCTTTTTTTACCGCACTTACGACCAAACGGAAATTCAAGACGACTCACCTCAATGTAAAAGAATATGAATTCTATAAGAAACCTACTGAGCCAATGCACAAATCCTGCAATCGCAAATGCTGAGGCCCGGGATGACTGAAGGAACAGCTCTACCACAATTACAGATGAAATAGAACCTTGGTAGACAGAAATGATTTAGGGCATTGAATACCACTTTTATTTTATTTGACTCACTAGATTATCTACTGCATTCATATCTTTCATATCATCTAAAGAACACAATGCAAAGACCATAAATAAGCAAACCTGTCCTTCTAGCACAGCAAGCACCATATCTGCCTTTACAGCATTGTTAGTCACTTAGCACTTTTCTCTCCTGACCGAATGCTTTCCCTGGATTGCACAGGTTTTGAAACAACTTGTTAATGGAACTATGTATAACCTGCATTTTTCAGCTCTTGCAGTAATATTCAGTGTACAGAGCCTCCATGCATTCCTGAACATTGAACTTAAAAATATAAGTAACCTATGTTGGAACACTGAAAGCGGAAATGTTTCTTGAAGAATGACACCCAAGTTCTAGTTTCCAGGAAAAAAAACATTCCTCTTCAATGAGGCCTTTGGCTGATTAACATCCTATAGCCTTTTAAATGTGTTTAACATATGTTGTGCATATTATGTTTTTATCTTGTATTTTTATGTTTTGAACCACCTTGAGATCTATGGATGAAGGGTGGTGTAATAATAATAATAATAATAATAATAATAATAATAATAATAATAATTTTGGCCACCTCATGAGAAGAGAAGACTCCCTGGAAAAGACCCTGATGTTGGGAAAGATGGAAGGTACAAGGAGAAGGGGATGACAGAGGACGAGATGGTTGGACAGTGTTCTTGAAGCTACCAGCATGAGTTTGACTAAACTGCAGGAGGCAGTGGAAGACAGGAGTGCCTGGCGTGCTCTGGTCCATGGGGTCACGAAGAGTCGGACACAACTAAATGACTAAATAACAACAACAAATAATAATAATAATATCATCTAAGCACTTACCTGACCCTATACCATGTCCAAAGATGAATATGTTTTCCAAAACTTTTCTTACAAGCACCATATGTGGGATATATTTCTGTTGGAGAAAGCAGGTCATGTTTATTGTCCATAGCTGAGTTTAATGTGCATTTGAAATGTTTGTGTTCCAATTAAGGTAGGATTGTCCACCAGCTCATTTTCCATGAGTTTCCTCCCTGAACATCTGGATTCCCTCCCCCCTCGCCCACCAATTCAAGGTGAATTGAATAAGTTTTGAAAAACTTAAGATAATGGGCACATTTCCTCTCTCTTTTTACCTATGAGATGAAGCATCCGTTCTGACTACTATCCTTCCCATGCACCTTGCACCATCATGGTGCCAGTTTTATTTTGGGTAGTGCCTATTTTTGAAAATCTCTGCAGCAGTATATTTTTGTCTTCTTATGTTTTAAAACAACAACAACAATTAAATACAGAAAAACAATTACAGTGGTACCTCGGGTTATAAACACTTCGGATTACAGACTCTGCTAACCCGGAAGTAGTACCTCGGGTTAAGAACTTTACCTCAGGATGAGAACAGGAATTGCACGGTGGCAGTGGGGCAACAGTGGGAGGCCCCATTAGCCAAAGTGGTACTTCAGGTTAAGAACAGATTCAAGGTTAAGAATGGACCTCCGGAACGAATTAAGTTCGTAACCAGAGGTACCACTGTATTTCTCCAGATTTTCCTGATTAATGCTTTCCTGCTGATTTCAAATTATATGACTCTATTGATTTCCACCAGAACCATCTTCCTGTGTTAGAACGGGAAATGCCTATTTTGCCTATTTTTTTTTTATTTTAAGATTGAAAATAAAACAAAAGGTGCCCATGCAAAGGTTATATTGACTTGGGAATTCCTGCATGTGTGCTTTGGACACAGTTTATTTTAAAAGGCATGTCTACTGCTCAACTGATTCCTTAACACATGCACTGTTTGTGAAAAATAAAATTTGAATCTGCAGACTGGAAGATGGGGGACAAGGCAAAAGGCAACACCTACTGGTACAAATGAAAAGAGTCAGATTTGGTCTTCAGCTCCAGCTGAAAATCTCCCTGTGTGCATACTAAGGAGGCTAAATTCTAACGGAGGAAACATGGATTCCCCAATGGGCAAAAGATTCCTGCATTCCAAGGGGTTGGAAAAGATGACCCTTGTGGCCCCTCCAGCTCTGCAATTCTTGGATTGTAGGTGTGATCAAGCTTAAATGTGAACAAGCTGCTAGTGAAATTTCCAGGTGGAGTCCTCGTGGTGCCCTCCATATTTTGTTGGACCACAATTTGCAAAGCCGATTCTCCTCGCAGGGAGTTGACTTTGCGAGCAGATCATGAGCCTGACCCATGAAGACAGGGCTTAGGTAGCTCTGAGTCACAGGGAGCTCCTGGCTGCGTCACTTTATATCAGCCAGTCCGTTCGGCCAAGGGGGGCATGGCTCAGCCCATTTAAACAAGCTGCGGCCAGGCTCTCGCTCTCTTTTACCTTTCTCCCACTTGTGCAGTTCTCCCTCCCTCCCTAAGGTTAGGTCCTTATCCTTTGACCTTGCTATGAACCTCAGTTAGTTGCCTGTTGAAGGGGCCTGGTAGGAATTTTTTCCACTTGGCAAATTGGCACCAGCCACTTGGCTTTTCGCCTACCTCGTAGCAAATCCTCACAATTTTGTAAGATTTGGTGGTAAGGCATTGGAGTATTTGGTGGGAGGTGGCGGCCATCACCTACCCCTCATATTTCAAGGGTATTCCATTAAAGGAATCTGGGGGGGCGTGTCCGATAGCACGACCCCTATCGGTGACCCTGGGGAAATTCCTAGTTGATGTGCATCAACAGGGCTCCGCCTATCGGTGGTTAACCCTTATTAGACTCCCTGCAGGTGGGCAGGAGTCAGATATAGTCATTGGTTCCAATGCCTAAGCCAATACTGCTCACATTCGGTAACCAATAAAGTTGTGGCCTTTTTCAGCCCATTACCCTAAATTCTGGTGTCAAGTGTCTTTATTCTACAATCAGGGAGGGTTCAGGACCTTGCCACACAACATTCCTAACCATTGGCCATGCTTGATTGAGACTGATGGGAATAGGAATGCAGCAACACCTAAAGGGCTGTCACACATACTACTTTCCACCCCCCCCCACATTTTGGGAGGGCAATTAGGGACACATACAGACCTCCACCATCCTGCCACCTGCTGCCCGCTTGCATACCAGCAGTGCCGGGGGGTAGGGTGGGGGACAGCCAGTGAAGGTGTGGAAACAAAAGAATGTGCAACCAAAGGATATGTCCCTTTTGGTTTTGCACTCTTTGGGTCCCTGTTGGGTTAAATCCCAGAAGTGTGGCACCAGCTTCCATAAGTACATCGGCCATTCTGTTCTTTTGTCCCACACTCCGCTGCGAGTCAACTGACTCGCACCACAGTGTGGGACCAAAAAAACCTGTGTCTTTGGGTCCCACGTTCTAGTGAAACTAGAGTCAATCTGGGATGTCTCGTTCGAAACGGGACATTTGTGAGGTAAGCTCCCATATTTCCAGTTACCACTGTTTGTTCCATAGAACTGTTGGATTTGATATCCCGCTTTATTACTACCCAAAGGAGTCTCAAAGCGGCTAACATTCTCCTTTCCCTTCCTCCCCCACAACAAACACTCTGTGAGGTGAGTGGGGCTGAGAGACTTCAAAGAAGTGTGACTGGCCCAAGGTCACCCAGCAGCTGCATGTGGAGAAGCGGAGACGTGAACCCGGTTCCCCAGATTATGAGTCTACCGCTCTTAACCACTACACCACACTGACTGTTGACCCATAGAATGAAGGAGGCCTCTCTTGCCTCTGAATCTAACATTTGTGTAACTTTCACACGAAACATCTGTCAATGGGAAACTATGTTCTTATTCATTCACTTAAAGACTTTGTACAAAATTCAGCTGAAGGTTAAAAATCCAATGCAACTTTTCTCTCAAGTCTCCTTCTACAGATGTACCAATCAGAAGGATGTCCATGCCTCCGTTCGTATGCCTTGTTTTTATTATTCTTAAAGAAATGTCCTGTCACATCTACAGCCAACTTAAACATTGGCTTTGGAGCTTTTGCATGATACAGATTAAAGATGGAGGGGGGACAGGGCCAAACGACAAACTATTTAATGATTCTCAGCTCGAAATCTACCAACTACAAACCATTAAATCCAGTGACATGGTTAACATGATACAGGTCACGATGCAGATCCCAGAGCCAACGAGAAGCAGAAACTTGTGCCCCTTAGAATCAGCCAGATACATCTAGAGAATATAGAGACAAGAAAGAGGGACCCTAGGTGTTACAACAGTACATTAAAACAGTGTTCCCCAAACTAGGGCCTCCAGCTGGTTTGGGACCACTGGTCCTGCTAGCTAGTGATGATGGGAGCTGTAGTCGAAAAACAGGCTTCATTCACTCTGGAGGGGCTCCTGTTCCATAAATTTTCATAATTTTGGTCAAAAGAGGAAAATTGGCATCTGATTATTATTATTTTTTTTTTTTGTTCCCTGTTATAGCAAATGGGTAATGGGAGAGCTTTGTTTTGGACAGTTTTGCCCAGAACCTGAATTACAAATCAAAGCAGAGGCAGCATAGGGCAAAACAGTAAACAGTTGCTATTTTTTTTAAGACAGAGTTACTTGGGGCTTATTCACACCCTTCATTGAGAATGAATGCATACATGAGCAGCAGATTTTGAAGCGTGGCATACTGAATTTGTGTCTAGACAACCACAGTCGGGGGTCAAGGCTCTTAAATGAAAAAGAACCTGAAGCTAAGACTTACAATGCAATCCTCTACATATCCACTCAGAGATAAGCCCTTCTGATCCCAGGTAAGCATATGTAGCATGTCTGGCCAACAAAATACCTTTCATGTGTAGTGAGATTACAACTCCCATCGACCCTAGCTATCGGGGCCAATAGTAAGGAATGGTGTAAGTTGTCTTCAGGGCTTCTTTTGAGGCTGTATGTACCACCTCTTCCCCCACCATCCTGCTGCCACAACTTCCCGATGTGAGACCCTTTTACAGTTAGAATCATAGAATCACAGAATCTACGAGTTGGAAGGAACCCCAAGTTCATCCAGTCCAACCCCCTACAATGCAGGAATCTCAGCTAAAGCATCCTTGGCAGGTGACCAGCCAACCTCTGCTTAAAAACCTCCAAGGAAGGAGAGTCCACAACCTCCTGAGGGAGACTGTTCCACTATCGAACAGCTCTTAGTGTCAGGGGGGGGGGAAATAATCGTTTGTCTGGTTGGAATCTCCTTTCCTGCAACTTTAAGACATTGGTTTGAGTCCTACCTTCCAAAGCAGGTGGAAACAAGTTTGCTCCATCCTTCTGATACTTGAAGATGGCTATCATATCTCCCTTCAGTCTCCTCTTTTCCAGGCTATATATACCCAGCTCCTTCAACCGTTCCTCACAAGACTTGGCTTCTAGACCCTTGACCATCCTAGTTACCCTCCTCTGCACACATTCCAGCTCGTCAACATCTTTCTTAAATTGTGATGCCCGGAACTGGACACAGTATTCCAGGTGTGGCCTGACTAAAGTTGAATAGTTGCCAAAACGCCTTCGAGGAAGGTGCCTGGCAATCGTAAGAAGGTCTCACCATAGCAGAGGCGCTTTGGCGCAACATTTTTATGATTGCCAGGTACGCTTTGATGATCGTAAAAGTGGTCACGCCAAAGTGCCACTGTGGGAAGCGGTGAAGTAGGAGGACAAAGTGCCTCTGGGAGGCTGTGCCTGCCACTGCAGGAAGTAGTGGCAGTGGCAGTGGCAGACGCAGTCTCAGGCAAAGGGGGAGGGAGCAAGCAGGAGGGCATGCAAATGGCAGCCGGGTGGAGGTGGGGGAGATAGGGGGCATGGTGTGTACCGGCAGCTTTTTCATAGAAATAAAGCACTTTTTGTATTCCAACAGCATCTAGAGAGCAGCTTGTTGGCTACTCCAGAGGTATAGGGTTGTAGCCACATGGATACATCTGTATCACAGACTTAAACTGGTCTAATATTAATTCCCTTTTCCAGAGGACTTTTAGGAATCATAGTTCTATGATAGTAAGATAGGGGTGATATATCAAAACCAAAAAAGGTTTTGACCTTTAAAGCCCTTCACAGCCTAGGACCCTTGTACCTACGGGACTGCCTCTCCCGGTATGCCCCATGGAGAGCCTCAAATAGCAACACCCTAGTGGTCCCAGGCCCTAAGGAAGTTAGATTAGCTTCAACCAGACCCAGGGCCTTTTCAACACTGGCTCCGGCCTGGTGGAACGCTCTGCCTCATGAGACCAGGGCCCTGCAGGATCTGATTTCTTTCCGCGGGGCCTGTAGGACAGAGTTGTTCCACTTGGCCTTTGGCTTGGAGCCAAATGCAGCAGAATAAAGTACATAAAGACAGGAGCTCTTGCTTCTTCTAACACACGCACATGCAAAGTATTTTTTAAAAAACCCTTGGGACAGTTCCAAGTAAAGCATGGAGCCATGCAATCTGTTTAAATCTAAGGGCTTCTCTTAGAACTGGGGTGTCCAAACTTTTTTCAAAGAGGGACAGATTTGATGAACTGAACATGCGTGAGGGACGACCAAAGGGCCAACCAAAGTTGTTGACCTTTCTTTAGGATTGAAGCTGTTGAGCTTTTTTTAGGATTTTACCCCAGGAAATAAACTGCCACAAGGGCCAGATTAAACTGACCGGTGGGCCAGATTAGACCCCTGAAACGGACTTTGGACATGCCTGTCTTAGAAAGAATAGTTAGAAAACCCCATAAAACTACAATTCCCAGGTTTGTGGGAGAGTGGGAGAGCTGCTGCACAGAAAATAATATTGCAGAAAAGATATAGAATGTTGCAGTGAGGATCAGTCTATTGAAGAAGAGTGATTTTCAAGACTTAGAAAGTGAGAGGAAAGGTAGAGGAGACTTACCGATAACGCAATTGCACAGGAATAAACAGTGCTTCCGATTATCAAAAGTAGATGTATTTCCGCAATATCTGACTTTGTAGGCGAGATGATTCTCTCTTTATAATAGTATGCCTGAAATCAGACCATCACAATAAAAAGTGTTAGGTGAGGGGAAGAAGCACAATGATGGTGACCTGGGATTCTGAGAAATCCTAGAGTTCGTTTTCTGGTTATTTTAGTTGCTGTTGTTCTTTTCTGGATGTCAGCTGCTCTTAACCTAGAAGTCCTTTAATTTAGGTTCCTCTGTATAATTGACTCGACACTTTAAGTAGGAAGTCTTGTGCTTCAGAGTTGTCGTTTTCCTCATATGCCTGCCGTACTTGACTTAATTTTAGTGACTGACAAAGATGGAAAATAATTCAACATCAAATCATAAAACTGTAGCGTTGGAAGGGACCAAAGAGAAGAGACTCCTGACTTGGTTCTCCTCCTTTGCAAAATCTAAGTCTAAAGTGATGATGTTAACTAGGTATCCCCTGAACTGCATCATTGCCCAAAAAGCAGAGTAAAACAAATATATGACATAGAATCATAGAACTGTAGAGTTGGAAAGGACTTCCAGGGTCATGTAGCCCAACGACCTGCAATATAGGAGTCTCAGCTAAAGCATTCTTAACAGGTGGCCATCCAACCTCTGTTTAAAAACCTCCAAGGAAGGAGAGCCCACCATCTCTCAAGACAGCCCATTCCACTGTCAACAGCTCTTACCATCAGAAACAGCTCTTACTTGTCACTATTTTCCAGGATGTTGAGAAACCATTGGTGAGCACTCTTTGGGATTAGTCAGTCAAGCAGCTACAAGTCCACCTAAAAGTGACCTCATCCAGCCCACATTTTACCAGCTTCTCCACAAGAATATCACGGGGGACTCTGTCAAAAGCCATACTGAAATCAAGATATACTACGTCCCCAGCTTTCCACTGATCCACCAAGTTTGCAACTATCTCTGTATAAGGTATTGAGATTGTCCAGCATGCCTTCTTCTTTTCTTTTCTTTTTAGAAACCCAGGCTAGGTCTTAGTCATCACAGCACCCATTTCTAAGTATTCACACACTGACCATTTAATTAAATGTTCTAGGGCCTTTCCTGGTCTCAACCTCAAGCTGACTAGTCAGTAGTTACCTGTATCTTATTTTTTTTCCCTTTTTGAAGACGGGTACAATGTTTGTCCACTTGCAGTTTGCAAGGACCTAATCTGCTGTCCAAGAATTCTCAAAGATTGTTACATGACATTGATGTACAGGGAACTGGAACCTCTGCTAATACACAGGAAGCAGAAGGAAGCAGCTGGAAAGAATTATTTGTAGATTCAGTTTTCTTTATACTAATTCACAGAGCACGGGAAAGAAACAAGATGAACTTGAGCTCTTAAAATAGGAGGGCAAATATAATATAATAGGCATTTCTGAAACCTAATGGGATGAGACTCGTGGTTGGAATATAGTAATTGAGGGGTATGAACTAATCAAACAGGAAGGAACGAGAAGTAGCATTATATGTAAAGGATATGTGCACTTGTGAATAAATCCAGGACTTGGAGCATGGAAGGCAGGTTGGGAGTATTTGGGTAAAAGTACCAGAGCCCAGGCATCACTCCACACATGCCCAAGGCTTCTGGACCCTCCTGACTGGCCCTTGGCCTGGGGCCCTGTCACTTCATATTCACACAACTGGACGTGAAGCTTAATTGACCCCCTTCTGGCCGCAGAAACCATGCCACTGCCCCCACCGCCCCTGGTGTTGGTGGCATGGCTACGCCAGACAGCAAACACCCACCCCTTGGAGCCCTTAGATAAGCAGCTATTAACATGGGTTATTTGTATTACCCTCTGGAGTAGCAGGAAACAAGCTTGCTCCACCTTAGATGTGACAGCCCTTTAGATATTTGAAGATAAAAGGGGGATTTTGATTAAACATGGATGCCATCTGTCATGGATTCTTTCGTTGAGATTGCAGTGTGTTGGACTAAATAACTCTAGAACCCTAACAACTCTACAGTTCTATTATTTTATTCTTAGGAAGAACTTTCTGATGGTAAGAGCTGTTTGACAGTGGAACAGTATTTCTGAAGGTGGTAGTTCCCTTCATTGGAACTTTTAAAGCAGGAATTGGGTAGTCATTTGTCAGGGACTCTTTAGCCATGACTCTTGCATTGCAGGGGGATGATGACCTTCGGAACCTCATCCAACTCCACAGTTCCATAATTTTATAATTCTGTAACATAATCATGTTGATTTCCCCCTCTTCATGCTGAGAAAATGAATTGAAACAGGAAAATGCAAGACATGGTGATGTTGTGTCAAATAATGGACATATCAGTTCATATCCCATCCATTTTAACTTCACGTGTGCTCATTAACAAATCTGTTCTGTACTATTTCTGCATTAATTTGGAAACCAGACATTTCTGCACAAATATTCCTTTTTCGATGCATATTTAAACACCTGGTACATTTTTCTGAGCTGAGAAACATATTGCAAAATTTCAACAAGTGCAGAACCTGAAAGATCATTGCATTCCAATCCATACGTTAATCTGATACGTGGGAATCATGTTATCTCACATTAGATGTCAGACCATTAACATTTCAGAAACTTAAAGGAATCATTCCAATCTGTCTAACTGTGTGATGCCTCATTCTACATTACCCTGATGTCTTTAGTGTTCTGTACCTGTGAAATCTATACACTTTTAGGCAGAGGCAGAGTTCCTCCACACCGGGTGCTGAGCTGAGGAGGGCATTACTATGAAGTAGTGCATTCACAGAATGGAAAACAAGAGGCGGGGAGTGGTGGTGAATTTTGACCTTGCACAGGGTGCCACTGAAATCTGAAAGACCATAGTCTGCCTCTATCCTAGGCAATGCCATCTTCCCAGTAGATACACTGTCAGGTCATTCACAGAGCAGAGAAAGACAGTGACACACAGCTCACTTACAGTTAGTTTTTTAAAAATTAAGGAAGCAGAGCAGAGAACACATGGAGACTTCTGAGATTGCTACTGTCTAGTTGAAGCAGTTGCTCAGACTGGCTTGTATCTCCCACTTCACTCCCTATCCCTCTGTGTCAGGCCCCTCCCTCTGTCTACGGTGAGCCCCAAGGGACGCTCTCTGTTTCCGCCTGGCTCTGTGCTCAGTAACATGCAATAGATGCATTGTTCTGGGAGTAGGGGCACACAGGCTGTCAGCAGAAAATCTGTCAGGGTGGCTCTGTGATGAAACTGCTAAGTCTGATTCTTGTCTTAGCTCTGTGCTGTGGCACTTGCCTGTTTCTTCCTTTTCCTCCTCCTCCTCCAAGCTCCCAGTCTCCAGTACTCCCCAGCTCTTCCCCTCCTCTGAGGTGTGTCTATTTGTTCACCACCAGGATCCCAGATCTAAATCCTCTTCCTCTGCATTTTCCCTGGGGGGCTCTTGGTCAGGTGGTTTCCACCCACTCCTCCTCATCCAGTCAGTCCCTGACATCCACTAGGGTGAAGATGGAAACCTTAAGGCACCCTGGGTGTTGTCAGGATATATATCACTGGCCATGCTGTCTAGAGTTGATTGGAACTGGGATTCACCAACACAAGGTGTGCCACAGGCCTCCCCTTAAGGGTGGTTAGATAGTCTTGATCCCTGGAATAGAATCTAGAAAACAGAGCAGCCCCTGAGTGCATCAACATGGGCCATTCCCAGAGACAAGCAGTGACAATTGGTGCTTCTGAACCTTTTTGTGAAATACATTCTCATTTTACATGGTTGAACCTCCTAACAACTTGGGATATTGCTTTCCTTACTGCATTGAGGCCATCAAGCTGCTCTCCACCCATCAAGACGAAGATGCGGATGACATGCCATTTTAGGCTTGGGGTCATCATTAGCTTAAGTGAATCCATGTTCTTTTCATCTTTCTCAATTATGTCCTCCAGCTGGAGCTCTTCTATCTCATCGTCCACGTCGCTAGTGTCTCGCAGCTTCTTCAGTACTGGGTGTGAACAGAGGCAGAGAGGATTAGACTTCGAAAGGGGTGACTTCTAAAATAAATAAATAAGCAGATTGATTGAAAAGAAGTTGGAAAGGGGAAGTCTGGAGGGTTTAATCTCTCTAGAACGCTTGGGCGTAATTCAGAACCATAAAGAAACAATTTTGGGAATCTCTTAATAAAAATTTGTGGTATTTGAGGAAATTGTATTGGGATACTTTCTGTATTTGTAATTGTTACAACTATTACACAACATCATGTGTGTAGTATTTTTTGTTAATTTCATTGTTCCTAGAATTCCTCTTGTTTTTCATACTTCCATACATGCCACAAAGGATATTAGCTGCTTCCTTTTTACATTACTGGAGACAATCAACACGATGACAATGCCCCCACTCCCCCTACCCCAGAACACATCCGCATGCAATTTTGAAAACTTGATTTAAAAAACAAGCAGACTATTTTTCTATTTCAGAGCCTAAACATAATGCACTGAATCACTCCAGCTGGATCGTCATGTTTATAGCATCCATGACCGATGGCCATCCAGCCTCTGCTTAAAAACCTCCAAGGCAGGAGAGCCCACAACCTCTTGTGGGAGTCTGTTCCACTGCCGAACAGCTCTTGCTGTCAGAAAGTTTTTTCAAACGTTTAATTCGGAAATTCATTTCTTGTAGCTTGAAGCCACATTCTTCCACTCATGATACCCAGCAACTTTTATTCAGAGGTATACTGACTCTGACACTACTGCCATCACTGCAAGTAGCCATTGAATGACCATTGACTCAGTCCAGTATACCTGAAGAAGTATCTCCACCCCTATCGTTCTGCCTGGACACTGAGGTCCAGCTCTGAGGGCCTTCTGGCGGTTCCCTCACTGCGAGAAGCCAAGTTACAGGGAACCCGGCAGAGGGCCTTCTCGGTAGTGGCACCCGCCCTGTGGAACGCCCTCCCGTCAGATGTCAAGGCAATAAACAACTAGTTTACTTTTAAAAGGCAACTGAAGGTGGCCCTGTTTAGGGAAGCTTTTAATGTTTGACAGACAGATGGTTGGGGTATACATAATAAATTATTATTATTATTATTATTATTATTCCCTAAATAGTTGTGTGAAAGGAAAGTACATTTATATATCAGCTGTATGTGCATTGTTATGAAAGGCTGTTGATGACCCTCTATTAATGAGAGGATTATCAACATAAATGATCTGATAATCCTAGATTGAATTATGCAACAGGCCAAAGGTGCCTGAGGTCTCGTCAGCCTGAAGGGATATCACAGCTCTTTATGGTGCCCATACCTAGAGGTCCCAGTACCTTTTATTGCATTGTTTTCATCCTCCTTCTGAATGAAGAGATACCTAGGACTTTCAGGAAGTAAGGGCAGTAGAAAGACCTGAAGCAATGGCATGACCACAGAAATGCTTGTCAGAATTGGTAAACCTGTGAAAGAAAATAAGAGTGACTGATAACGTGAAAACACTGAGGTGGAACTTCTGAAAAGCTGTAAGTCAAAGGATGAATTTCTCTGAATTACCTTTTCGGGTCCCAATAATTTCTGGGAGAGAAAGTATCTGAGCCAACAGAACACCAAAGGAAGAAAACAGACTGTGCATCATCATTATGCGTCCCCTCAGGTGTATAGGGGAGATTTCCCCAAGATATATGGAGACAACACAGAAGGTTATTCCTGGTTAGGTGATAAATCAAAATATAATTTACAATGAGCTTGTGACATGGTGTACAGAAACATATATAGAGAACTCTGCGTGGTACAGAAGGCCACAATGAGTCATGCAGTTAACTCCTTATGAATTTAAGAGGTCCCCCACAGACTTCTGCAAAATGTCATGCTGTCCTTGACAATTTGCATGAGAGGTTACTGGATCAAGTTACATGGAGAGATGATATTTGACATCATAGTTACAGAGTTGTTGCCCAGTTGTAGCTCCCCACCATTTCAGGCCCCACAAAGTTACAGAAAGAGGTGTTCTCAGTGACTACTTCTTAACTTTGGAGATTTCTCCCCCTGGCTGGTTGCCAAAAGCCAGAGCGCTTGACGCCATAGACACCAAGATGTTGCCCAGTTGTAACTTAAACCAAACTGAGCCCCACAAAGGCTTGCAGAGAGGTCTTCTCAGCCGCTGCCTCTTAACTTAATAGATTTCTTCCCTAGCTGCTTGCCAAAGCCAGAGATTGTTCATCTTCCAGAACTGGAATTAAATATGTTCATTTAAACTAATTGCGATGGCTAGAGAAAAGTTAGAAGAAAAGTAGCCAACCTGACACTCCACAAATGATATTTTGACTGCCATTCTCAACATCGTTTACTATTGAATATGTTGGCATGGGCGGGTGGAAAATATAAATCAACAATATTTGCCTCCCACTGGAGTAGATTAGTATAATTACCACATCCCAGATCTTTGGGATCTAATCTCTAATCTAATCCACCCCACACATCGTTCTTCATGTCCTTGGAGACTAAGGGAGAGGGGAGTTTGTCACAGTAAGACAGGAAGACTCCCAGGATTCTTCTGCAGCCTCTTGCCCCCTCTCTGCTTCAGCAACTGAGTCTGAATTGCTCCTTGTCACAGGCTCTCCCTGCTCACTAAATCCTGTTGCCCCTACAGCATCCAACAACTCCTCCCACTCTTCTCCCTCTGACCTCTCCTCGGTGTCCCACCACCAATCCCCAGGTTCTGAGACTTCCTCCTCTGAGGTTTCCCTTGGGGGTTCCCTGGCTGGTGCCCCCCCCCCCATCATGCAGTCGGTCCCTGAAATCAGCTCAGATGAATCTTGTGCATTTCAGGATGATTTCTTTTTGCAAAAAGGCAAGCCAATAAATTCAGGACTCCAACTTACCTGAACATAATCCAAAGCAGAAATTGATAAAGAGGCTGTATCCATAGGTTCTTATCAAGTGTGAGAGACCCAATAGTACAGAACAAATAATGTACAAAATGTCAGCTATCATCAAAGCACCTTTCCTGAAAAAAACAGGCGGGGTTGAGGGAGGAGATGCCAATGACTTCAACTGTTTGGACTGAAATTGGGATGTCACATCACTCATTCCATTTCTCAAATCGGGAGAACTCTACTGATATTTTGAGAGTAAATGACTGGGACGCACGAAACATCTCAAGCATGGCTAAACAGGGTTTTCCTTATTTTTGTATTGGACCTGGAACCATTAGAGGAGGTTCTTAGAAACTACCCAAATATTAAAAGCATCATAATAAAAAGTAAGGAACATCTGGCTAACTTAAATGCTGATTACAACATGGTCCTGATGCTAGCAGATACTTTAGATACACCACCTTATTTACACCAGGAACTGAATGGACATAGCAGGGCTAAAATAAATTAATCAAAATCAACTTTAAGGCTTTTCAACATCCCACCCAAGATTCAGACTCTAATTCCAATGAAGAGTCCCACATAGATATAAAAGCTTCCAATATTTGGAAGTTTGGGGAACCATGAGCCTGAAGAAACTATTTCTAGCAGGGCTCCTATAATCTCTGGACAGCTTTGTCCCACTGGTTAAAAATAATAATAATGAAAAGTGATTTTGAAAGGTTGACTTCCTTTGATCTTGCCATACTGAGAAAAACGTTTCTGTAAAAAAAACTTGTCTGCCTAAGTTGTTACATTGCCTAAGTTGTAGCTTTTCCAAGTTCTTCCCGTGGCTATATCACCCTAAATTTTGGCTGCTTGGCAAAAACTTTTTGAAACATTTATATTTGAATCTAAAGAGGCTTGGGTGAAGAAAATTTACCTATACAGAACAGTTTTAAAAGTGCTTGGATAAATTAAACTATATTGTGAAGCTAACCAGTCAAAAGCAGGCTATACCCCTAATATTGAGTAACACAGCAAAAGCCTAGAAACAAACTGAACAAATGCACAATACGGGAAATTCAATGGATGTTGTTCTTTTAGTGGGGATCTGGTTAAAGAATTTAGATTGGGTAACTACCCTAAAGGTGACTCTTAAGATATGCAAATCCAGGATGAAATGTTTACCCCTTCCGAAATCTCAGTTATCCAAATTGTGTGCAATCTACTTCCTTTTAATAATAAGAATACTTAAATATTGTTCTGTCTGTAGTGTTAGTGTAGTGAAAGATAAACCTACCAATGTGGTTTCAACTAATTTTGTGTCTATAGGATTATAATGCGTTTGGAGAGCATGTTCCCACCACCCTAAAACGAAGTTCAATTAGCTAGCTAAAAGTGATCGGATAAGATTCCAGGACTCTGTTCCTCCCTGCTATACAACACTCCCTGAAACGTTTAGTGAAATATGAAAATTATCTGACATCATCCCCTTTGCCTTTCTTTGAAATCCCATTCCATTTGGTTGAATGCCTTGGGCAGGTGGAATGAAACTAACAAAGCTGATGGCATTTTATCTTTTATTAGATGCTACTGGGGAATGTAGGTCAGCAGCAACCACCCATTCCCGCATCCCCTCAGCATGCTAGGAAATGCAGTTCACCACTTAAAGGGTTATATCTATACCTGCCAAATCTATCCATCAGCCAAGCAACAGGAAAGGACCCACAGATAGCTCCGAATGGAAATAAAGCCACAGGGATAGTGGCCAGGACCAGCTTAGAATCTACTCTATTTCCAAGCTCTTCCAACATAGTTGTGTTATACAAGTCATGCAGGAACTAGGAGAGAAGCACATAACATTCAACATTAGGACCTTTCTGCAGAGTGTATGGCAGCAAAAGCTGAGAGGCTGAGACCTGGCGGAAACCCTGGAGAGTCATGACTAGCTAGTGTGAACACTGTTGAGCTAGATGTACCAATGGCCTGACTCACTATGAGGAAGCTTCCATCATCATTAGCATCATCATCAATATGCTGCCCATCTGACTGGGTTACCCCAGCCACTCTGGGCAGCATCCAACAAACTAAAGTACAGTAAGACATCAAACACTAAAAACTTCCTGATACAGGGCTGCCTTCAGATGTCTTCTAAAAGTTGTATAGTCCTTTATCTCCTTGTCATCTGATGGGAGGGCATTCCACAGGGCATTTTATCTTTTATTAGATGCTACTGGGGAATGTAGGGGAATGCTACTGGTTCCCTGTAGCTTCACTTCTTGCAGTGAGGGAACTGCCAGAAGGCCCTCAAAGCTGAGTGATGGGGGTGGAGACGCTCCTTCAGGTATACACAGCCAAGGCCCCTGAAGGCTTTAAAGGTCAGCACCAACACTTTGAATTGTGCTCGGAAACGTACTGGGAGCCAGTGTAGATCCTTTAAGACTTTTGTCCTGTGTTTAAAAAACAAACAAAACAGCAAATTTTTGGCAGGGAGCTGCAGCCAATGCTGGATGGACAGTGGGAGTGTCGGGATGAGGAATGACTCTGCCTCATTCCCAGTGAAAAAGTTAGTTTCTTGCACAAGGTGAGCATATGCGATGTCCCAGAAATCACAAAAGGTGTCCTCACCTTTATGTCATTCTGTCATTTATCAAACTTCTCAATAATTCAGGCATGTTTGGGGTACCTGCTTGTGAAGCAGCTTGAATTAATAACATAACAACCCCCTTTTGCAAAACTTAAGAATTTTTTTTAAAAATGCTAAGACTCAAAATGGGTGTAGTTTATGAATTATGGATCAGCTGCAACAGAAACAAATTCAGTGGTGTTTACAACCCAGCAAGATGGGTGGGGTATAAATGATAAAGTTGTTGTTGTTGTTGTTGTTACATTATGGTGGAGGAGTTAGAAAGGAAATGGGGTGAAGTGGAAGAGATGCTGTGCGTTCTCACTGTGCATCCATGTGTGTGCATATTCACATGCCACATGCGTGCCCAGGAAGGTCACGACTGATACAGAAATTTTGACATTAGATTCTTGCCTGAGATGTTCCATGTATTTTTCCAATACTAATTGCAGAAGTCTATATAGGATTATATATCAATGTGCCAATGAATAATTTGATTCTTGTGTTTCTGCATTTTGCAACTCTTATGCTACACTGTGTAAACACCGAATCATTGCATTCCATGCTTATCTGACCCTAAAAAGGCACAGATGACCAGCCTGGAAATTCATGAAGATTTTTAAACAGAAAATAAGCATCTTGCTACAGAAATGTGGGGGACCAAATTTAAGACTGGGGTGTGTGAGAAACCGAGAGAACCAAAACAGGCAGATCCTTCCATCCCTATTTCCAGTATGTGCCCCCCCCTCAAATTACCCTAGGTGGAATGTGGCCCTCAACAGTACAAAAGCCCTATAATAACTGCTGCTTTAATAACACAGCTACACTGCAGCACCATCTTACCACAGTTGGAGAGTAGAGTAGCCACATGTTGTAACCATCACACTGTGATAGGAGGCAGGAAGCAACTGAGACCCAAATAAGCAACTTTGACGACTCCTGCAGGAAGGATAAGCAGGTACTGTGATGAAACTGCACAAGGTCAGATACATGAGAACAGCTGCTCATGTGTAGATGTTCCACGAGATCATGAGTGAACTATCTGTGCAGTTCAGTTTCCTGACAGTGTATGTGCTTCTTTTCTGATGTCCACGCTCAGTGCATGGAAAGCAGGGTGACAGGGTGTCAAGGAGCTGTCAGGGAGCCAGGTCAATCACAAGGCAGGCACACACACAGAAGGCACACAGCAGAGTCCTCTGGTTTGCCTTAATCCAGCAAAGACATAGCTGAAACTGACCACTAGCTCTGCCCATCCCCCTCTAGCCTATCAGTCTGGATCCCTTCCAAGCAGACAGAGGCTATGTAGAGAGGCTGAGCTCCTCCTCTGGGCCTTTCTGGCCTGCTGCTCAGCAATGTGCAGGACTTTCCTTGAGAGGGGTGTCAGAGTGGGAGGAGAGCCAGCAGGACTGGGACTGTCCTGCTGCTGTGTAGCAGGGTCAACCTCTGACTCCTCTCTGTCCGAGTCTGCTCACACACTGTGACTCTCAGCCTCTCCCCCTGTCCTGGAAGGGCCTCCTTCTCCTGTCCTGACCCCCCTTCGATCACTCAAACCTCCTGCTTCTAGCACCTCCTAGCTCATCCCTTCTGCAGACTGCTCTTCAGTGTCACACCACCAGGATCCGGGATCTAAGTTGTCTTCTTCTGTGCCCTCCCTGGAGGGTATCTTGGGTGGTTGGCTCCCACCACTTCCTCATCCAGCTAGTGGGCAGAGCACACTAGCACTCCCTGCTGCAGCTGTGATGGATGTACTTCTAACTACTCCTGCCACATATTCCTTCTCCATCTTAATACAGAGAGCACATTGTTTCTGGTGCCTTGTTGGAAGTAAACCAAGTCATGATCAGCATATTAACAATTAATTTCTAGTACCCATTTCATTCCACAACCAATCCAAGAGTCGGGAAACTGGAATCTTATAGTCCAGTCAGGAGATGAAGACCCGTCACAGGCCCCAGCTGCAAGATATCACTGATTAGAAATGGATGGGTGTCATTAATAACTTCAGTATCAGCATTGAAATGAGGGTTGTAAATTCCCAGGGGCCCTGGAACTTCCCCCCAAACCCAGCTGCCATCTTACCAGTTTTGGCCCATCACACTGAAACTACTCAAGGGGTGGGGGGAGGTTCAGTTTTGAACTTAATCCTCCCAAGAAATAAATTTATCCATCACAGGATTTTACTAAATCTGGACAACCACATTCCTGGAAATATTCATAAATACAATGCGAATAAGGACAAGATTCAGATCTAAACTGGGCAACATTTAGGGAATAATCTTATGAAGCATGCAGCTGCCTAAATCTGGCAGACGGAGAATGTGCCTTTAAAACAGTATTTTGTGCTAGGGAACCAGGTCATGTAACTAAGTTTAACGGGCTTCAAACCCAGCTGGTATGCTAAATTATTTTATCAATTGTTTTTATTATACCAAACTAACATATTAATCATATAGATTTAGAACAACCCATAATATCTTTCCTTTCTACATTGGGACTACCCTAAGAATGCCTAATTCAAACCAAATGTATTATGAGTTGTTCTACCTATAAGAATCTGGAAAACATTTACACATCAGTTTGGATTGATAGGACTCACCTGTGTCTTGGGTGTTTCCTCCAAACTCGCCTGAGTGTTGGTTGTTCCCTCTGAACTCACCCAGGTGTTGGTTGTTCCCTCTGAACTCACCCGGGTATTGGTTGTTTCCTCCGATCTCACCCGGGTGTTGGTTGTTCCCTCCAAACTCATCCAGGTGCTGGTTGTTCCCTCCGATCTCACCCGGGTGTTGATTGTTTCCTCTGAACACACCCGGATGTTGGTTGTTTCCTCTGAACTCACCCGGGTGTTGGTTGTTTCCTCTGAACTCACCCGGGTGTTGGTTGTTTCCTCCGAACTCACCCGGATGTTGGTTGTTTTCTCCGAACTCATCTGGGTGTTGATTGTTTCATTGTCTACCTCCTCTATTTCATCCATGGTTTCTTGTGTAGGAGCCCAGAAAGAAGGCTCACCTGTCAAGAAGTAAGAGAGTTCTTTTCATTTGGACCTACCATCTGTTTCACAGATACAGATCCATAAGTTTTGAGGCTCTTCCATTTAGTTAGTATGTCTAACAGTCATGCCTGGGATTTTATCCTACAGAGATCACCTGGATTGTAGGGGGGGCAGAGGCACAGGGCACTGGAATTCAAGGATTTGTTTTCAGAGCAGGAGTGATTATGTCATCTGTTGGCGTGAGGCGGTAGCTAATTTTTGTGCTAGATTAGGTTAGCTAAAGTCCAAATATGGAAAATGATCAAGCAGAAGCTGGATACTTCCTTCCTTTTCTTTGATGGAATTCCATCTTCACCTTGGACTCCTAGATTGTGACACCATTTAAATAACCACTGAACTGGATAGATATGGAATCTAACTGTAGGCAGCCTCCTCATCTTATGCAGGACATGAATGGAGAGGATGAACAGGCAAAGAACACATGGACTTACTGTAGCTTTCTCTTACTGGCGAGGAGTGGAGTATTGAGTCAAGTCTTCTTTCATTCTGAAGTAAAGCTCTCAGAACTCTGTGTTGTGAGAGCCAATCAGAGGAAGGAGACCAGAAGGTTCCAGGAAGCTGTTGACAATTGGGTTCTGAGATCATCCCTGCTTACAAGTCTGGTTTAGAATCACATTGTCACAGCAATTTAATATGGGTTGGTTGCTGGCATGATGGAACTAGAATAACATTGTGGCGAGCTGACTGAATAGAGAAGTCCCCTGCACAGAATATCCATAGTGTGACCACATTCTTTCGCAGCCTTACTTCTTCCTTCTGCAACGCGAGGATAACAACATTGACCTTTCTTGCAGGGTCATCATTTGGACTCCAGTATAATTCCCAGGAAACATTTGAAAATGTTTTAGGCAAATGCTGTGTTTCATTTAGCTTCCAGCATTTCACATTTCAAAATAGCTGTTTTTAGAATGCTTCAGTTGTCATGCCAGACAATGTTCCATATTCCATGCTCCATGTTCCATATTCCAGCCCCCAATTGTTGAAGGCTCTTTGAACCACTCGCATATATTACAATGGTTTACTCTACAATAGTTTCTCCTTCACTGATTTAAAAGCCAATATGGTTTGTGTGTTTGTGTGCGTTTAAAAAGAATAATTAATATTTCAATTTTTGAATACATGAATATATCCTTACAAACAAAACAATATCAAGAGTTTCCGGCCAGATTTTTTAAAAAAGTTATGTGCTTTAAATGTCCTGTAATTAGTAAAAGGCACTCCTGGCTACTGAGGGCATCTTCACCTCCAGTGACAGAGCTGGACCCAAGAACACCCAAAAGTTAAGTATCTGCTCCTCTAGGAAAACCTCAACCCCATCCAGGGCAGGCAACTTACTGTCTTTCTAGATCCTGGAACAACTCACCCACACAGCTTCTGTCTTGCCAGACCCTATTTATCCGTTCATCCAGGCCACCACTGCACCCAGAGTACAGACCAGGGTCTTCCCAATTCAGATGTTACTGAGAAACTTGGGTATCATCAGTATGCTGAAGACACCTTACTCCAAAACTCACAATGGCTTCATACAGATATTTGATAGCATCTGAGACAAAATAGTTCCCCACAGCACCCCATAGTTCAAGAACCAGCAAGCCAAGAAGTCATGCAACACTACCTTCTAGAATCACTGCAGAACATTGCTCCCTGATACCCACCCACCCCCTACATAGTCCAGGAATATATAATGGTCAATGGTGTAAAAAACTGGTGAGAGATCACGAAATAGAACAAGGGACACGCTCCCCTTGTCCCACTCTCTGCAAAGGTCATTCACCAGGGCAACCAAGACAGACTTAATCCCATTCCCAGCTCTGAGCCCAGATCGCAATCGGTTTAAATAATATTATGTAGGCCCATTTCCATTTAGGTTCAGACATGGGTTCAGGACTGAATAGTCCTTGGTTGCCCTGATAAATGGCCTCTATCAGGAGATAGATGGGTGAGTGAAACATGTTGCTCTTTCTAGATCTTTCGTTGGCTTTGGATACCATTCACCTCAGGTGAATGAGAATTGGAGACACTGTTCCAATCCTACATTTGGGACCAAGTCCAGACAGTAGGATTGAGAAGTTGCCTTTCAGTCCTTTGGTGGCAAGGTTATCACCAATGCTATTTAATTTATATATGAAGCCGCTGGGAGCAGTCATTAGGAGTTTGCAGGCAAGGTGCTGTCTGCATGCAGATGACACACAGCTCTGTTTCTCCATGACGGAATGAGGAGAGGCCATGCAATACTTCAGGCAGTGCCTGGGTGCAGCAATGGGATGGATGAAGAAAAACAAATTGAACTGGAATCCTGGCAAGGCAGAGGCATTGTGGGTGAGTAGGTCTCAGGTCTGAGAAATTGATCAGTTGCTTACCCTGGATGAGGTTGGACTCCCCCTGAAGGAGCAGTTTGACAGTCTGGGTGTGCTTCTGGATCCAGCTGTGTCCCTGGAAGCTCAGATAGCATTTGAGGCGAGAAGGGCCTTTTATCAAGTGCAGTTGGTAGGCCAGCTGCAGGGGTTCCAACTTGAATAAAATATTGGGGAAACCCAGGTAAGCCCCACCCCACATAATCAATCACAAGATGTGGTGTGCACACACCATTTGAATGCCCATAAAAAAAAATATTGGGGGGGTGGGCTGGCCTCCTCAAGTATTTTATTGGGGGAGCCAAAGGGACCTCAGCCACTAGGAGTTGGCACCTATGGCCAGCTATGACCATTCCTGAAGCAGGGAAGGTTGGCCACAGTAGTTCATAGGTTGGTTACTTCCAGACTGGATTACTGCAATGTGGATTTATTTGGAACTTTGTAGCTTCCACATCAAACATTTGCTGATGGGAGTTAGACCTAGTGTGCCGTGCTCTTCCTTGTGCTCAGAGATCTGCATTGGTTGCTGATTTGCTACTGGGTGCTACTATTAGCATATAAAGCCCGTAACAACTTGGGACCTGTTTATTTGTGAGACCACCTTACCCCTTATATGCCCACTCAATCTGTGAACAAATATAAAATGTGAAATGCCAATGGGTGTTTTAATCTCTTCTTAGTTTATTGCTGATTTTTTTTTTAAAAAAACAAATTTATAGTTTAACTCTTTTTACTGATGCCATTTTGCTTTATTCTATTTGTAAACTGATTTGAGGCTTTATTTACAGTCAAGCAGTATATAAATGTCATGAAATAAATATGAAATAAATGTATGAAAATATCAACCAGTTTCCTCCAGGCGTATCTACAGCTATGTCACCATGACCTCATAAGTTTCATTGACATCCATCTGTCTCACGAGACAATGGAAGAGTGCGCCTTTTGGAGTGAAATCCAACCATTGGAGAGTTACAGCGTCTGCTGTGGATGTACAGACTGCTACAGGAGAGACACGTTTTATTGCACCTGGGGCAGATGAAGGTGTACGGTTGTGCTGATGCGGGCGTACCATGGTGTTTTTTCTTTCTGCGCTCCTCCCAGTGGTCACTTCTCCTCTGGTACTCTCACAAGTACTTGCCCATAAAATGGGATGCTTGAGACAGGGCTGTAGTCATTAAGTGCCATCAGGTACAAGGTGGGCTTTTGGAGGAGTGGCTGCGTTATCTCCTTTTTCAAGGTGTCTGGTGCCATCCCGTATGCAGAGACCTGTTCACCACACCATGAACCCACCCATTTTATGCCCCTCCTCCTGCTAGCATTACTCAGCAATGATGGACAACGATCCCAAAAGTACATTAGTAAAGGTAAAGGGACCCCTGACCATTAGGTCCAGTCATGGCCGACTCTGGGGTTACGGCGCTCATCTCGCTTTATTGGCCGAGGGAGCTGGCGTACAGCTTCCGGGTCATGTCGCCAGCATGACTAAGCCACTTCTGGTGAACCAGAGTAGCGCACGGAAACGCCGTTTACCTTCCTGCCAGAGCGGTACCTATTTATCAACTTGCACTTTGATGTGCTTTCGAACTGCTAGGTTGGCAGGAGCAGGGACCGAGCAAAGGGAGCTCACCCCGTCATGGGGATCCGAACCGCCAACCTTCTGATCAGCAAGTCCTAGGCTCTGTGGTTTAACCCACAGCGCCACCCGCATCCCTAGTAAAAGCCCATGTCATTACCGAGGAGGCAGGTTTAGTCGTTATTTGAGGACTATCCCTGCCTCCAGGTCTGGTCCTGATCGGAAGGATACTGGAATCAGCAAGGGAAACCCACATGACCTGAAAGTGTTGCTGTGCAATGCCAGGTCAATTATGAATAAAACCACTGCCATCCACGACCTGATTGTGGATGGAGGATTTGACCTGGCATGTGTGACAGAGACCTGGTTGGATGAAGCAGATGGGCCTGTCCTTGCCGCTGCTTGCCCACTGGGTTTCTCTTACACACAGCAACCCAGGTCATGTGGGCGGGGAGGGGGGGTTGCAGTGATTTTTAGGAATTCATTAGTCTGGACCAGACATCCTATTGGGAAGACCAAGTTCTCTGAGTGCATGTTCTGGAAGTTAGGCAATAGGGGCAGTACAGGATTCCTATTGGTGTACCGACCTCCCCGCTGCACCAAGGATTCCCTCCCCGAGCTGCTTCAGGTCGTGGCAGATATGCTCCTGGAGACACCTAGCTTGGTTGTCCTGGGGGATTTTAACATCCATGCCGACACGACCTTACAAGGGGCCGCTCGGGACTTCGTGGAAAGCATGGCCTCCATGGGGTTTCCCTGAATAAGTCTGGCCCAACTCATAGCCGTGGACATGCCTTAGACTTGGTGTTTACCTCTATGGATGTTGGTGATCTGACATTAACTAAAAGCGAAACAAAAGAAGTGCCATGGTCAGATCACTTCCTGGTGCAACTGGACTTCTCCGCAACCCTTTCCCTCTGCAGGGAGGTGGGACCGATTCAGATTGTCCGCCCCCGCCACTTAATGGATCCAATTGGCTTCCAGAGAGTGGTAGGGGATGTTTTATCCCAAGTTGATGGCCTTTCAGCTGATTCTCTGGTGGCCCACTGGAATGCGGAGTTAACCAGGGCTATTGACTGTCTGGCTCCGAAGCGCCCTCTCCGATTGCATGGACCCCGGACAGCCCCGTGGTTTTCCCCGGAGCTGAGGGCGATGAAACAATCGTTGAGATGGCTAGAGCGCCGGTGGTGGAAAACTCATTCTGAATCAGACCGGACACGGACTAGAGCTCAACGTCGAGCCTACCAAGTGGCAATGGCGATGGCGAAGAGGGCCTTCTTCGCCGCCTCCATTGCATCTGCAGAAAACAGCAGCAGGAGACTTTTTCAGGTGGTTCGCAATCTATCGGAACCACCTGCACCACCGGGGCCTGGTAGGGACCCCAAGATCTCTTGCAATGCTTTTGCAAAGTTTTTTGCAGATAAAGTCGCTCAGATTCAGAAGGAGGTAGACTCCACCATGGGAGCAGGGCCAGGGCGGGAGAGTGCTAGAGTTCTGTCTAGTCCAGTTACATGGGATCAATTCCAATCTGTTACCTCCAAGGATGTGGACAGACTGCTTGGACAAGTGAAACCGACCACCTGTCTCCTTGATCCTTGCCCATCCTGGCTGATAAAAGCGAGCCGGGAAGGGCTGGGTGATGGGCTCTGCGGGGTGGTGAATGCTTCCCTCTGTGAGGGAGCCTTCCCAGACCCGCTGAAACAGGCGGTCATTAAACTGCTTCTTAAAAAAAACATCTTTAGACCCAGCCAATTTGGCCAACTATCGCCCAGTCTCAAATTTACCATTCTTGGGCAAGGTGACTGAGCGGGTGGTTGCCAAACAACTCCAAGCACGCCTGGAGGATGCAGACCATTTGGATCCCTTCCAATCGGGATTCAGGCCTCACCATGGGACTGAAACTGCCTTGGTCGCGCTCGTTGATGATCTCCGGTGGGCTAAGGACAAAGGTGAGAGCTGTTTCCTAGTTCTGCTGGATCTCTCAGCGGCCTTTGACACCATCGACTATAACATCCTTCTGGACCGTCTCGAGGGGCTGGGAGCTGGGGGCACTGTTATACGGTGGTTCCGCTCCTTTCTCCTGGGCCATGTCCAGAAAGTGGTGGGGGGGATGAGTGTTCAGACCCCTGGGCTCTCACTTGTGGGGTGCCTCAGGGTTCCGTCCTCTCCCCCATGCTTTTTAATATCTATATGACGCCACTGGGAGAGATCATCAGGGGGTTTGGGCTGGGCGTTCATCAGTATGCCTGGAGGCGGTTGGAGGATGGATGGCGGCTAACAGATTGAGGTTGAATCCTGACAAGACAGAAGTACTGTTTTGGGGGGACAGGGGGCAGGTGGGTGGGGGGGACTCCCTGGTCCTGAATGAGGTAACTGTGCCCCTGAAGGACCAGGTGCACAGCCTGGGAGTCATTTTGGACTCACAGCTGTCCATGGAGGCGCAGGTTAATTCCGTGTCCAAGGTGGCTGTCTACCAGCTCCACCTGGTATGCAGGCTAAGACCCTACCTCCCCGCAGACTGTCTTGCCAGAGTGATGCATGCTATAGTTATCTCCCGCTTGGACTACTGCAACACACTCTACGTGGGGCTACCTTTGAAGGTGACCCGGAAACTGCAACTAATCCAGAATGCGGCAGCTAGACTGGTGACTGGGGGTGGCTGCCGGGACCACATAACACCGGTTCTGAGAGATCTGCATTGGCTCCCAGTATGTTTCCGAGCACAATTCAAAGTGTTGGTGCTGACCTTTAAAGCCCTAAACGGCCTCGGTCCTGTATACCTGAAGGAGCCTCTCCACCCCCATCGTTCAGCCCGGACACTGAGATCCAGCGCCGAGGGCCTTCTGGTAGTAAGAAGTAAGGTTACAGGGAACCGGACAGAGAGCCTTCTCGGTAGTGGCGCCTGCCCTGTGGAACGCCCTCCCAGCAGATGTCAAGGCAATAAACAACTATTTTACTTTTAAAAGACAACTGAAGGCAGCCCTCTTTAGGGAAGTTTTTAATGTCTGATGGTGTACTGTTTTTAATATTCAGTTGGAAGCCGCCCAGAGTGGCTGGGGAAACCCAGCCAGATGGGTGGGGTATAAATAATAAATTATTATTATTATTATTATTATTATTAGCACATTATTGAGCACTTATTCACAAGCGCCTTCTCAAAGTTTGAAGGGCTTTCACTCAGAAGATGGATTAAGCTTGTTTTCAGCTGTTTCAGATGGTAGAACCTTATCCAACGGATTCAAGTAACAAGAAAGGAGATTCCAACTAAACATTTAGGAAGAACTTTCTGACAGTAAGAAATATTTGACAGTGGAATGGACTAATTTGGAAGGTGGTGGGTTCTCCTTCATTGGAGGTTTTCAAGTAGATTTCAGATGCCCATCTGTCAGATAACTGTGATTCCTGCATTGCAGGGGACTAAGGCATGATGACCCTTCGGGTTGCTTCCAGTTCTAGGATCCCATGAAAGCCATAAGACTGCAAAACCTTAAACTGATCCCACAAAGCATGGCTTGATGGAGCATTGGAAGTCTCACTCTTGATGCATCTATTGTGACATCTCTGTCATTACAGAAACAAATGGATTTGTCCTTAAGGTACCTAGGAGGTCTCTAAGGTATCCCAGGTTCCATCTGTCAAGATAGATGTTAACAGCCAATGGACTGCCTTCACGAGCTGATTTCATGGAGACATGATAGAAGTAGCAATGTAGGCCCCCTCTTCACTGCTTTCACCGCCATGCAATGGGCACCATTATGGGCTCTAAACTTGTGTTGTTTCATCTTTGCAGCAATTGTTATGCCTCCTGCACCCCAGCTGTTGTCTGGACTATTCCATGTAGGGTATACCAGTATACCAGGGAGTCAAATGTGCTCCACCATCCTTAAGGATTACACTCAGAAGCTATCATATCTATGGCCTTATGGTCACCATCCTATAGTGAGATGAGGGCCTAAGTTCTACCCACTGGAAAGATCAACCAGAGCATTAGATCTTCAGGGGTAGACTATCCTTATGGATATGGGAAGGTCTGAGGGCTCCCTAACTGTTGCTGTTTCTCCTCCTCCTCCTCCTCCTCCTCCTCCACCAAACTTTGTCCACTGCCATAATACCACAGAACCAACCCTCAATCCCTGATCACTGTCATGTAGGCTTGCCAAATACCCTCAGTAGGAATCCAAGTACTGATCCGGTTTACTAGACATTTTCAATCAATATGTCCCTTTCATAGACACCTCTGCGATGATGATGGCATTCAAATTAAATTGAAAAGGAGGAAAAAGGAGTTGTCCCTTACTGGTTTTCAAATGTAATTGAAGGTTCCTATCAGCAACTAGCTAGAAGTGGGTCTCCCTGCCACAGCATGCATGGAAATCAATGAAATAAATCCCTCTGGGAATGACAGGTCTTAAAGACAGCATTACCTTTCCAAGGGAATAATATGGGCATCGGGTTGTTTATGTACCGCTTCTGGAACTGGAGCTATTTCATTTGGCATACTGTGGGTGATCACCCCTTGGAGAAATCTGGGAATGGGGGCATCCTACCCTAGAGGAGACTTCAGTGCTGTTAAAAGTAGCAGCTAGGTGCTGGGATGATAAGCAGGCAATTTTTCACCCCAAGGTGGTGCTGTGGTGATGAACGAAGTGGTGATCATAGCCTATGTGATGGACTGTCATTCAGGATGAATTACTGGCCTCTACAGTAAATTCAGGGTGGCGCTGTGGGTTAAACCACAGAGCCTAGGACTTGCCAATCAGAAGGTCGGCGGTTCGAATCCCCACGACGGGGTGAGCTCCCATTGCTCGGTCCCTGCTCCTGCCAACCTAGCAGTTCGAAAGCACATCAAAGTGCAAGTAGATAAATAGGTACCACTCTGGCGGGAAGGTAAACGGCGTTTCCATGCGCTGCTCTGGTTCGCCAGAAGTGGCTTAGTCATGCTGGCCACATGACCTGGAAGCTGTACGCCGGCTCCCTCAGCCAATAAAGCAAGATGAGCGCAGCAACCCCAGAGTTGGCCACGAATGGACCTAATGGTCAGGGGTCCCTTTACCTTTACCTTTACCTTTACCTTACAGTAACTACATGTCTGTAGTAAATAAGTAAAGGCAACAAAGATGTAGCCTGTTCTGGAGTGGAATCTAATTTGGCCCAGCCAAAATACTGTTCACAAGACATTCACAAAAAATAATAATAATAATACTAAGACCTGGAAGGGGGGCAGCTGTTGAGGTATTTGTCTGTTGCCTTCCTGAAATTTGGACACTTTCATGGCACGGAAAAGCCTGAAAATGGTGTGGAGTGTTCAGACAAAAAGGAAAACTGCAACACAATCATTGTCATTATTCAGTTTAAGAGTAACCACAAGAAATCTCTTGGAATATTTTTTTTTATTTCTTTTTTTAAAAAACCCTATTTAATAAATGAACAAACTGCATATGCTGCTTAACAAGTTTCTACTTGGGCGATGGCATCTTGAAATGTACCCTCCTGGGATTCCGCGTGTTCACTTTCCCCCTGATTTCCACAAAGGTTCTGTTTCTGGTTTCTGGAATGAACTTGAATATATAAACAAAGATGGCGAAACCAAATGGACAGAAAAAGATTAAGCTATAGGGCCCAATATGTATCTAGAGATGGGGAAAATGGGGGCAGGGAAGGAGAGAAAGAGGCAGACATGAGTATAATGTAGAGTTCTATCTATCATCTATCTATCCATCCATCCATCCATCCATCCATCCATCCATAACACCCATATATCCTTCTTGGCTCCACCCAGCTCCCCTCATTATTTTTTGGGGGAATAATGGTTGTAAGGAGCAAAGTCTGCACTCCTCATCAAAATTACCTTCAAAATCACTCACCTCTATGTAAAGGAAAATCAGTCCTACGACGAAGCTTAGGAGCCAATGCAAAAATTGTGCAATCACAATGGCTGAAGATCGTGATGACTGAAGGAAGAGCTCCACCACTAGCACAGATGGAAGTGGACCTTTGGTGGATAGAAAGGATTCCAGGAATTTAATACTCCCCCACCCTTGAAAATTGATCTTTCCTAGTTATTGTTTTACTTGATTCAGTTTATTACTGCTTCCAGTGAGACATCTCAGATCAATTTCACAGTAAAAACAGCCACAATAAAAACAACTAAAGACAATCCCGTAATTTCAAAACCAATACAGGTGCAAATTAGGATGAAGATCTCCACTTAAAAGGCTTGGTGAAAAAGGAAGGTCTTCAAAAGGTGCCAAAAACACAACCAAGATATGGTGCCTTGCTGATGAGTGATGGGAGAGGATGCCAAAGGCAAGGTGGCACCACACTCAAGGTCAGATTCGGACATCATAGGGAACAGACCTCCTGATGAGATGGTATTTGCAATAGGTCCCTGTGGCGTTTGCCCTCCTATGTGTGTGACAACATACTGGGTTCATAGGGAAAGAGTTAACTAATTGTAAAATGACTAACCAATGGGAACCCAGGGGGCAGAGTTAGCTGTGTATAAGGTTTAAGCACAGAGGGTTTTTTTAGAGAGTGAGTTAGAATTAGAGTTGTTGAAAAGACAGTCTGGAGTTAGGAGAAACAGAGAAGATAAGTCTGTGGGTTGGGTTGGGCTAGTCTGGTGTGAGAGAGGGAGAAAATTTGTTAAGAGGAGTCAGTCAAACAGTTGAGATAATCAGTCAGAAGGTATTAGGAAGGTATAGGCCAGTGAAGAAACTAAAGTTAAGATACTGACAGGTATATTATCTGAGAAACCATAAACTTGTTAATGTTTGTAAAATAAACTTGGGGGGGGGGGGTTGTTCACTTTTAACAACTGACTGGACTCAGTGTTTTACCAGAGAGTAACTGGTTGGTGGCAGCAGTAAAGAGAGCACAGTGGTGGCACAGGAATCAATAGACCATTAAACGTCCAGCAACCCTGTGTGATCGCCATAGTCCCTGTCTTCAGAGCACAGTCGTTAAGGAGTGAGATGATCTCTTAGGCATTCTTATCTCAAGTTGTATGGGACTTTGCACACCAGGACCAACACCTTGAACTTAGCTTTGTAGCTAAACAACAGCCAGTGTAATCCCTTTAGTAGCAGTGTAACAGGGTAGTGAAAGACTGCACCAGTGACCAGTTGGGGCATTACTTATTGTGCTAGTTGTAGGTTCCAGCCCAACCTCATCGGTACTCTGGGAAAGAAGGCATTGCAGTAATCCATCCTAGAGGTTTTCAGAAAATGGATGGCATGGCCCACAATATTTGGAGAGTTCAAACTCAGTTTACTGATCCTTATCCAGACCTCTACTGAGTCAAGGTGCCAGTGCAGGGTTTTGCAGACTTCTCCTGATACAGATATTACAGAGAAATGGAAATTGGACAGCTCTTCCCAAATCTGCTAATGACTATTCCCACAATGGCTTCATAGGGAAACAGCATGGAGGAAAATATGGTACCCTGCAGGATGTCAGAGCACAATTGGCAGGGGACCAAGAGATAATCACCCAGGGCTCTGAAATAGGAGGAGTAGAACCACTGTAAAAGAATGTCTCCAATGCCCATCTCACCAAGTCACACCACCGTCAATGGTATCAAATGCTACCAAAATATCAAGTGAAAATAACCACATGCTCTTACTTTCCTCTGTGTCACTGCCTTGTCTTTACTTCTCTGGTATGCCAAAGTATAGAATGGCATCTTCTGCACTGGGGAGGGCAGGGTGGAGGGTACTTTCTCCTCGGCCTGATGCCAGGTGCTGGCTCTCATGGCTAGCTCCAAGATGGATGGGTGTCCTATGAATCACAGCAACTCCTCCCTCTCCATCGCCCCCCAACACCTGCAGCCTGTGCTCATGCTACATCGTGTATCTTGACAGGCACATCTGGATGTGATCAGGTTCTCCTAGCTCACCCACCCAGGTCTCAGCAACACATCTCACATGAACAACCTTCTCCACGTTCAAGTTAGATCTAACTCAGGTTGCCACATCACACACAGCAGACAGGCAGCCATGAATCTCTCTATGTGAGGAGTGCAACATTAATAGTAACTCCCTAGCCTTCTATGGTGAATTACCAACTCCCCATAGCTGTGTGTCTTTCTACTATGATCACTTACATTGATCACTTATTCATCTCTCCCCCATCATCTAAAGAGCTCAACGCATCATCTAAGCACTTACCTGGCCCAATGCCATGTGCAAAAAGGAATATGATGATTAAGATTACGCTGAAATACCCCATATCTGAGATGACACTCTGTTGGAGAAAGTAGACTGTATTTCAGTTATGTACTTGTGATCTTGTCAGGTGCCCTTTATTTCATAAAAGTTGTATACTGCTTGATTGTTTTTTGATATACCTCAAAGTGCATAAAAAGGTAAAGGACCCCTGGACAGTTAAGTCCAGTCAAAGGCGACTATGGGGTGCAGCGCTCACCTCACTTCAGGCCAAGGGAGCTGGTATTTATCCAGACAGCTTTCCAGGTCATGTGGCCAGCATGACATAGAATTATGCTGCGAGACTATAATTCACATAATCCCTAACCATTGATCATATTGGTTGGAGCTGCCGGGAGTTGGGTCCAAGAGCAAAACTCATCTTTCCATTTGCTATCCCTTATTCCTTAAAATTCTGGCCCACAGAATGCAGTAGGAGTGCAATACAGCAAGAACCGAGCCCCTGTGAAATCTGTCATCTTGGAATGCAACGTCCATGTACAGCGGTACCTCTGGTTACTAACGGAATCCATTCCGGAGTTCCGTTCGTAATCGGAAACCACCCGTAACATGAGGCGCACTTTCACTAATGGCGCCTCCCGCCACATGTGTCCCTCCGGCGTGCAATTTCCGCTTGCATCCTGGGGCAAAGTTTGCAACCTGGAGCGGCTACTTCTGGGTTAGTGGAGCTCGTAACCCGGAGTGTGCGCAACCAGAGGTACCACTGTAATGTTCACAGGGTGGAGACTATACTCATTCTTATCCATTCATATAAACATACGAGGCTGACTTATACCGGCCAACATTTGAACTTGAGCCCGCAAGACTGTAAGTTGTTAAGCAGAGTTGAGATGGCTATTTGTCATGGATGCTTTAGATCAGATTCGTGCATTGCAGAGAGTTGGGCTAGCTGGCCCTTGGGGTCCCCTCCAACTCTATAGTTCTATGATTCCATGATTTTACCTCCTTACTCACTGCTAAACAACAGAGGTGTTGGAAGCACCAACCAACAGTACAGCCATTTCAAATCACCTCAGCTTGTATACATAATTTTGGGGAAAGGAAATGTTCTGATGCGTCTACAGCCAGCTTCCCCACTAGCTTTGGAGCTGTTACATAGTGCGTGTTATAGGGGAAGTGGGCTAGAGGACAGCCCATTTAGCGATTCTCAGCTCTAAATGCCACCAGTTACAAACCTGCAGTTCCATGGCCACGGTTAACAGGACACAGATGAAACCACTCACCGCAAAGCCAATGAGAAGTGAAAACCTGCGCCCCTTATAATCAGTAATAAAAATCTAAAGAATATAACGACAAAGATAAAATTACTAAGCATAAAGAGGAATAAGACATGCTGAAGAGGCATTATTTTGGCTTCTCCAAAGGTAGGTTCTACTATACTAGCATTTTAGAGTTTCTTCTTATTTTTTTAGTGAATGTCTTCCAGTAGCACCTTAGAGACCAACTAAGTTTGTTATTGGTATGAGCTTTCGTGTGCATGCACACTTCTTCAGATACACTGAAACAGAAGTCACCAGACCCTTATATATAGTGAGAGGGTGGGGAAGGGTATTACTTAGAAGGGTGGTGGGAATGGGTGATTGGCTGATAGGTGTGGTAAACCTGTTGACAACTGCAATTGGTCTTACAGGAAAAAGCAAGGGGTGAGATGGCTAATAATAATAATATAAGAATCCAATGTCTCTGTTCAGACCAGGTCTCTCCATGGTTTGAAGTTTGGTAATAAGTTACAATTCAGCAACTTCCCTTTCCAGTCTATTTCTGAAATTCTTTTGTAATAAGACAGCTACTTTGAGATCTTGTATAGAATGTCCTGGGAGACTGAAATGTTCTCCTACTGGTTTCTCTGTCTTGTGATTCCTGGTTCAACTACAGCAGACCAACAGGGCTACCTACCTGTGATTAGTGAATGTTTGTGCAAGAAAGTTATGAATTGCAAGGGCCAGTCTGCATGATACCTTGTGCTCATTCCAAACCCATGATTCTATGATGGGGGAAGGGGAGCGGAATCAGAATTACAGATCAAAGTGTAGAGAGCGTGTGGCAACACAGAAACATATTGGGATTAAAAAATAAGTAAATCAGGGCAACTCTTTAGGTTCACATACAAGCTTACATTAAGCAAGAATCCATGTAAAAACAATAGCGCAGTGAGTGTTTGCCACAACTGTGTGTGTATATGAGTGTCAAGGATCTTAAATAAGAAGGAGGTGAATGAAAGCCTGCAAATACCTACTCAAAGAAATCAGGACTTAACAGTAAAGTAAGTGTGCAGAGATGGTTTAGCTTCCAGATGTTGTTGGACTACAACTCTTATCAGCCTTAGTCAGAATGTTCAGTTATTGGGAATGATGGGAGTTATAATCTAACAAATTCAGGAGAGCACCATGTTAACTATCCTGGGTGTATAGATTGCAGTCTTTTGGACATAGCTATACAACAGTCCTAAACTGGTGTAGCACTAATTTCCTTTTTCATACTTGGAAACTATAAATTCTGTGGTAGTAGGACAGAGATAAGGCACATTCTCCTTAGAAAACAAAAGGCACAAAGGTAAGAGTCCTTGCTCTCACCAACTGAAATTTTATTTAAACAAAAAAATCAAATTCTAAACTAATTTGCAAATTGATTTTTTAAATACCCCTTCGGACAGCTTCCAAGAAGCCAGGTAGTATATGCTAACATGTAGGACTGCTCTTCAAAATAATACTCAGACAACTCATGTAAAACTATAATTCTTGTGGTTTTTATGAAGGGGGGGGCACCTAAATTGGCACAAAATAGTTATAAAATGTTGCATGCATTTCCAAGATCTAGAAGGTTAGTGAGAAAGAGGTAGAAGATGCTTACCCCAAATACCATTGAGATACATAAAAAAGTGGTGGCTGCTATTGTCGCAAATCGGGATGAATATATCCCCATATTTATATTTCTGAAGTTTCTCTCTGCATAAGAGTATGCCTGAAAAGAAGATGCATACCATTACAAGTCTTATCTGAATGGAAGAAAAAGAATGTTGACAAAGATACATAACCGACCCGATTCTGCAGGACTTGGATATCAGCTACCCCTAATCTAGCATGATCTCTATAATTGTCTCAACTCTTTAAGTAACATATCCTATGCTTCAGAGCTGCAATTTTCTTGGCATCCTCCTCCATTTCCAAATTTTCCTCAGTCTGCTGGACATGTAATCTTGGCATAGAAATTCACATCTCCCTACAGCTTTTCTACACATTAGAGCAGAGCTTTCCAAACTTTCCATGTTGGTGGCACACTTTTTAGCCATGCGCCTTTTTGTGACACACCAATTTCAGTTTCACTAGCAAACTGGTGGGTTGCCGGTTCCCTTTCCAGCCCCAGGAGGAGTGTGGGGCACATTGGCGCAACGCACCTACACACTGCAGCCGACACACTAATGTGTCGTGACACACAGTTTGGAAAGCTCTGCATTAGAGGATCCAAGTTGGAAATGAAGAGAGCTATTCCCTAGAAACAGGCCCTTCTAAGATAAGGGAGAGTTGACTTGGATCTCTTCCTTGCAAAATCAGGTCCTACTGAGATTTGCCACCGGGTATACGTCTGATCAAAATTGCTGCAGAAGTTCTAATGTATGTACTTTTTTTTTTTAATAATATTTATTAAAGTTTCAAAAGCAGAAAAATCACATTAATAAAAAGATTAACAATAAAAAGAAAAAATACAAAGTAGAAAAAAGAAAAAACAGTTAAAAACAATTCCATCTTTTCATCACTTCTTTTACATTTACTTGTTTCCCGGACCTCCTCTTACTTCCCTCTTTTGTATTCCAATTCAATTTGTTAATCCAACAATTCCTTTCCCTCCTTTTTAATCCTAATCCTTAATCTTGATATATTATAACATTAAATTTTTACATATTAGAAACCAATTTTTCCATATTCTTTTGTACCTGTACAGCTAGAAACCACTTAACTTCAATCCAACATCATTCTAACATTCATTAATTTTGCAATATTTCTGTAAATAGTCTTTAAATTTCTTCCAATCTTCTTCCACCGACTCTTCTCCCTGGTCACGGATTCTGCCAGTCATTTCCGCCAAGTCCATATAGTCCATCAATTTCATCTGCCATTCCTCCAGTGTGGGTAAGTCTTGTGTCTTCCAGTGCTTTGCAATAAGTATTCTTGCTGCTGTTGTAGCATACATAAAGAAAGTTCTATCCTTTTTTAACACCGATTGGCCGACTATGCCCAGGAGAAAGGCCTCTGGTTTCTTCAAGAAGGTATATTTAAATACCTTTTTTAGTTCATTATAAATCATCTCCCAGAAAGCCTTAATCCTTGGGCACGTCCACCAAAGGTGAATGTATGTACTTTTGCATGTGATTGATCAAACAATTTCATGTAGCTGGATTATTTTGTGGAATGCAGTCTAGCTTTTCTCTGATAATTGAGAAGGTTTTTTGGGGGGGAATCATCTCCTTCAATGGAATAGCATAAATATCCCTTTCTTAGAGCATCTGCCCCAATTCCATTTGAGAGCATGCATGCAACCTTTTGCATGTGTCCAAGCCTTGCTGATTCAGGTAATTATTATTTAATAAGGGTATTTCAGCTCTGCATCAGTATTATAGGTTGGTAACGTTAGCTTGTAGTATGTAATGTTCTTATGCTATATATAACGTTTTTAACCTTCTCTTATTTGTATCTGCAAGCTGCCTTGAGTTTCATAAGGGAAAAAGGCAGGGTATAAATGGACACCCCCACCAAAAATTTGTTGCACCATCCAACAGATTAGCTCCACCACTTGGCTTGGATTTTTGAATTATTGAAAAGTTAACGAGAATACAATTCACATTTAAGAAACAATGTCAGTCAATAACCCTGCATGACTCGCCATTCAGGATTACCCCAATGACTTCAGCGCTCTGTACTTCTGGAACCTTTAAAGGTAAAGGTAAAGGGACCCCTGACCATTAGGTCCAGTCGTGGCCGACTCTGGGGTTGCGGTGCTCATCTCGCTTTATTGGCCAAGGGAGCTGGCGTACGGTGTGGCCAGCATGACTAAGCCGCTTCTGGCGAACCAGAGCAGTGCACAGAAATGCCATTTACCTTCCTGCCAGAGTGGTACCTATTTATCTACTTGCACTTTGACGTGCTTTTGAACTGCTAGGTTGGCAGGAGCAGGGACCGAGCAACGGGAGCTCACCCCGTCGTGGGGATTCAAACCGCCGACCTTCTGATCGGCAAGTCCTAGGCTCTGTGGTTTAACCCACAGCACCACCCACATCCCTCTGGGACCTTTACCCCTAAGCAATGCCATCTTTCCTGTAGAGCAAGACCATTTACTTGGGCAGCAGTGGGAAATCTGCAACCCACCATGTGTTTTTGGACAAGAACTTCGCCAATGAGAGCTGGAGTCCCAACAATACCCACAAGCCTACAGTTTCCCTCTCCTTGTGTTATAGAGTTTGATATTTCTAACACTTGGAGAAGCATCTGAAAAACAGAACAGGGGCAAAGAATGCAGCCATCCATAGAGACAAACAGTGGTAGCTCGTATGACAGCCTCTAAATTGTATGTACAACAGGGGCCTTCATTTTGCCTAGCTCAACCTTCCTTACCACACTGACGCCATCGAACTGTTGTCCAACCATCAAGACAATTATGGCAATGACTTGCCTTCGCAGTTTTTTGGCATATAGCAGTTTAAGAGGTTTCATGTTCTTTTCTGACTTTTCAACAACGTCCTCCTGATGGAGCTCTTCAATCTCATCCTCCACATCATTTCTGTTCCTTAGTTTCTTCAGTGCTATGTTAAGAATAGAGGCAGAGAGGATCAGACTTCAATAGAGGTACTTTCTAGAAGAAGAAGAAAAAAGGAAGAGGCTGGTAACAAAGGAAAAGTTGGATGAAGGAAGTCAAGAGGGTGAAATCTTTCCAGAATGCTTGGGAGCCATTGAATGCCATAAATACAGAAGTCAGAATGCTCACTGCAGAGCAGTAAATATACCACCAAGGTCAAGTGGATGCCTCTGTCGTGAATGAATACAATAAAGGAAGCATTTCAAGGTAAAAGAAAAAGAAAAAAAAGTTTGTTTTGGAAAATAGAAGTCATGTCCAAATAAGAAAAACAAAAGCAGAGCAGAAGCTTTAGCAAAAGAAAGGCAGGGAGGCATAAACAGAATATGAGGAGCATATTACTAAAAAAAGTAAGAATGATAGAAAATTATGGGGGAAAGAGGTCATCACTCCAAGGGACAGGAAATATATCCCTTAGAAGTGGTCCATTCCTTCATGAACTGATATGTTTTTTGCTGAATAAACACATTCATAATCCGAATACAATTAAATTGTTAGGCAACAAAGATAGCTAATGATTTGCCCACCCAGTGCAAAGGCTGCAGAAGACAACATCTGGAATGCCTGGTAGACAGTGCTGAGGAGGGGCATTGGTCATAGTGCATGTTATCATCAAATATATTATTTCCTTTACTTGGAAACATGGGATTTGTGGATCAACATGAGGGAGGCTTGACTGCTCTGGAGTCCTTGCCCTCTTGCTAGGTCAACAAAAATGATGAAATCTCTAGTTACCTTGAGGATTTGTCATTGTGGCCAAAAAGTTTTGTCAGCTGAGGATTCCTTCATGACTGAGTAGTGGAAATCCTCATACAAAACTTAAAACCCAGGCTAATACTGCCTTGATGACTATGTGGGTATAAAGTGCCTTTATAAAGTCCTACAAATTCCAAAGCATTCGGGCCATCACTCTAAAGGCCCCATTTCTTGCAGAAATTTTATCTTGCTCTCCATGTTGTTGGAATGTGAAAAGGAACCAGATTTGAAAAGTGTTACATTCATTTATATTAACATAACAACATAAGTAGATCCATGATTGATCAGTCCAAATGCTTATCATTATGGTTATCTTAACACCTGTTCATAGAAGACTGGAAAGAAACATTAAATATAAAATTATCAAGCACGTAGAAGAACAAGTTTTGCTGAAGCAGAAGCAACACGGTTTCTGCAAGGGGTAAGTCCTGTCTCACCTTTTAGAGTTGTTTTACAATGTCAACAAACTTACAGAGGTGATCAGTTGGCACTGTGAACTTTTGAAAAGCTTTTGGCAAAGCACTGCACCTAAGAATCCTGAATAAGCATCACAGCTGTGAGATAAAGAGAATAGGTCCTCTTCTGGACCAGAAACTGGTTAAGAAACAGTAGCAGAAAGTAGGGATCAATGGACTCCCAATGGAGAGATGTAGAAAGTGAAGTTCCCCCACTGGCTCGGCACCCAGTGCAGCAGAACCAGTTGTACTGCCCTAAATATATGATGGCCACACATATCACTGTGAGAAGGAAGAAAAGTGCAACCATTTATTGATTGATAATTCTTCATTGTGGTCTAAACGGTTTAATTATTATTTGTTGATGTTTAATTTTACTGATTACTATTAGATTCTGATGGATTGTTGAACACTGCTTTGTTTGATATAAGTTGTTTATTTTAAAGTTATTATGACTTTTAATATTGGATCAGATTGTTACTATTAATGTTTGATGTTTTATTGTGTTTTTATTTGTGTTGGAAGTTGCCCAGAGTAGCTTGGGCAACCCAGCCAAATGGGTGGGGTATAAATACTACTACTACTACTACTACTACTACTACTAAAACAACAACAACAACAACAACAACAACAACAACAACAACAACAACATGGCTGGCTCCAGAGAGACTGTCTTTCTTTCCACCACCCTGGCCCAATTCTACATTTTATACCATTTATTTGCTTCGGTGTTTAAACACTGGAAACTGCCTTGGGTGCCCTGACAGAAAGGTACTAAGTATATAAATGCAATAAATAAATTTATGTATACAACAAATGAACATTTACATAACATGTTTTTCATACTTCTCATATGTAGTTCTTCTGAAATGGATGTTAGTGGGCTCTTATGACTGACCGCGTAGGAATAACAAGGATGCTAGAATGGCGAGACCTTATGTGACAAGCCAATAGTGGGTGACATTGCACAGCTATGTAGGGTGCTCACACTTAGAGGTCCCAGTGCAATTCAACATATCGTACCTTTCCTTGAGCTCTCTTCATCCCTCTTCTGAATGAGTAGGTACCGAGGGCTTTCAGGTAAGAAGGGCAATAGAGGCAACTGAAGAAATGGCATAACACCAAAAAGTTTTATCAAAATTGGGAAGCCTGTAGAAGAAGATAGTACGAAGATAAGGTGAAGAAACAGCAGTGCTCCATCTGATGCTATCTACCATATGTTTGAGAAAGGGTCTTGTTGGTTGGTTGGTCATTCTGTTCTCTATGGGTTTGGACGCCTTTCAAGACATAATCAGCAAACTCAGCATGAGGGTTTCAACGTTGGGGGACCTTAGTCAACATGTGGATGCCAGATGTCATTTTGAACTAAGATGGCAGGCCAAAAAGTCTTTACTAATTTTGGGGAAATTAATGTTGCAGTACCGGCACCTTTTCCTCCCACATGTTAAAAGCGTGACACTTATTCTAACAACATCCTGGAGCTTGAAGAGAGCAGTCATGATTTTTGTAACGCTGCAAAGACAGAAATAAAGGAATGTAAATACGTTTCTGTCTATCTCTTTCCCCTGCCTGGGGGGGGCAGGAAAGAGGGGGGGTGTTCTTCTCACTCTGAGAAGGATCGCCTATCGTGACCTCTGCCTGGATCCTGCTGGGGAATGCAGACAGGGAGGTCAACAGGAGATCAAGCCTGGTGCCTGGAGAGTGGCCAGTTTCTCCTGATAAAGGCTTGATTCCCGACACTTACTTACTCACTTACTTATTTTAAAAGCAAGCACATTCAAAAACCATTGTGGTTTTTAAATGGAAAGTGTTATCTACAAAACTGGTTTCCACAAAATCCTGGGCAGCACTCCCCTCCGCTATACTATAAGGAAAAGAATTAATATCACTGAATTACCTTTTCCCGTCCCCAAGACTTCTTGAAGACAAAGTATCTGAGCCACGAGGAAACCAAACAAATAAAACAGTTGGTACATCATGATAATGCCTCCCCTCAGGCTTCTAGGGGAGATCTCGCCAAGATAGACAGGGCCAACACAGAAGCATATTCCTGGTAAGATAGAAATTCAAATGGTAATACACAACATGCATGTGACATGATTTATTTATTAAGGCTTGTATTCAAGGAATGGGAGGCCAGCTGGCAAGCCGCAGCTCGGATGTCTCCTTCCATGGGCCCATGCTCCGACGTAAATCAGCAACCTGGGCTTCAAAGCCAGGGCACGCTATCAGCAGAGAGAACTGTGCAAACAGAACAGGCATGAGGCTTGTGGAAGCATACTACAACTACAGATTTATTAATCATAAATCAGGACAAAGAAACATGTCATCTCTCTCTCTCATGTCATCTCAGAGAGAACGGGAAAAGCAAAAGCTATACACAATGGAAGTTCCCAGCATACTGTGCTGGAATGTAAACAGACATGTGGCACGCAACAGTTCCACATGTCTGCTCCTTAAGGTGGAATAGAAATGTCAACAGATGCCCCTGCAAATATTTTCCTATAGTTTTTTTCAATCCTCCAGAATAGATTTGGGAATGCTGTGTGTTGCACATAGTGGGAGGAAATTGGGGAAGGTCCCTTTGCACCCATGGGAGTGACTCTTGGAAGGAATTAAAGGGCAAAAAGGGATACTTGGAATAATGGTAATCATCTCTTCATTGAGAAGGCATCAACTTCTTATCTTTGGTTTCAGCTAGGATTTGCTGCAGGGCAACATCTCCAAAAGGTTTAGTGCCTACAAAGGTCATAGAGGTTAAACCTGTACACAAGGAAGCATCCACCTCCCTGTCAGTTAGCCAGAGGTGTCTCCTTGTGACCATTCCAGCAGCCATTGCATGAGAGGAGGACTGGGCAAAGTCCACAGGTGAGTCAGAGATTAATGCAAGGACATGGGAAGGTTTTAGAAGTGGTTTCTGGATTCTGTCAGGGTCCTGAGTTGGATAGCCTAGAACATCTTCAATTGAAAATAGTATTGCCTTGGAAAAAACAGAGGTGGAGACTGAGGCTCTAATAGCTAATGTAGAAGCTTCATGTAGACGGGACGCGGGTGGCGCTGTGGGTAAAACCTCAGCGCCTAGGAGTTGCCGATCACATGGTCGGCGGTTCGAATCCCTGCGGCGGGGTGCGCTCCCGCCATTCGGTCCCAGCGCCTGCCAACCTAGCAGTTCGAAAGCACCTCCGGGTGCAAGTAGATAAATAGGGACCGCTTACCAGCGGGAAGGTAAACGGCATTCCGTGTGCTGCGCTGGCTCGCCAGATGCAGCTTGTCACGCTTGCCACGTGACCCGGAAGTGTCTGCGGACAGCGCTGGCTCCCGGCCTATAGAGTGAGATGAGCGCACAACCCTAGAGTCTGGCAAGATTGGCCTGAACGGGCAGGGGTACCTTTACCTTTACTTTTAGAAGCTTCATGTACACATTTGAGAGCAGAGTCAGATTGACACTGATTGGCATCTTTCATTGTATATTCCCATATCTGGAAAGTGGGGCAATCAATCGAAGAGGGCAGATACAGGCTGCTCAGTGATTGAAGGCATAGGCACCTGAGTACCCTTGTAAAACTCTGTGGCAAAATCTGGTGAAGTTGCCTCCTTAACCTGCTGTAGCCAAGTTGAGAGCATATTGCTGTAAAAGGACTTGCTGAGAAGGAGAAAAATTATCATAGTGGGCTAAATGAATGGGATGTAAAAGGAATTGTTGCTGAGGAGAAACCAACTGGGGCACTGAAGCAGCAAACCAGGAGGGGGGCACAATGGCCAGAAATAAACTGTGCATGTGAAAGTAGGGGGCTGTCTAATGGATCCTGCAGCAGTGATACAGGCAGTCATAGATCCCGGGAAAACTGCTTCATGAAAAGATCTTTCTCACCCACAACAGCACAGAGGGTGCAAGGACCTATTCTCCTGCTCTTTTCCAGGTGCCAAATTTCAGTGTTCCTGATCTAATCAGCTTAATGGCACAAATTGCAAGCTGACTTCTGACCAGGTGTCCTTAACTTTTTTAAAATATAAGGCACTAAATCCAGGACCCTGACTCACCTGTGCTTATTCCAGAGCAGAGACGTGAAAAGATGATGTATCCGTGATTATGTATTGAAAGTGAGAATGTCATCACAACAGCAAATATAATTGCTGAAAGGTTAGTTATGAACAGTGCAACTTTCCTGAAAAGATAGTGAAATGGAGCAGTAAGGTAGGGAATATATCGTACCATCTAAAGAGCAAAGGAGGGGAGGTACTATGGAACTGCAAGGGAGTCCTCAGGGTTGTTGTTGTTGTTTTGGTTTTGGGGTTTTTTGGGACAATTGCTTTTGGTTGTCATAGTTTGCAGAAGGGAGAAAGAACTACACGAGGCACCAAAACTCCTACTACCAAATCAGATATCTCAAAGATTGCAGGACACACTGAATTTCCACAAGGGCTAGAAAACTAATATTTGTCACTATGCTAGGCAAGTTTTGTTAGTTGAGATTCTGGGATCTTTTTAATGGAGGCATGTGCTCTACTACTGACCTGGAAAAATCTTTAGGTGCCTGCCCTAGGTACATAATTGAACGAAACCACATTGAAAGGATGATCTTGAATTCAGTAGGCATTTACCCACCTCCTAAAAACAAAGCTTCATTAGCTACCATTAGGTCTCCAGGGCCCTAACTAGATCCTATTGTGTTTCTGACTGCTACATATCCCTCCATGAAATGTCTAACAATTGTTAAATGTCATCTGACAAATACGTGTGCATTTTTCTATCTCTGAAACCCCACCCTATTGCTTGAATGAACAAGAGGAATGATAATGTTATTGTAGCTTTATAAGATGTTAACCGGGGTTAGAGGGGCTGTAGTCAGCAACATTCTCCCATCACCACACCCTGCCATACTAGGACATGTAGATCACAAGTCTCAAGTTTATCTCTATACCTGCCAAATCTATCTAACAACCAACCAGCAGGAATGGTTGCAAAGGAGGCTCCGAGTGGAAACATAGTCACGGTGATAGACAGAAGGGTAATCTGAAAATCTGCTTCTTCAGGTCTTGTTATGTTATAGAAGCTAGGCAGGAGCTAGGACATAAGCACATAATGATTAGAACCTCACCACAGATCACATGGCAAAAAACCTGGAGAGCTTGGGACTTAGCTAAAATCCAGGAGGGCCATGGCCAGTCAGTGCATACAATGAGTTACATGGCCTATCTCCAACAATAATAACAATAATGGTTTTATTATTTATACCCTGCCTATCTGGTTTCCCCAGCAACTCTGAGCAGCGTCCAGCACATATAAAAACATAATAAAAGTTAAACATTAAAAACTTCCTGATACAGGGTGCCTTTAGATGTATTCTAAAAGTTGTGTAGTTCTTTATTTCCTTGACATCTGACTGGAGGGTATTCCACAGGGAAGGTGCCACTGCCAAGAAGGCCCTTTGCCTGGTTCCCTGCAGCTTCACTTCTTGCAATGAGGGAACCACCAGAAGGACCTTGGAACTGGACCTCAGTGTCTGGGCTGAACAATGGGGGTGGAGATGCTCCTTCTAGTATATTGGACTGAGACCCTTGCTTTTTGAAGGGCCAAAAGCCTTTGCTTTTTGAAGCCATCTTTGCTGTTGCGCCATCTTACCCCAACAGTGTTGTAGAGTACCCACAGATTGTAGCCATGCTGCACAGGTATGAGACAGGAAGCAACCGTTACCATAATCAGCACCATGGACAGCTCCTACAGGAAGGAGCAGCAAATACTGGGATGAGACTGCACATTAATTAAGTACACTTACCACTAATAAGATCCTAAATGGAAAGACAGAAAAAATATATAGGTCTGACACCTGGACATTGCTTCATAAATGCATTTTTTTGTACCAAGTGTTAGCTGAGTTCTCTGGGTGGTTTCCAACCTCATTAAAATTCAAACTGCTACAAAATTAGAAACAAAGAAAAATATTAAATCTAAACAACACAAACAGCCATAATGTAGACACTGCCTGGAGACTTTCTCTAGGGAGAACATTTCATGAAGGGGGCTCCACCTTTTAAAAAGCCCTTTCTCTCATCACTTGCCTCTAAAGGGCCAGTTAGCATAGCAAGGAGCAGGTAGGTACCTATGGGAGTGGGAGAAGGCAATATTATATACCAAACCTTTTCCTTTCCTTTACTTTTAATGGACTAGTTCTATTTCACCACAATGCTAAACTGAGTCCTGCTTATTTTCAATTATCAGTAGTCCTTTATTGCTAAGCACCACACCCTTAATAGGTATGTTATCTATGAAATACAGATATCAGATGGTATCTTTTATTGTGATTAATTCAAGCTACACCCCTATCTTGAAGATCTATCACTTTCTATGACAGAGGAGTTGACCTAATGCCCAGAGGTGCCTACTCTTTGGAATAGATATATGGAGTCCATGCGGCTGAAGCTACCATTCTACATTAAAAATGCTCAACTGGTAATCAAAACCACCTACATAGAAGGATAGAATTGGAAGGGATCTTGAAGATAATCTTGTCCAACCCCCTGTCAGTGTTCAACTGTCATAGGCATATGACTGTGTGTTGAACTGTAGCTGGCTGAACTGATGCTGGAGTAAGTCCTCAAAAATGGTATTCTGGGAGTGTGGGGGAGGTGGAATCAGAATGGATTTTGGTTTGATCTTAAGCATGTTAAGCTTGGTCATGTGACCTGGGAACACAGCATAGAACACTATTTTAAAGTTTTGTTTTACCTCTGCCAGGCTTAAGCAGAGCAGCACTAGCCCTACTGATTAATGGAGTTTGGTTCTGGTGTAAATTTATGCTGGCTTAACTTAAATCAACTTGCTCGTTGTGCATAGGATTGCTCCTTTAGTGACTGATGGATCAGTTGTATCCTCCTTTTTATTCATGGTTTTTTAATAATAATAATAATAATAATAATAATAATAATAATTTTTATTTATACCCCGCCCTCCCAAGCAAAGGCCGGGCTCAGGGCAGCGAACAAGCAATAATAAAAATAAGTTGAATGAATACAACATAAAAACAAAATTAAAATACAACATTAAAATATTGAAACATTAAAATATTAAAATGTAGCCTCATCGCAGGAGGAGAAAGGAAAAGAAAAAAGAAAGAGGGGAGGGAATCAAATTGGCTCCAAGCCAAAGGCCAGGCGGAACAACTCTGTCTTATAGACCCTGCAGAAAGAAATCAGATCCTGCAGGCCCCTGGTCTCATGAGGCAGAGCGTTCCACCAGGCTGGAGCCAGTGTTGAAAAGGCCCTGACTCTGGTTGAAGCTAATCTAACTTCCTTAGGGTCTGGGACCACTAGGGTGTTGCTATTTATGGACCTTGAGGCTCTCCGTGGGGCATACCGGGAGAGGCGGTCCCATAGGTACGAGGGTCCTAGGCCATGAACGGATATTATATACCTATTTTAGGGAGTGGATTGGATGAAGCACTCCACTCTCACTCACCCGTTTCTTGGTTGCTGCGTTGCCTACATTCTTCTTGCTATTCCTGGCTTCTTCAAAAGTGGATTGGACAAAACCCTCTGAGTTCACCTCTCTCTCCATTTCTGCACCGTCTTTCTCATCTTCTTGGTTCATGCTTTCTTATGTAAGAGTCAGAAAACACACTCACCTGTTGGGGAATAAGAAAGTTACCCTATTGGACTTGCTCTATTTCCCAGCACCTAGCTCCAGATTGATAACTTGAAGTTCTTCCTTTGAGCCCAAATCATTAAAAGCAACAAAACAACAACAACCTAACCTAAGGGTCATCACCTGCGGTGTAATGGAGGAGGAGGACAGGGGATTGCAGCTCTGGGACTTCTTCAGAGCATATGTGTTTGTGTCATCTGGCAAATGAACCAGGATAACTGATGAAACCTTCTTGCTTTGTCAAGTGAATGAGGTGAAGTTTGTGATGGATATCTTAGAGAAAATTGGTATATAGGAAATAATCAAGTGGATGCAGAGTACTTTGATAAGGTTTCGTCTTCAGGTAGCACTCTACATTTTAACACTTCTTTGCAAGCTTGTTTGCATTTATAATGAAAAGCTAAAATTTGCACTTTTTTTGTGGTCGAATGTATTTTGAATGAGCTCAGTGAGTTGTAGAAGCTGAATATCCATCGGAGTGCTATCACACAGCTCTTCATAAATTGAGTACCGCTACCTACATTTTTGGAGTCTCCTTGGGGACATGAGTATGGATCTGCCATGATGAGCATCTGCGCTTCAAAATTTACCACTATACTGGTCATCACCAAATCATTAGTATTGACCATGGGAGAGAACTTCTTTAGTCCTTGAACATTTGGCTCCTTCAACATATACAGTTGTACCTTGGAAGTTGAACAGAAGTCCGTTCAACTTCCAAAACATTCCTTTGAAAACCAAGGTACGACTGTATTGACATGATCTCAGACAGAAGCTGGAGAAAGTACAAGAGCTGCCCATGTCATTGATTGTATAAACAACAAGGTACAGATGGAATCTCTCTATGGGCAGTCTCCCCACCCAATGCAGAGTATTCACCATGGAAGGATTCAAGGACAAACAAGCAAGAATCCACAAATGTGTATGCACAAGCATCACCAACCCACACTGCCTGCTATGTGCAGAAGGCAAGACAACTACTTCCTTGGGTCAAATAAGGCCAAAGCTTTATTGATTATTGACGTAAGAGGTTTGGCATGGGAATTGGATATAACCATTTTCATCCAGCCTACCTGCTGGATGTGTTGATTATTGGAGTCAACCCTAAAGTGGTGATGTCCTATGACTTATATCAAGTAGGAACATCCCCGTTGGATCACCATGTTGAGGATTGCCTTGCCTGGGTGTCTGTATAGAAGCAGTTCTTCCTGGTTCCATTTATCAGGATACCCCTTACCCTTTCCAGGGACAGGCAGAAGATACAGCCTCCCATCAACCATGACTAAGGCTTACCCAATGCTTAAACCATGTTGAGGATTGCCTTGCCTGGGTGTCTGTATAGAAGCAGTTCTTCCTGGTTCCATTTATCAGGATACCCCTTACCCTTTGCAGGGACAGGCAGAAGATACAGCCTCCCATCAACCATGACTAAGGCTTACCCAATGCTTAAACCATGTTGAGGATTGCCTTGCCTGGGTGTCTGTATAGAAGCAGTTCTTCCTGGTTCCATTTATCAGGATACAACTTACCCTTTGCAGGGACAGGCAGAAGATACAGCCTCCCATCAACCATGACTAAGGCTTACCCAATGCTTAAACCACTAAAGTTTTGATGATTGCTATGAGGTAGGTAAAACCCACTAGGCAAGGCTAATTGGTCCAAGGGGAGATTCCTGCCCAGCCCTAAATATGGCGGTCAACAATGTCCACAACAAGGTCAAATGCACCACAATAACGACAACAACATAAAGTGTGTGTGTGAGTGAGTGAGAGATCCGACAAGGAAACTGTGTGCAGGAGCAAGGGTAGGCCATTTTAAATACTGGACAAGTGAACCCAAGTGAAACCTGCTGGCCTCAGTTGGTCCCAGAAAGAGTCCACCCCCCAGGCCTGCCTGCAATAGGCCAAGTCAGCAGGCACACCTAGAATCTGACCTCCTAGCTAGCATGGAGGACCAACTGGCTCCTCAATGTCCATGAGACGCCCACATGTGACACTCCATGCTGGATCACACCAGGCAGGGTTCTGCAGGCCCGCAAGGCCACCATACCAATGGTTGGGTAAGTAGAATTAGGTGCACAAATGGTTGCCACCCCCTGCTGCCCAATATGTAGAGAAGAAACAGACAAAACAAATACTTCTTACCACAGTGGTCCCAGACTGGTGAGGAGGGAGGAACAGAGTCAATTCCTATTTTAAAATTTTTTTTTAAGCACTCAGAACTCTATTGGTGTTGCGAGAGCCAATCAGGGGGATGGATGTCAGAAGGTTCCAATAAGCTGTTGACAGTTGGGAGCTGAGATGACCCAAGCTTTCTCCTGACAAAGGAGACTGCTCTATGGTTGTATTCTAACAATAATTTAACTTGGAACAGTTGCTGGGGCGATAGAACTAGAATTCTGTTTCCTGCTGAATCAGAAAAAAAGTCAATTGTTGTTGTTTTGTTGGCACTAGTAGGCTGGCTCTATTCAGATCTTCTGGCTTCCGATGTTATGATTCCAAGGGTTGTAGATAAAATGAAGGGGGGGGGGAGATGAGTTTCCCAGCTCTTTCCGCTCCTCCTTTGGTATTACTGGTTTATTTTGGGCTGTTCTGTATTAACGTAGCTCTTCCCCAGGCCTATAGGACCTCCCCATTGCTGTTGTGATTCAAATTACATGTCCCTGCCTTCTCTAAGTGGTAGGCTGTGTGAGTCCATCATTATCTGGACTGGGGGGGGGGAGAACATTCATAGTCAGCCCCCCCCCAAAAAAAGCATCATGGGAGCTGTAGTTTACCCCACAGGTCAAATTTCCAGCACCCTTAAGAAACCACAGTTCCCCAGATTCTTTGGGCTTTTTTGGGGGGTGTCTTTAAAGTGATGGATCATTTTCACTCCTCACACTAAGAAGAAGAAGAGTTTGGATTTGATATCCCGCTTTATCACTACCCGAAGGAGTCTCAAAGCGGCTAACATTCTCCTTTCCCTTCCTCCCCCACAACAAACACTCTGTGAGGTGAGTGGGGCTGAGAGACTTCAGAGAAGTGTGACTAGCTCAAGGTCACCCAGCAGCTACATGTGGAGGAGTGGAGACGCGAACCCGGTTCCCCAGATTACGAGTCTATCGCACTTAACTGCTACACCACACTGGCTCTCACTAGGGATTTATGCATATGCTTCAGTCCGAACCACTATTCTTTCACACTTTCACCTGACATTTCCTGTTATTCTGCTACTGGTTTACTTTACACAATTCTGTGTTCTGCTTTATCATCTACCGATGCAGAAACATTCATTTATCTTTCACGTAGCACAAAATAGGCACACGTATCCACCATCAGATATTGTCAACAGGAAGGGAACATTTGGGTGAAATTCTCGTAGAGATGTTCCTACAGTTTCCTTACCTTTGAAATGGCTAAATACATTTGCAAGTGCTCTTTCATTCTACAAAATATCTCACCAGTGGTTTGCACCATGTAGCCTTCCCAGTTCGCCCATGCTTGAATTAACTCCCAGGGGAAGACATCATGAGGTAACTGCCACGTTGTCTTCTCACATCAGAAAGCTTGGGTTGAACAGCAACAATAAAGTATGCTAAAAAAGAAAGAAAAGAAAACCAAACACCCACAGAAATTCTGGATAAATGCTTAAGTGCCATGAGAATGGAAGAAAAAAATAACACTCTGGAGAAATTGGAGGACATCTTTCAAAACCTCATCAGGAGGGCTTTAAACTGACTAATGTGGGGGAGGGAGAGAAACTAGGGTTCCAGGTGGAGAAATCGAAATTAGAAACAGAATTGTTAGAACCAAAGACTAAGATACTTTCAAGGATGTATAACTTGCTGTTGGAATGGAATACACAAGATGAAATGGTTAAATCGGCTATGATAAGGTGGGCACAGGATATTGGGCATAATATTATGTTTGAGGACTGGGAAAGGCTGTGGAGTAATGGATTGAAATTTACTGCATGTAATGCTTTGAAAGAAAATGTAATGAAAATGATTTATAGATGGTATATGACCCCAGTCAAACTCGCAAAAATTTACCACCTGTCTGACAACAAGTGCTGGAAATGTAAAGAGTGTGAAGGAACGTTCTTTCACCTCTGGTGGACCTGCCCTAAAGTGAAGGCGTTCTGGGAAATGATTTATAATGAATTGAAAAAGGTATTTAAATATACTTTCACTAAGAAACCAGAGGCTTTCCTTTTGGGTATTGTCAGCCAAGGGGTGGCAAAGAAGGACCAAACATTTTTATGTATGCAACAACAGCAGCAAGGATACTACTCGCAAAACATTGGAAAACTCAAGATCTACCCACACTGGAAGAATGGCAGATGCAACTGATAGACTATATGCAACTGGCTGAAATGACTGGCAGAATCCGTGACCTGGGAGAAGAGAGAATCGAGGAGGATTGGAAGAAATTTAAGAACTACCTACAAAAACATTGTGATTTGACTGAATGCTGAATAAGATGCTTGACTAAATAACTGAGCACCACTTAACTTAGAAGTTTTTAAGAAAATAAGAAAAATTGTGAAAGTTTAACTCTTTATGAGAACTATAAGATCATGAAATATCGAAGAGATATAAGAATTTAAATAAGATGATAAATTGCTGACAAAATGTTATAATGATGAAGGTGGGAGCGGGAGATGTGAGGAAGTCCAAAGAAAATGTGAAATTATGTTAAGACGAATGTTATATTGTTTATTACATTTATTCCTATTGTAAAATCCAATAAATTGCTTTAAAAAAAAAAAAAAAATGTGGGGGAGGGAGACAGTGCTCCTGAAGGTAGGAGTCTATCAATTGATGAAGATGATCATCCAAATGTCATAGACCAAATGGAGCAAACAGCATGCAGACCTAGTGGTGGGAGGAAAAAATCCTTAAATAAGAGTCACGGGGGGATGATTAATGGACTTCAATGTCTGTACACTAATGCGCAAAGCATGAGAAATAAACAAGATGAGCTTGAGCTCTTGGTACAGCAAACTAAATATGACGTAATAGGCATCACTGAAACCTGGTGGGATAAGTCCCACGATTGGAATGTAATAATGGAGGAATACAATCTATTTCAGAGAAACAGACCAGACAAGAAAGGAGGAGGAGTGGCGTTATATGTCAGGGATGTGTATACCTGTGAAGAGATCCAAGATTTAGAACCTCAAAGCCAAAGTGAGAGCATTTGGGTCAAAATTAAGGGGAGAAGAATAACAGTGACCTCATTGTGGGAGTTTACTATAGATCCCCAAGCCAAACGGAGGACATAGATGATGCCTTCCTGGAACAGATGGCCAAGCATGCAAAAGGAAGGGAGATAGTAGTAATGGGGGACTTCAATTACCCAGATATTTGTTGGATGTCAAACTCAGCCAAGAGCATAAGGTCAAACAGATCCCTCACTGGCCTTGCAGACAACTTCATTGTCCAGAAGGTGGAAGAAGCAACAAGAGGAACAGCCATTTTAGATCAGGTCCTAACCAATGTTGATGACCTGGTTAGTGGGGTAGAAGTGGAAGGATCATTAGGCGCGAGTGATCATGCTCTTCTGAAGTTTACTATACAGCGGAAAGGAGCAGCCAAGCATACTAGGACTCAATTTCTTGACTTTAAGAAAGCCGACTTCATAAAACTTAGGGAAGTGCTGGGTGAGATCCCATGGACAGTAATACTAAAAGGAAAAGGAGTTCATGATGGCTGGGAGTTCGTTAAGAGGGAGATAGTAAAAGCACAACGTCAGGCAATACCAATGAGACGGAAACATGGAAGGTGCCTAAAGAAGCCAAGGTGGCTATCTAAAGAACTTTCAACTGAGTTAAGATTAAAAAAGGATGTGTACACAAAATGGAAAAGGGGGGAAACCACTAAAGAGGAATTCAAACAAATAGCCAGCACGTGTAGACACAAAGTCAGAAAAGCTAAAGCACAGAATGAACTCAGGCTTGCTAGAGAGGTTAAAAGCAACAAAAAAGGCTTTTATGGGTATGTTCGTAGCAAAAGGAAGAACAAAGAAACAGTGGGGTCACTCAGAGGAGAAGATGGTGAAATGCAAACAGGGGACACAGAAAGGGCTGAACTCCTCAATGCCTTCTTTGCCTCAGTCTTCTCCGATAAAGAAAACAATGCCCGACCTGAAGAATTTGGAGCAAATGATTCAGCAGAGGAAACACAGCCCAGAATAATTAAGGAGATAGTACAAGAATACTTGACTAGTCTAGATGTATTCAAGTCTCCAGGGCCAGATGAACTTTATCCAAGAGTATTAAAAGAACTGGCAGATGTGATCTCAGAACCACTGGCAGTCCTCTTTGAGAATTCCTGGAGAACAGGCGAAGTCCCGGCAGACTGGAGGAGGGCAAATGTTGTCCCTATTTTCAAAAAGGGGAAAAGAGAGGACCCAAATAATTACCGCCCAGTCAGTCTGACATCAATACCAGGGAAGATTCTGGGGCAGATCTTCTGGGAGATGATCTATAACGAAATGAAAAAGGTATTTAAATATACCTTTCTGAAGAAACCAGAGGCCTTTCTCCTGGGCATAGTCGGCCAATTGGTGTTAAAGAAGGATAGAACTTTATTTATGTATGCCACAACAGCAGCAAGAATACTTATTGCAAAGTATTGGAAGACACAAGACCTACCCACTCTGGAAGAATGGCAGATGAAGGTGATGGACTACATGGAATTGGCGGGAATGACTGGCAGAATCCGAGACCAGGGAGAAGAGTCGGTGGAAGAAGATTGGAAGAAATTTAAAGACTATTTACAGAAATATTGCAAAATTAATGAATGTTAGAATGATGTTAGAATGAAGTTAGGTGGTTTAAGCAGTAATGCTATAAAGGTGTATGAAAAAATGGATTGATAACAGGTGAAAATTCAAAGCTATAGTATATTAAGTTAAAGGATTAAGAGAAAATAAAGAGGGAAAGAAATTGCTGAATTAACTAACTGAACTGGAATACAAAAAAGGGAGGTATGAGGAGGTCAGGGAAACAAGGATATGAATGTAAGGTATGGAAAGATGGATGTATTTTTTTAAAGTGTTTTTCATTCTTTTATTCTGTATTTTGTATTTTTCCTGTATTTTTACTTCTGTTTATTGTTTTTGTTTTATTTGTTTTTTTTCTCCTTTTCTTTATTTATGTAATTCCTCTTTTTGAAATTTTAATAAATATCATTTTTTTTAAAAAAAAAAAAAAGATTCTGGAGCAGATCATTAAGCAAACAGTCTGTGAGCACCTAGAAAGGAATGCTGTGATCACCAATAGTCAGCATGAATTTCTGAAAAATAAGTCATGTCAGACTAACCTGATCTCGTTTTTTGACAGAATTACAAGCCTGGTAGATGAAGGGAATGCAGTGGATGTAGCCTACCTTGATTTCAGCAAGGCAGTTGACAAGGTGCCCGATGATATTCTTGTAAAGAAGCTGGTAAAATGCGGTCTTGACTATGCTACCACTCAGTGGATTTGTAACTGGCTGACGGACCGAACCCAAAGGGTGCTCATCAATGGTTCCTCTTCATCCTGGAGAAGAGTGACTAGTGGGGTGCCACAGGGTTCTGTCTTGGGCCCAGTCTTATTCAACATCTTTATCAATGACTTGGATGATGGACTCAAGGGCATCCTGATCCAATTTGCAGATGACACCAAACTGGGAGGGGTGGCTAACACCCCAGAGGACAGGATCACACTTCAAAACGACCTTGACAGATTAGAGAACTGGGCCAAAACAAACAAGATGAATTTTAACAGGGAGAAATGTAAAGTATTGCACTTGGGCAAAAAAATGAGAGGCACAAATACAAGATGGGTGACACCTGGCTTGAGAGCAGTACATGTGAAAAGGATCTAGGAGTCTTGGTTGACCACAAACTTGACATGAGCCAACAGTGTGACGCGGCAGCTAAAAAGCCAATGCAATTCTGGGCTGCATCAATAGGACTATAGCATCTAGATCAAGGGAAGTAATAGTGCCACTGTATTCTGCTCTGGTCAGACCTCACCTGGAGTACTGTGTCCAGTTCTGGGCACCACAGTTCAAGAAAGACACTGACAAACTGGAACGTGTCCAGAAGAGGGCAACCAAAATGGTCAAAGGCCTGGAAACGATGCCTTATGAGGAACGGCTAAGGGAGCTGGGCATGTTTAGCCTGGAGAAGAGGAGGTTAAGGGGTGATATGATAGCCATGTTCAAATATATAAAAGGATGTCACATAGAGAAGGGAGAAAGGTTGTTTTCTGCTGCTCCAGAGAAGCGGACACGGAGCAATGGATCCAAACTACAAGAAAGAAGATTCCACCTAAACATTAGGAAGAACTTCCTGACAGTAAGAGCTGTTTGACAGTGGAATTTGCTGCCAAGGAGTGTGGTGGAGTCTCCTTCTTTGGAGGTCTTTAAGCAGAGGCTTGACAACCATATGTCAGGAGTGCTCTGATGGTGTTTCCTGCTTGGCAGGGGGTTGGACTCGATGGCCCTTGGGGTCTCTTCCAACTCTATGATTCTATGACTTAGAAAAGTCAGGTGTATTTGTGCCAATATGGCTTCCATTTATTGAATAAGCAAATACTGATACTTCTCTGCCCAGATCCCCTTCTTCTCAATCAAAATGCAGGAATAATGCCTTGGAAGAGGCAATCCTATCAATACAGATTTTCAATTAGTATTTCAAAGAATTCCATCCTAGCATAAGAACTGAAGTATTCTCAAAGGAGCTCCATAGTTTTAAATGTGAAATGTTCAATGGTCCATAAGATATAATATTTGAATACAGCACTTTCAGGCGTGTTCCTGAGATTATACTGCAATTCTAACGACGACACTGGAAGATCAGTCATTATTATCCCCATGAAGGTGTTAAGGCAGGGGTCAGGGTGGGGAGGCTGAGTGAACCACCTAGTGTTATTCAGGTATAGCTCGATGAGATCTGAATGGGTGCCTTCATTATCCATCACTCAGTCTTTTTGCCACTATGCTATTCTTGCCTTCTCACACCAGTAATTAATCCACATTAAATGATTGTGAGAGTACGATTCTAAACCAGTCTCCTTTGTACACAATGATTATACATCATCTTGGTTCTCAACTGTCAACAGTTTCTTCTAGAATCTTCCAACATCTTTCCCCAATTGGCTCCCGCAGCACTGCTAAGAGTTCTATTTGCCTTATTTCAAAAGAATTTAGGGTGTGGCTCAATTATTCTTCAACTCGCTGGTAATAGAAAACGACAGTAAGTTTGAATGTTTTTTGCCTGCTCACTCTCAAATATTTCTATCAAAACTCCCCTGCAGAGGTTGTTGTGACTACCACCAGACAGATTTCAACTCTACCCATTTCTGTGGGTCTTTATATTTTGAAGCCTGTCCCAAGAGGTCTGGATGTAGGATATGACCAGACTGTGGTATGTCAGGGACTGGGCAGAGGAGGAATGGTGGAGACTGCCTCCTCGTCCTGACCCTTTCAGGGAGGAGGAACAGGAAGACAGTATAGATTTACAACAGGGGTTTGAGGGAGGTCGCAGCTCAGAGGCAGATGAGGGAGAAAGCTGTGAAATCATAGGAGAGCTGGAACAACACCCAACTGGCATGTTGTCATTAGAAAGCATTCCATACCCTCCATCTCCCGGAACCTGGCGAGCCTTAAAAGTAGGAGAGCAAAGAGTTCAAAGACAGAGATCATGTAGCAGCACCTGTAGAAGTGACGAATGAGGAAGTGGGAGAGATGGGGTCAATGCCATTATCCAAGATGCTGGGTTTTACAGCTTTTCTCTGTAAAGATTGAAATAAAAAAGGATGGTAAGAAACTTTTCCTTGTCTTTATGCTTTCCTGGGCCACCAGCTGGGAGCTGCGGACAGCATCCTGACAGTATAGCTTCATTATACATGGGGGAGAGGCTTTGGGTGGAATCTATTTAAACCTACCCTGCCCACTTTCTGAACACTTTGCATTCTGGAGCATTTCTTGGTGTTTCCTGTTTTTGTCCCCCCCCCCCCCCAGAAGACAGAGGAGTGTGTCTGCCATGGATTGGGCATGGTTTCTATGTCCCCCCATTTTCATTTCTGCTTGGTATTTTGGACTTGCCATTTGTTAATTTGGGGTTTTCTACGATATTTAAGGTTTCTAGGATGGCATACCCTCCAACTTCTTGGGTCCCAAAATAGATTCCAGCTGTTAAGGAGGGTGCCATCCCATTTGGTGAGATGTTCAACTCTTTGAGAATGCATATCCAAGATAAGAAGAAAATGATGTAGAGGGGAGAATGCATAAAGGCCTTTCTTCACCCAGGCCTTTGGCTAATTAAACAATCTACGGACGTAATCAAGAACACTGGCAATAGCAGCACATGAACTCTCTACAGCTTCGGGCTTTGTTGAAATGTTCAAATAATCAGTGTTCAAGGACCAAAGCAATTTCTTCCCACGATATTTAAACTAACAAAAGATGTGGTGATAGCCACTGGGGTAGTGGCAAATTAGTGTGGGAGACCCCCATAACCACCCTCCTAGGCATGTCCAAAAATGTAGGCTTCTCCACTTCCCTTCCACTATACCATTGAGAGAGGGGGGTCTGGGGATTAGGAAGCTCGTGGAGGAGACCAGGTCTATCAGTGACTGCTAGCCTTAATGCATAAATGGAAAAAAACTTTAGAGCAGGGAAATTTTGCAAGACACAAACAAAAACAGAGCCGGTCTTACACTTCCATGCCTTGATTGTAACCTTTGTGCAGATATCTCGCAGGCTGCTGCTGGAATTGCAATGCTGTACTTCTTAAGTAAGTTGAAATAGTTACTTATGTTCTGTCAACAGCACTCTCTTATTCTCTAACAGGTCAGCCATTTCCCCCGACTCTCAGAAAGAAACCATGAAGAAAACGCAGGTGGCATCCAAAGTGTCAAGAAAGCCCAAAACACCCAGAGCACACAAAGCACACAAAACACCCAAAGCACCCAATGAACCCAGTGAACCCAATGAATCCAAAGAACCCAGTGAACTCAGTGAACTCAGTGCACCCATTGCACCCCTTGCACCAACCAGTCGTGAGGTGAGCTTGAAGAATCTGTGGAATCCACTGAGTTTATAAAAACTGAAAACCCATGTTGTTATGTAATTGTTTCCCAAGGTTCAGACAGGGATGTAAACCAATTGTACGATATAGCATACAGTACTTTGGGTGGCATTCAGACTTCCGGAGCAATCCAAAACCAAGCAGAGTAGCAGTAGGGCAAGATGAAGCCGCCTAGTTCCTCCATCAATGCTGGCTGGATCAGAAGGCTGGGGGAAGGAAAAAGCCTGCTCTGCGTTACCCCACCCTCAGGGCCGGATTTAGATTCAGTGAGACCCTAAGCTACTGAAGGTAATGGGGCCCTTTATATGTCCAGCTGTCCTTTGTCAACAACAAACTGCTGCTGTTTTTTGTGTTGAATATATGCTATATGGTAATTTATGGACCTAATATGTATCTAAAGACATTTGCACATAACAGAATATGTATTTTATCCAAGTAATTGTTGAACTGAAATACAATTAAGCAGAAATATAATTATAATATTTATATATAGTATTATAGTAGTAAGTGAGGGTAATAGGGAACTGTACTAGTAAATAATAATATAGGCCTACTAAATAATAAAGATGAATATTTTTTCTAAAGTAATTTTATAATGGGATCAAAATAAATAAATTATGTATTACATTGAATCAATCAGTAGGCATAAGACTCATACCCTTAGTCTATGCTGCCTGATCATCAGTCTACAAGCACTTTTTAATATTAGATAACAGGTACAACAGCTTGATCTACATTCAACTGTGCTGCACTGCAGTCTGCAGCTGCATACTACCTGTTGCCATGCGACCAGACCCTGCAGAATGTAGGCACCCTATATATAGACATGAGCAAACTGGTGATATTTTAGGGAGCAGGCTAGCAGGCGGGGCTCATTACTTACATCATAGGAGCTTACACAACACAAAACACTGTTGCTGTATGTAGGTTTTGTTTTATTTGTTTTCCCCCGCCCCCTTATATTTTGGAAATGTACATCCAGTTGTTTTTCCCTTTACATTTTTTTGGGGGGGCCCAAGAGAGTGGGGCCCTAAGCTATAGCTTGTTTAGCTTATACATAAATCTGGCACTGCCCACCCTGGAGATAACTTGGCATGTGGGCATAGATGCCATCAAGCGACAGCAGTAGGGCCAGCATGGATTTCAGTGGATGCTGAACCATCTCATCCCCCTTCTCACCTACACTCAGCAAGGATCCCACCAATTTTGCTTCCACCTGGCCACAGTGAATGGAACGGAAAGCTGTGCAGCAGCAGGGCAAGGCTTGCAGAGAGTCATTCTGGAGTATGGGGGTGGAGGGAGATATCAGCTCCATCTGTTTCTCCACCATGGAGGACCTTGCAAGGTTGGGTTGTAGCCTTCCTCATGCTTAGAGTAATCCGATGGATAGACTGCAAGTATAACCAAACTTGGATTCAGTTTACTATATTTAAAAGATCCTTGAGAGATAAAGGTGGTCTATAAATGTAATAAACACAAATAAATAAAATAAAATAAAATAAAATAAAATAATAAAATAAAATAGTAGATAATAACCATCATGACTAGCAGGAGATGGTGTGGCAATGATGATCATGTTCAGCTGGAGTAGCCAAAGTATACAAATGTTGCCATTATAAAATAATGTCTTAATGTTTCACTCTATCTTTCAGTCTACAAATGTTTTAGTGATAACTGTAGTTAATCAACGGTTACTTAATATAAGTATTCTGCCCTGTACATTCTCATCACGTATCTTCTTCTTCTTCTTCTTCTTCTTCTTCTTCTTCTTCTTCTTCTTCTTCTTCTTCTTCCTGCAGGATGTCCCATTGAGGCTTATTTGGATTTCAATGGCTGCCTGCTTAATTAGTGTACAATATGGATACAATATGTGGTTACTCTACACCCCTTTTGTGGTAAGATAGCCCTGTGTTTCATGTGGCTTCTTAAAGCAGGGGTTATTGTTGGCCTGGGAGACCTTTTCTCTGTTGAGCATCACATTTCTTCTGGGATACATTGACAGGGAACATAGGCTGGCACAGGTGTAGCCAGATCCCAAAGTAGGTAGGACACTGCTGTAAATCAATCTCTCTCTCTCTCTCTCTCTCTCTCTCTCTCTCTCTCTCACACACACACACACACACACAGACAGAGAGAGAGAGAGAGACTCATACACGCTTCCTTCTTAGGTTTTCCAAAAAGAAAAGAGAGGGTATAGTCATAGTCAATTTCCCAATGCATCCTGTTTTAAAAGCCAGTATATGACAAGCTACTGCTCAGTAAATAAAAGTAGAATATAGAAGGCAAAAAGGAGAGTGCTCCTTGCTCTTTGAGTCTAGATATTTTAAAAAGGGACATATTTTCCTATTTTCACTTGTGAAAGTGTGGACAAAACTTTTGTGATATCTCCTAGCAGGGGTGTCAACTTGAATACAATATGGTGTGGCAGGTAAGTCCCATCCCACATAATGGATCACAAGATGCAGTGCACACACACTGTTTGAATGGCAATGCCTATTAACTTGGGGAGGGGGTTCTGACCCCCTTAAATAGTCTATGGGAGAAGGGAAAGGGACCTCAGCCCCGAGGAGTTGGCCCCTATGCCTTCTAGCTCTCAATGTGAGTGGGAGAGACATGCACACACTTTCTCTGGGCATCCCAGAATTGCCTGCAGATCATTGGCCATCATTCAGTTGGTCCCAGGCTCTCACATTCTGCTGCCACATGATCTCATGCCACATGAGCAGTCCTAATCTCAAGCATTTATTGTGCTTCTCCCTCAGCTCCTACATGACTTGTTCAACATAACAACCTTTGAAGAGATGGAAGATCCAGGTTCTCAGATGTATATTGTGGCTATCACCATTGCTTTATTTCCACTTGGAGCCATTTTTGGGACCATTCCTATTGGTTTTCTGGCCAATAGATTTGGCAGGTATCGAGATGAATTTGTGACTGCTGAACGACAAGGAGAGGGAGTGGCAGGGAGAGACACAGTGAGATCCATTTAGGTCCATGGAATCATACCTGAAAACCTTTTGTCAGCTGATAAAGCTTTGTTTGAAGGTAGTCAGAACATGCCTACCAATTGCAAGATAATCCCACCAATGCGGTTTTGATCAATTTGGTTCTTAAGACATCATCTAACATACACCAGCAGATTTTCTAATATAGAGCTGAGAAAGAACCCAGAAGTTAGTGGTAGAACACATGTTTACATTCAGAAGATCCCATTTTCTCTCATCATCATCCCTCAATTAAGAGATTTTATCTAGCACAGCAGAAGGTTTCTAGCTCTGGTGGAAATGTATGAGCAATGCCTCCTGATATTTATTAAGATAAAGAAAGTGTGTGAGTAATTTTACAGTGCTTGGGTATAGAAGTTTCAGGGCCATCCATGGGTCCTTGTTTCCTCCTATTACTAGCAAACCCAGAACAAATTATCTATAAAAGGATTAGGAGATTCCCCTAATCCTATAGCTCCTCTCCCCCCTTTGCTGCTTTCATGGTATCATATATTGGCATCTTCCCACCTCACCACCCCCTTCCACTGTCTTCTCAGGAGAGGAGCTATGAAGATAACGACCTTTTTGAGTCTGATCCCTCCTGTCCTATTGGCTGTTGGTGATACCGTAGATATCCATGAATTCACAATTGCTGTACGTTTCTATACTGGGATATGCACAGGTGAGTCAAGGTCCCAGGTTTAGTAGTTTGGCGTAGAATTCATGTTGTTAGTTTGAGCCGAGCAGAGACACTGAGCAATAGTTCGTTTCCACAACAGAGGGAGGGTGGGCTGCCAAAGAATCAAGTAAAGCAGTATCAGTGTGTCTCATTTTCACAAACATCTCCCTAACTGACTTTGGAAACCAGTATTGTGGCTCAGATAGGCCACCAAGGATGGAGAAACTGGTAGAGGTGGCATTGAAACTCTATAGGACTGTGAGTTGGAAAATGGATTTTTGTAAAATACCAAAAGAGGAATCGCTGTGCAGAATTATTATTATTTAAATATAAGTATGTGATGTCCCAAGGCCTTGGGTTAATTGGTATACTAATTATTGTACCAACAAACATACCACCATGGAGGTTGTTTGACCGTAGTTTCCATCCATCGCAGCCAATAGCTATTCCATGGCAACTAGACAGCGAATTGTACATGAACTGTAGTCCACTACTATCAGTTTGGATTGTCCTGCTACCTTAATAGTGGCCAACACTATTAGTTTGAATTAAACGATTTAATGCCATTTCTCAGAGATATACAAGCTCTGGGCAAGTTCCAACAAAAGAATATTCCCAAGTTGAGAGGCAGCTACTGAGAACACCAGTCCGTACGCCCTTGTGGGGGCCGGTTTGGTTCAGAGCTACACGTGGATGGCGTTGCCATATCTATGGTGTGAGATGTGAAATGTCGGTGACATTTTGCAGAATTCTACAAAAGAACAGCTTGGCAACATGAGATATGACTTGCACGGCCTACTGGAGCCTCAGGGTTATTCATGCATTTTGCACATATCACATGTTCATTGAGATTTGTCTGCTTATTTATCAACTAACCAGGACTAATCTCCATTGTTGTTCCTCTGTATCTTGGAGAGATCGCCCCTGGAAGCGTGAGGGGAGCTATCGTCATGATGCCCCAGCTATTTTATGCTTTGGGCATCCTTGCGGGTCAGCTAATTGTTTTTGAAGAATTATTTAAGATGCGAGAAGGTAATTAAGATAAATTAATCCTTTGGCTTATATGAGATCAGACACATGGCCACAGTTTCTTCACATTGTTGTCACTCTATCTTCTTGCACAGGTTACGTGATTGTGATGGGCATTTCTGGGGTCATGCCAATTTTTCAGATCATACTACTACCCTTCTTTCCTGAAAGTCCGAGGTATCTGTTCATTCAGAGGAAGAATGCAGAGAGTGCAAGGGAAGGTACAATACCCTGAATTGTATTGAGATTTCTGGGTGTGAGCATCATACATAGCCATGAGAACCCATCAGGCTGAAGAGTTGTTTTTTTCCAAGTTGATGGAGTTGCAAACAGATTTTTTTCTGGAAGCAGTTGACATGGAAATGTATGCTAACCTTCTGCTAGATATCCAGAAGAGACCTTTAAGTTGTGGGAAGGGTCACATAAATTGTGGAAATTATCAGTTAAATAAATGCCTGGAAGTGGAATAAAGTACTGTCTGAATGCAGCCAAATGTGCAAAATGATTGCTGACTCCTCCCCACTACTGCCTACTGGGTTCCCCCACTCTCCAAGTTTTAGTTTCATTTGTATGTGACTTCCATTTTCTGAAAAAGCTCGGTTTTTTTGTGTGTTTTTTTGCTTTGAATAGCTTCCTTAACTCCGTTCATTGACCACAGTGGCATCCCCTTGGCCCTGTTAGATATTATTACCAATCAGAGTTGTATATTCTAGCTGAACATTTATGCTGACCGTTTTAAATAACTTCCGGATATTCTAAATTGATTTGACCCTCTGGACTTCCCCTTTCCCGCTTCCTTCTTAACAATATCCTCATTCTTCTGAGACTCTTATTCTACTGCATTCAAATCCTTTCTGCCTCTGTTCCCACACAGTACTGAAGGTGCTGAGAGGCAAGGATGATGTGGAGAATGAAATAGACGAACTCCATCAGGAGGACCTCTTTGAGAAAGCAGAAAAGAACATGACTGCTGTTAAACTGCTATCATCCCCAAACCTGAGATTTCAGGTCATCGCCACAGTTCTCTTGACGAGTGGTGCACAGCTTGATGGCATTGGTGCAGTAAGTAAGGCAATGCCCCCCCCCCAAAAAAAAATGTTTGGAGGTGGAGCCAGATAAATGAGGGCTCATAATGTTTAATGGCTGTGGCACCAATTATCACTGCTTGTCTCTAGGCACAGCAGATTATTTCTACTCAGTGAACTACTCTGTGGGTTTTGTTGGGACTTCAATGTCCATCAGTCATAGCTAGGAGCTGCTGTCCAATAGCACCTGGAGAACCACAAGTTCTCCACCCATGCACAAGTTATAGTCAGGCTCTAGGAGAAATATGGTATTGCCTGGGAGTAAAGGTTTGACTGCTACAGAGCACTAAGATCAGTTTGGTTTAAACTTGAATCATGCAGTGGAAAAGATTATCACTGGGCTTTCTGAAATTTTGAGTGTACTACATTATTTGTGTGCCAAGACTCAATGACCTTGCAGTTCCTTAAGGGTGATTAATCAGACAAGACAACAGCATATGGTTTTATGGGATCAAATAGGCCACAACTTTTACTGGTTACAGATGTGGTTTGACATAGGCATTGGGTGAAACCAAACTATATCATATTATATCATGCCAGCCCAACTGCTGGGAGTGCATCTAAGGAGAAACCACCATTAGGGGAAGACCTATGACCTACATCAAACAGGGGTATCCCCCCCCGAGTTTGGTATCCCCCCCCCCAAGTGTGGAGGAGTAGGAGTGGTATGGCCCTACACCTCATCTGGGCTTCAGACAGAAGCCACTCCACCTTGGCTTACCCAGAGTTCTCCTTAGCATTTACAGTTGGGGCTGAGACAAGCTTCAACCCTTACAAGCATCAACCATTCACTGTAAGCAGTAACTGAGCTCTAAGTAGACCAAGAGCTTTATATGCCAACTTTCTATGATTGGGATGTTGGAAAACTTGCCCCCTCGGGAGAGGCTGGCCCCTCTCCCAGGCTCCCGGGGTTTGTTTGCCGGTGATCTACCCTGACTGACATCCCCGCAGTCCAGGGAGATCTTGATAGGCAACATCTCCCTGCGTAGAAGATGCACACCCCCTTCTTCCTTGCATACCAGCAGGAGAAAGAAGATAGTCAGAAAGTCTATTACATCTCGTTTATTTCTGACTGTACAAAAGAACAAAAAAACATGTCCGTTCTCTCAGAATCCACCAAGCAACAGACTGAGACTTCCTTTACACAAGCAACAGGAAGGTCTCATATTACACTGAGAACAAATCCCTGTGAATCCTGGGAACTGCCGTGTACATCCTGTCCCACGGTCAGGCACATCATGTGATGTAAACATCGAGCTGCTTGTTTGCAGTTGCGTAGTACTCATATTCCAACATGGGAATCATGCAAATTCAGTTCAGTCTGTTTGATTGAAGGAAACTCAACATGATGATGTCATGTAACATATTTCTCTTAATTAACATTCCTTGGTGAGGGTAGTTCAGGGGGAACATTCCAAGAACATCCCATTAAGCCCTTTTTGCAAAGGAAGAAAACCAAGAGGCTCTACTGCTAGCAGGTGCTGTTTAATTTCCCAACTATTACAATTTCTATTTTTGTAGGGGGTTTTTAAAATTATTTTTTCACTCCTCTAACATGTAAACAAACTGGCAGTAGACACAAATTCATCCCATGACTTGTGAATTGTCCTTCAAACTCTGAGGAAGATTCTGGAAGTAGAGGTGGAAGGCAAGCTGATGTGTGCTCCATATCTTACATATCCCTTCCTTGTGACTCAATAATATTAAATCTGGTGTAGGCAAAGAAAATGGTGGCTGTGAGTCACAGGAGTTGTTAAAGAATCCTGGCAATCTGGGAGACAATGCTAAAGTAAACACATTCACTGTGTGTGTTCCACATTCACTGAGGAAGTGAACATCTAGAATAAGGGCAGCTGAAACACAAGGTTAAATGCAGGTCATAAGAGCCCAAGAAGCAGACCAGTGGAATAATAGAATAATAAGATCAAATAATTGTAGAGTTGGGGATGAACCCGAAGGCATCCGGTCCAGTCCCCTGCAATGCAGGAATCTCAACTAAAGCATCCATGGCTGATGGCCATCCAACCTCTGCTTAAAAACAACCAAGGAAGGAAAGCCCACAAGCTTCCAAAGGGAGACCATTCCATTGTTGAACAGCTGGCGTAGTCACATAAGGTTTTGAGGTTGAACGGGCAAAGATTGCACAAATGTACTGTAGCTTTCTCTGGCTGGTGAGGAAGTGGGAACTGAGACAAGTCCTATTTGGAACCCTAATAGCATTGTGAAAGCCAATCAGGAGATCTATGAATGTGGCAGCCAGACTGGTGACTGGGAGTGGCCCCCGAGACCATATTACACCCGTCCTTAAAGACCTACATTGGCTCCCAGTACATTTCCAAGCACAATTCAAAGTGTTGGTGCTGACTTTTAAAGCCCTAAACAGCCTTGACCCAGTATACCTGAAGGAGTGTCTCCACCCCCATCGTTCAGCCTGAACACTGAGGTGCAGAGCCAAGTGACTTCTGGCGGTTCCCTCCCTACAAGAAGTGAGGTTACAGGGAACCAGGAAGAAGGCCTTCTCAGTAGTGGTATCCACCCTGTGGAATGCCCTCCCATCAGATGTCAAGGAAATAAACAACTATACAACTTTTAGAAGACATCTGGATGCAGTCCCCTTTAGGGAAGTTTTTAATGTTTGATATTTTATTCTGTTTTTAATCTGTTAGGAGCAGCCCAGAGTGACTGGGGAAACCCAGCCAGATGGGTGGGGTATAAATAATAAGTTGTAGTAGTTGTAGTAGTTGTTGTTGTAGTAGTAGTATTTGTTGTTGTTGTCAGAAAGTTCTTCCTGATATTTAGTTGGAATCTTCTTTCTTCTAACTTGAAGCCATTGGTTTGAGTCCTATCCCCCAGAGCAGGAGAAAAGAAGCTTGTTCCCCCTTCCATGTGACAGCCTTTGAGATAATTGAAGATGGCTGTCATATCTTCTCTCAGTCTCATCTTATTCTGCCTAAACATATCCAACTCCTTCAACCAGTCATCATAAGGCTTGCTTTACAGACCCTTGATCGTCTTAGTCGCCCTCCTCTCCACACGTTCCAGCTTGTAATATCCTTATTAAGTTGTGATTCCCAGACAAATTACTCCAGAGACTCAGGTAGATTGGTAAAGAGAAAGCTTTTTATATGCGTTGTATATGCATTATAAGCAATGACAAACCTAGACAGCATCTTAAAAAGCAGAGACATCACCTTGCCAACAAAGGTCTGTATAGTTAAAGCTATGGTTTTCCCAGTAGTGGTGTAAGGAAGTGAGAGCTGGACCATAAAGAAGGCTGGTCGCCGAAGAATGGATGCTTTTGAATTATGGTGCTGGAGGAGACTCTTGAGAGTCCCATGGACTGCAAGAAGATCAAACCTATCCATTCTGAAGGAAATCAGTCCTGAGTGCTCACTGGAAGCTGAGGCTCCAATACTTTGGCCACCTCATGAGAAGAGAAGACTCCCTGGAAAAGACCCTGATATTGGGAAAGATGGAGGGCACAAGGAGAAGGGGACGACAGAGGACAAGATGGTTGGACAGTGTTCTCGAAGCTACCAGCATGAGTTTGACCAAACTGTGGGAGTCAGTGGAAGACAGGAGTGCCTGGCGTGCTCTGGTCCATGAGGTCACGAAGAGTCAGACACGACTAAATGACTAAACAACAAAGTCCAGCATCTTGTTCCCCACATTGGCCAACCAGATGCCTAAGGAAACCCTAAACAGGATTCTTCGGTTCCTCAATATCTTGAGTCACCACCAGTTACTCCTTCGTTTCATATTAGACTATTATTTAGATATAATCTGGATGTCTGACAGTTGACAGTTAAGTCCAGTCGCAAACGACTATAGGGTTGTGGTGCTCATCTCGCTTTACTGGCCAAGGGAGCCGGCGTTTGTCCGCGTACAGCTGTCAGGTCATGTGAGCAGCATGACTAAGCCACTTATGGTGAAACCAGAGCAGCGCTTAGAAACATTGTTTACCTGCCCACCGGAGCGGTACCTATTTATCTACTTGCACTTTGACATGCTTTCGAACTGCTAGGTTGGCAGGAGCTGGGACTGAACAATGGGAGCTCACCCCGTTGCGGGGATTCGAGCCACCAACCTTCTGATTGGCAAGCCCTAGGCTCTGTGGTTTAGACCACAGCACCACCCGCGTCCCTTACCATATACATACCACTGGTATATTTCTTTGGTTTTAACTTGGTTGTATTATGGATTTTAATATGGTGGTAAGCCGTTCAAAGGCCCAAGTTAATGGTTGGTATGCTGATAATTTAATAATATGCTGGATCAGGCTGGTGGCCTACCAGAGAGCCAGTGTGGTGTAGTGGTTAAGAGCGATAGACTCATAATCTGGTGAACTGGGTTCGTGTTTCTGCTCCTCCACATGCAGCTGCTGGGTGACCTTGGCCTAGTCACACTTCTTGAAGTCTCTCAGCCCCACTCACCTCACAGAGTGTTTGTTGTGGGGGAGGAAGGGAAAGGAAAGGAAAGGAGTAGGGAAAGGTTGACCAAGACTATTTTTTTTTAAATGATATTTATTAAGAATTTTAGAATTACAGAAAGAAGAACAAAAAAGAAGAAGAGAGAGAAAAAAACAAAAGAAAAACAAACCACAATCGAACAATACAAATTAATCAAAATCAAAAAAATAACACGACACAATCAAAAGACAAAAATATACCACAAACATTTAAAAACAAATCCAATATTCTCAAATCCTTAACTGTCATTGCCTTCTTTCTTTGACCTCCTCACTCCTCCCTTTTTTTGTATCCTAGTTGTTAATTGTCACAGCAAATCCTTTCCATATTTCATAATATTCTGTCATTACATTACCTTAATCTATTTTAATCTTATCTTACTATAAAAGACCTTAAAACTTAAAACTTAAAACTTATTTATACCAATTTCTCCTAACCATAATATTCTTACATAATTCTTTAAACATTTTTGCTAAAGCCAAATAATTTCATTCCAACATTTTTCTAACATTCATCAATTTTATAAAACAATCCTAATAAAATTTTTTTTTTCCTTCCAATCTTCACCCAGTGTCTCTTCCTCCTGGTCCCGGGTTTTGTCAGTCCTTTCTATCCCATCAATCTAGCGCATTAACCTGGTAATCTTATGTCCAAGGCCCTTAAGTCCCTTCCATGTCCCATCCACTGTTCTTCTTCATATTTATACCTGTACTTTACTTTGTCTCCTGCTCCTTTCACTTGTGGGAACTCCAACTTAACAGTGTTTTTGACCCTTCTCGACAAATCAGCCCCTTTTCCATAGTCCACACTAAACTCCATGTGGTATTTAAAAACATGTTTCAAAGTCCCTCCAAAATTAAGAGCCCCCACAACCCCAAACATCTCACAGCCCATTGCCAGACTTGAAAAGTCCAAACATCCCTGAAATGGGGGGTCTATCCAACCCCCCATTTCCAAACCAAACCAAACTTTATCTTTCCAAATCTGGCTTTTTCCAAGTTCATTTGTCAAATCCAAAAACTCATGTTCCTGCTGGGCCACAGCTCCCTCCATCTCTGGTGCCCAAGGTTCAGCAGCATCCTCTTCCCTCATCCGTTTTGTCAGAGCACACTCCTGATTTGATTCCTGGGTGGGCTCCATATAGTTTCCCACTACCTGTCCAAAATTTCTGATCGCAACAGTCATCAAGTCCGTCTTCTCATGTAGCTGTTCCAGTAGGGCACTTGTTTTACAGAAAGCACGCAGCAGAGCTTCTGAGTACATTGTTCTGCAAGGTCAGACGTCTATTCCCACGATCGTAATCTATTGCAGCTGCAAGCTCCCTGGTTCAGAATTGGTAACAGTTTCACAGGCTCCTCTAGGGAAGAGCTTCTATTTGTTCTTTTCTTTTAAAGGCAGATCTAACAACAAAGTTTCCTTTTTCAGATATTTTGTCAATATTTGTTCCTTTAAAATGCGAAGGGGAACAATGGAATCACTATGTTTCTCTTCTTTTAACTATCTGTCAAAGACGCTTGTCTCTGGTCAGTGAGCTTCCCAAAGAACATCAGTCCTGACACCCCGCTCCAGGATCAAGACGGTGGAAAGTTACTTTGCATTACACTCTCTTCTGCAGGTTTAAACAGTCCGGAAAAAATCCCCCCTCTTCTCCTGCTTCTGAAGGGGGTTCAACAATTTTAAATGATGAAAGTTAATCCTTTACAAGCGATTTTCTGAACTCTAGTTTGCCATGTCTTTGCTTTAATCTATCTACAAGAAACGGAAGGCTGACTTCCTGTTTAGACCTTCCCGTTTCATGCCAAATTGAGGTAAATTTCTTAGTCCAATTTTCCTTTCTGCTCGCAAATCATTATTTGAAGTCCAATTGTCTGAAATTTAAGTACTCACGGGTAGTTGTTTTAAAAGCCAAATTGTCCCAGGAAAAAGGCAGCGCTCTCCGGCAATGGCTGTGCGGCTTTGCTCCACGGAAGAAGCAGTTGACTCTCAGCACCGCGCCACTTCCCCCTCATCACTCCGGAGCCCGTTAGTGGGTTCCTTTGCGGGTTGGGGGGGTGCTAAAGGTGCCTGCCGAGTCCCATGGTCACAGGCTTCATCCGCCTGTGATTTTTGAAAGGGTCCCCGCTTCGCCGTAGCTGGAAAGACCCATTTCCCGTGGAGCTGGTCCCTCCAGATCAGAGGGAGTCCGCCATTGCCGATGGCGCCACCCCGGAAGTCTAAGGTTGACCAAGACTAGACTATTGATTATTTTTTTTCTGATTTCAGGTGCACTATTATTTAGATATAATCTGGATGTCTGCAGGGGGGCAAGAAAAAATGCTCCCGTACCTTCGTATGGTATTAATGGCTGCTGGCTTAATCGCAATCTTGATCACGGTAAGCCTTTTCCACTTCTTTGTCTCTTTCCTTTTGAATCTTAAAACTCACTGTTCTTCAAAGGAAATAAATTTAAGTTTCACAGTCTTCCCCCCCCCGTCCACAACAGCCCCATGAAAAATAAACATTTTTTTAATTATAGTATTATGAGCGTTCTCTGAGCATTCTTTGTCAGAGAACCATAGTTATTTATACACAGTACCTGTATTCTAGTATGCATTGGAAGTCATCCAAAGGGGTGAAAAATCAGCTTGAACATTTTTTGTTTGCTTGTTTGTCTGTTTTTGCATCAAAAATAATTTTGCTTATTTGTTTCTTTCATTTTGGAGGATACATTCCTATTCACTAAGTGAAACACTTGTTTTCATTCCATTAGTGAATATATGTGGAGGGGTAATAAGATAAAAAGTATCCAGACAATTGAATTTCAAATCTAGACTAACTGTAAGGAGAAGCCCCTACCTCAGAAGAACCAAAGTTCTCAAAATTCCCTTAAGAAGTCCAGCTAAATTTAAATTATCTATGGTAAAGAAATACCCTATAAGCTGCAATTCTATACAACAGGGGAAACCAATCTGTTGTTCTTCAGATACTGCGACTTTTTGAACAACTGAACCTTATTACTTAATTTATTTATTACTGACTTACTGAGCTTTCTCTACACCTTTTCCTCATCCTGCTGGCTGGAGCTGATGGGAGTCCTTAAGATTTAGAGAGTACCATGTTGGCTAAATGTGCAAACTCAAAGGCACACCATGCTTCAATAGCTGTTGTTTATATGTGGATTCCTCCATAATGAAGGGTATCTTCATTCAGATATGACCGAGAACTATCATTCCTTAGGGACACGTATTTTTAGTAGTTGCTGGTCTCATCAGTCTACCTCACACATGGCAGGAACACAGTTTGAAATCATTTACTACCACTACAAACTACAAATGATAAACAACATTATACAGCATTACTTCAGCATGAAAACACAACTATCCTGTGTTAGATGCCCACAGAAAACTTTTTATTATTGTTTCAGAAAGTCTGCTTTATTTGAAAATTTTGCTGATTTTATCTGTGCTCTGTTGATCATTATTTTATATTTTTAATGTACAGCATTTAGATATTTAAATTTTGATTAAGAATAATAATGTAAATTAAATTAAATTAAATACTACAATAATTTCACTTGTGCACTTGATGAGAATTGCTCATAAAAAATGTTCTCCAAGGCAGGATTGTCCTGAGAAGTGTAGGAATAAAATACAACTGGTCCTTTTAAGTATTTGGAGTTTTCCTCTGTTCCTTTTGTCTACTATAGTTTTGCCCCTCGGTCCTGGTTTTGTGATCAGTTTCTACCAGAGTCCAACCCACGCAGCATAACACCACTGGCTTTTAAAATTTTATTAGCATTTTTATCCCACCCTTCTTCCAAGGAGCATGGGGCATTCTCATTTTATACTCCAAAGAATCAAGTCTAACACTACTTACTACACACCTCATCTGCTCTCATAATAGGAACATTGAAAGATTCTTGTTGGAGACTCTAGATGAGAAAAAGGCCCATCTAGTCCAGAATCCTGTTCTCAGAGGGTGTGAGGTTATGTTGAAAAATATCCCCCAAATGCATAATTAGGTTACACAGTGGTACGTCCGGTTACAGACGCTTCAGGTAACAGACGTGTCAGGTTACAGACTCCGCTAACCCAGAAATAGTACCTCGGGTTAAGAACTTTGCTTCAGGATGAGAACAGAAATTGCACGGCGGCAGTGGGAGGCCCCATTAGCTAAAGAGGTACCTCAGGTTAAGAACGGACCTCCAGAACGAATTAAGTTCTTAACCAGAGGTACCACTGTACAGCATTAGCTTGCTTACACTGACACTATCAATGAACTCTTAAAAGGTTAGTTAGTCAGGACTTGCCTTTTGAGAAGCCACACTGATATATTCATCCATATGCTTCCTAATATTAGCTTTAATAATGCTTTCTACCAGTTTTACAGGAACCAATATAAGCTAACTTATGTTGCATTGTACTTTCCTGTATCTCCTTTCCTCCTCTTTATATTCTGTAGATGTGTATTGCTGATTCTAAGGGATATAGGTATCTGCTTCTGATTGGCTTTGCGATGTGCAGCATCGTCTGTGTTCTGTTAACCATGGCCATGGAAATGCAGGTTTGTAATTGAGAGTTGAGAATCACCAAATGGGCTGTCATTTAGCCCCGTTCTCGCTCCCCCTATAATCCATGCTATGTAATAGCAATAAAGTTAATGTGGAAGTTGGCTGTATATGCTGATGGGTACATCTGTAGAAGGAGAACTGAGCGAAAAGTTACTTCGGTTTATACAATTCATTTGGATTTTGTGCAAAGGCTTGAAGGGAATGGCTGAGAATGGACATAGTCTCCCATCTGCGAAAGTCATATGGATGTTGCAAGAGAACTCAGAGAGATGGAGATCTTGGTGTGCTGCCTCACCTGCTGTTTTCAATTGGCCAGCAATTCTATCCAAAGTGGTTGCTGTCCTATTGATGTTAGAGTCCAACTCCCATCAGGCCTAACTAACATGGAAAGTGGTGAGGGATGATGTGAACTGTAGTCTAGCAACATTGACTACCCCGGCACTAGATAAGGGGCACCTGTTAATATCACATGTACATAACTGAAATGCAACCTACTTTCTCTAACAGGACACCATTGACGAGATGGCGTATGTCAGCCTATTTTTAGTCCACGTATTTGTCATAGCACACTCCGTTGGGCCAGGTAATTGCTCACATTGTGTACTGATCTCCTTAAGTGATATGCAAGATATTAATTGGATAGAGGAATATTTGAGTTCTATGGTGAAACGCTGATCCATGTCATGAACCCTTTCTTTCCACCAAGGTCCACTTCCAAATGTAATTGTGGTGGCACTGTTCCTTCAGTCGTCACGGGCCTCAGCCTTTGTGATTGCAGGATTTGTGCAGTGGTTCACACACTTACTTATGATGATGGTGTTCCTTCAGATTGTGGTGAGTGATATTGATAGTCAGCTTGATGCAGGGAGCAAGGTTTGCGTCAGTGAGCTACATTCATCTCTGTTCCTCACCCTTATCCACCCACCCAGCCCTCGGGTAAAACCCAAGATATGAAGCCATAACCTCAAATGGATGGATTTGTCAGCATTCTTGTCTTGTGCTTTGTTCAATGTGAATGTTAAGGCATCTTGAAGATGTGCATATTTCCTAATAAGGTTCAAACAATCTGAACAATATTCAAATGCCCAGTTGGCCATGAAAACCACTGCTTAGCCTTGAGCAAATTGCTCTTGCTTTCAGGAAAGGAGCCATAGTTTTGTGTGCAGAAAGTCCCAGACCTGATCTCTGGTATCTCCTGGAAAAGACTTCTGTCTAAGGACCTGCTGCCAGGCAGTGTACTGAACTGGTTGGACAAGTTGTCTGACTCCGTACAAAGCAGTTTCATGTGTTCATCTTTGTCTGCTACCAGGTGGTCTGGGCCTTAACCAGGAACTGCTTTAGCCAAAGGGTCAGAGCTACTGTAGACTGTATGTGCTCAAGCCCACTACAGATATGGAAGGGAATAAGGAGTATGTAACTTCAGCTTCTGTCAGTGGCATAGCGTGGGTTGCTGGTGCCCAGGACGGGGCAAGTGTTGCAACTCCCTGAACTGGGCATTGGTCAGTCTCTTTGCTGGCCAGTATCTAATCAAGGGATCTAATCAATCTCTCCTTGCAAAGTAGTCCCAACTTGGGAGTAGAGATAAGGCAGAGAAATGCAAAGCCAAGAGCACCACTGTGTTGCCTTGCCCTCCTGTCCTTGGAAAAAGGTGTTCTGGGCAACAAACATGGCTCCATAATTGCTTTCCCCCCTTCCTCTTCCTCCCTCCCTCCTTGGTGGGCTCACTAAAACCGCCCTTCCCCTCTCCTTCTCAGTCAGCCCAGGGGTGGGGCATGTGGGGGTATCCCTTCACCAGCCGTGAGGAGAAGAAGACGCTGCTGTCACCGTGCCCCATAACCCCAGCCTGGGTGTGGCTTGCCTCCCCGCAGCTCCAGCCTCGAGGTGGGAGCCTTTTGTGGCAGCACCTGGTTGCTCTCCTTCAGAAATTTGTGCCCAGGACCATGCCCCCCTGCCCCCCACACTATGCCACTGGCTGCTGGGATTGGTAGAATGTGTGAAGCCTCTGAGTTTACTGCTCTACATAAGAAATCTTCCAGCCTACTACATACATCTCAATCCTCTGCTTCCAGTGGTTGAGTGGGTTGCAGGATATCATCAATCCTTGTGCTTGTGTACCCTAAGCTCAAAAGAACAGCTGCTGTTGGAGGAAGTAGCAATATACAGTCATCACTTGGTTTCCCCACTCTCTAGCAGTAGTGAGACAAGCAAGCTGACCGCTGCTGCTACGACCCATCTTACCTGTAGAAGGGCTCTTTTTGTAGAGCATGAAGAAGTAGCCAGCAGTTCACCACTGAAAACTCCTCTGGTCAAAGCTAAAGGGTTTGGGGATGGCTGTTTGTTGAATCTAGTGGAGGAGAACATCCTTGAGGAGGTGCTCAATCTCAGGTATAGGTGAGATGATCACATTTAACAGTGACACTGATAGCTCCTCCAAGCAAGACAGGAGCAGCATTTTGGATGGTGGCATGGGCAGGGGCTCGTGGTTCGCCCCTGCAATATCCTCCAGCTTATCCTATGCCAGAAACTCAGACTGAGGATAGAGAATCAGAAGGAGCCTCAATGCAGTGTCAGCAGAGTACCGTGTAGAACATGTGGTTCCCAACCTTTTTTTGGCCATGCCCCACCTAAGCATCTCTAAAATCCTGATGCTCCCCCCCCCGACACATTACTCTTATTATTCTAAAAGTGAACGCATATTCACGTGTTAAAATAGTTAATAACTATTCACTGTTAATAATTCATTCTAAAATTGCCCCCCCTAAAATTCAAATTGCCTCCCTGTCGGGTGTGTGCCCCACGATGGGAACTACGAGTCTAGAAGCACTTTGAGCTCCTGGGTGGGGGGAGGATCCCAGAATGATATGTGTGTGAAATATGGATGAATACAATTCTCTATTATGCTCAAGTCTGTCCTTTTCATTTCCAGGTAAAAATTGGGACCTACAGCTTCCTTATGTTCTTCCCTTTCTGTGGAGGCCTGTTTTTTTATCTCTTCAAGAATTTCCCAGAAACCAAGAATAGGACCTTTGTGGATATTAGAAGAATAGTAGCAGTCCAGAAGCTTAGGAAGTCCAACCTTATGAAACTGACAGAAAAGTAGAAACTTGTGAAGCAACCCATGCAGTTTATTTATTAAATTGTGTTTAATAATGATTCAAGAGAGCCCTTCTTGTTATCCTTTACTTGTCTTAGCCCAGTTGACATACTTATAATAGCAGTTTCCCTCCTGGTTTGAAGGCACAGCCTTTATTTTAATGTTAACCCCCCCCCCCTGCATATTCAGGCTATTCTGTGAACGTAGGTAGATTTCAACAAAGCAGCAGATCTAACTCTCACTAGCTACCACCCTTCCAGGTCTTAGAAGCTGTTTGTGAACATTGTGTAAACAATATTATGGCTGGTCTGAAGCAGATACAGCTCTGGGACAGACTGCAGCTCAATGGCTGCAATTGCAGCTTGGGAATTTGAAAGAGGCTTTGCAAGTCTGATTGGAAACCTGTGAGGAGAGAGGGAGATGCTTAACTCATACTGAAGAAGCCTTAAATCAGAGATGAGGAAACAAGTGACCTTCTAGATATTATTAGACTGAAGGTCCATCATCCCGAGCCAGCAAGGCCAGTGGTCATGTATGATGGGACTTGGGGTCCAAGAGGCTCCCCAATCTTGGCTTAACTCAGGCTGCCCATATATAACAGGGGTGTACATCTACTTTGAATGAAGTCTCAATCTGGAGCTAAAGCAGCCTGCTTTGGGCATATTCAGACTGCTTCTAAAGTGAAGCCGCTCTCTTCCTAAGCATTCTGAAGCTTTCATCCTGCTTCAAAGCTTTCATCCTGCTTCAGAGCTCTGAAGAGCAGTTAGAAGCAATTGTTTCACCTCTGGCAGCAAAATATTTTGAGATGGTCCTGCCTGCTGTCATTGCTGAAAAGCCTGCCCTGTACTCTTGCATTGAAACAGAAACAGTCATTTTGCCACTATGCTATTGTGTAGCACGTGTAGACACAAAGTCAGAAAAGCTAAAGCACAGAATGAACTCAGGCTTGCTAGAGAGGTTAAAAGCAACAAAAAAGGCTTTTATGGGTATGTTCGTAGCAAAAGGAAGAACAAAGAAACAGTGGGGTCACTCAGAGGAGAAGATGGTGAAATGCAAACAGGGGACACAGAAAGGGCTGAACTCCTCAATGCCTTCTTTGCCTCAGTCTTCTCCGATAAAGAAAACAATGCCCGACCTGAAGAATTTGAAGCAAATGATTCAGCAAAGGAAACACAGCCCAGAATAACTAAGGAGATAGTACAAGAATACTTGGCTAGTTTAGATGTCTTCAAGTCTCCAGGGCCAGATGAACTGCATCCAAGAGTATTAAAAGAACTGGCAGATGTGATCTCAGAACCACTGGCAGTCATCTTTGAGAATTCCTGGAGAACAGGCGAAGTCCCGGCAGACTGGAGGAGGGCAAATGTTGTCCCTATTTTCAAAAAGGGAAAAGAGAGGACCCAAATAATTACCGCCCAGTCAGTCTGACATCAATACCAGGGAAGATTCTGGAGCAGATCATTAAGCAAACAGTCTGTGAGCACCTAGAAAGGAATGCTGTGATCACCAATAGTCAGCATGGATTTCTGAAAAATAAGTCATGTCAGACTAACCTGATCTCGTTTTTTGACAGAATTACAAGCCTGGTAGATGAAGGGAACGCAGTGGATGTAGCCTACCTTGATTTCAGCAAGGCAGTTGACAAGGTGCCCCATGATATTCTTGTAAAGAAGCTGGTAAAATGCGGTCTTGACTATGCTACCACTCGGTGGATTTGTAACTGGCTGACTGACCGAACCCAAAGGGTGCTCATCAATAGTTCCTCTTCATCCTGGAGAAGAGTGACTAGTGGGGTGCCACAGGGTTCTGTCTTGGGCCCGGTCTTATTCAACATCTTTATCAACGACTTGGATGATGGACTCAAGGGCATCCTGATCAAATTTGCAGATGACACCAAACTGGGGGGGTGGCTAACACCCCAGAGGACAGGATCACACTTCAAAACGACCTTGACAGATTAGAGAACTGGGCCAAAACAAACAAGATGAATTTGAACAGGGAGAAATGTAAAGTATTGCACTTGGGCACAAAAATGAGAGGCACAAATACAAGATGGGTGACACCTGGCTTGAGAGCAGTACATGTGAAAAGGATCTAGGAGTCTTGGTTGACCACAAACTTGACATGAGCCAACAGTGTGATGCGGCAGCTAAAAAGCCAATGCAATTCTGGGCTGCATCAATAGGAGTATAGCATCTAGATCAAGGGAAGTAATAGTGCCACTGTATTCTGCTCTGGTCAGACCTCACCTGGAGTACTGTGTCCAGTTCTGGGCACCACAGTTCAAGAAGGACACTGACAAACTGGAACGTGTCCAGAGGAGGGCAACCAAAATGGTCAAAGGCCTGGAAACAATGCCTTATGAGGAACGGCTAAGGGAGCTGGGCATGTTTAGCCTGGAGAAGAGGAGGTTAAGGGGTGATATGATAGCCATGTTCAAATATATAAAAGGATGTCACATAGAGGAGGGAGAAAGGTTGTTTTCTGCTGCTCCAGAGAAGCGGACACGGAGCAATGGATCCAAACTACAAGAAAGAAGATTCCACCTAAACATTAGGAAGAACTTCCTGACAGTAAGAGCTGTTTGACAGTGGAATTTGCTGCCAAGGCGTGTGGTGGAGTCTCCTTCTTTGGAGGTCTTTAAGCAGAGGCTTGACAACCATATGTCAGGAGTGCTCTGATGGTGTTTCCTGCTTGGCAGGGGGTTGGACTCGATGGCCCTTGTGGTCTCTTCCAACTCTATGATTCTATGATTCTATTCTTGCTTTCTCACACCAGTAATTAATCCACAACCTTGACAGCAGAAAGTGAGGAGGAATTAAAGAACCTTTTATTGAGGGTGAAAGAGGAGAGCGCAAAATATGGTCTGAAGCTCAACATCAAAAAGACGAAGATCATGGCCACTGGTCCCATCACCTCCTGGCTAATAGAAGGGGAAGAAATGGAGGCAGTGAGAGATTTTACTTTCTTGGGCTCCATGATCACTGCAGACAGCAGCCACAAAATTAAAAGATACCTGCTTCTTGGGAGAAAAGCAATGACAAACCTAGACAGCATCTTAAAAAGTAGAGATATCACCTTGCCAACAAAGGTCCATATAGTAAAAGCTATGGTTTTCCCAGTAGTGATATATGGAAGTGAAAGCTGGACCATAAAGAAGGCTGATCGCCGAAGAATTGATGCTTTTGAATTATGGTGTTGGAGGAGACTCTTGAGAGTCCCATGGACTGCAAGAAGATCAAATTATCCATTCTGAAGGAAATCAGCCCTGAGTGCTCTCTGGAAGGACAGATCGTGAAGCTGAGGCTCCAATACTTTGGCCACCTCATGAGAAGAGAAGACTTCCTGGAAAAGACCCTGATGCTGGGAAAGATGGAGGGCACAAGGAGAAGGGGACGACAGAGGATGAGATGGTTGGACAGTGTTCTCGAAGCTACCAGCATGAGTTTGACCAAACTGCGGAAGGCAGTGGAAGAAAGAAGTGCCTGGCGTGCTCTGATCCATGGGGTTACGAAGAGTCGGACACGACTAAACAACTAAACAACAACAAATGATTGTGAGAGTATGATTCTAAACCAGTCTCCTTTGTACACAATGATTATGCATCATCTTGGTTCTCAACTGTCAACTGTTTCTTCTAGAACCTTCCAACATCCTCCCCCAATTGGCTCCTGCAACACTGCTAAGAGTTCCATTTGGCTTATTCAAAAGAATTTAGGGTGTGGCTCAATTATCCTTCAAGTTGCCGGTAGTAGAAAACGACAGTAAGTTTGAGTGCTTTTTTGCCTGCTCACCCTCAAATATTTCTATCAAATCTCCCCTGCAGAGGTTGGGGTGGCCACCTCCTCATCCTGACCCTTCCAGGGAGGAAGAAGAGGAAGACAGTATAGATTTACAACAGGGGTTTGAGGGAGGTCGCAGCTCAGAGGCAGATGAGGGGGAAAGCTGAGAAATCATAGGAGAGCTGGAGCACCACTCAGTTGACATGTCTTTAGAAAGCAACCCAGACCCTCCATCTCCCAGAACCTGGCGAGCCTTAAAAGTAGGAGAGCAAAAAGCTCAAAGACAGAGGGCACGTAGCAGCACCTTTAGAGGAAATGATGGGAATGACAAATGAGGAAGTGGTAGGGGGGGTGGAGATTCATTCGGGACAGCGCCATTATCCAAGAGGCTGGGTTCTATAGCCTCTCTCTGTGAAGATTGAAATAAAAAAGGACGGTAAGGAATGTTTCCTTGTCTTTATGCTTTCCTGGGCCACCAGCTGGGAGCTGCGGACAGCATCCTGACAGTATAGCTTTATTATCTCTGGGGGAGAGGCTTTGGGTGGAAGCTATTTAAACCTACCCTGCCCACTTTCTGAACACTTTGCATTCTGGAGCATTTATTGGTGTTTCCTGTTTTTGTCCCCCCCCCCCCAGCAGACAGAGGAGTGTGTCTGCCATGGATTCAGCATGGTTTCTATGTTTTCGCCCCTTTCATTTCCCCTTGGTATTTTGGACTTGCCATTTGTTAATTTGGGGTTTTCTATGATATTTAAAATTTCTAGGATGGCATACCCTCCAACATGCTGGGTCCCAAAACTTGGGTGTGCATTTTCCCGGCCATGCTCCTACATGAGTCACGTGACTAGTTTGAGATCTTGGAGCCCCAAAGACATGCTTTTTTCAGGGTCGTACTCTTGCATCACAACATGGCACCCAGAAACTCATGCTTTAGGGCACTGCACGAGATCACGGCCCCATTTTTATTGGGGTGAGATCCCAGAGCCAAAAATGGCTGCCATGCTCTTGCACAAAAAAATGGGATGTGCTGGTGGGACAAGTGTGGAAAGACTAGTGTTGTCCCAGAAGTCATGGAGAAAACATGAAAAGCAGCTGACACACACAGAGAGATGAAGAAGGACCACAGAATGTTTGGAGCCTTTGCATAGCCTCAATAATGAAAAAGACAGCATGGACTATATGGAATTGGCGGAAATGACTGGCAGAATCCGAGACCAGGGAGAAGAGTTGATGGAGGAAGACTGGAAGAAATTCAAAGACTATCTTCAGAAACACTGCAAAATTAAGGAATGTTAGAGTGATGATGGACTGAAAACAAGTGGTTTCCAGCTGCACAGGTTAAAGTTAAGGATAGATTAAGATTAAAGATTAAGATTAAAGAAGTTTAAAGAAATGGAAATTTGATTTTAAAAGGAAACTTTAAATTTATATTATATTAAGAATAAAGGATTAGTTTAAAAAAAGTTTATTTTATATATTTTAACATTTTATTAAATTAAGGATTGGGATTAAAAAGTGGAAAAGAAACTGCTGGACAAATAATGTGGATTGGAATACAAAAGAGGGAGGTATGAGGAAGTCCAGAAAATAAGTAACTTAAAATTGGAAATGGAAAAGAGAGTTTGTTTTTAATTGTTTTGTGTTTATATTGTTAAGTTTTGTATTGTTTTTTGTGTGTGTTGTTTTTCTTTTTTTTTGTTGTTTAAAACTTTAATAAAAAAATTATTAAAAAAAAAAATGAAAAAGACAGCTAGTGGAAAAAACTCAAACTAACAGGTCTAGGATTAAGAGTGCAAAGCACCAGCTACAAGTTGAATCTTGACTTGATGTTTCAGTTCATTCAGCTGCAGCTGAGGCCTCAACCAATAAGGTTGCTCTAGATGCACCTGTTTCTGATGTGATACTGGTGGATACGGCACTGGAGACCCAACAGGACCTCACTGTGGCTGTGAACCCTAGTCCAGGTGAGTACACAACCTAAGCAACTATACAGTAGTTACCTGGTTTCTGCCCAGAAGTGGGGAGCAGTCAGTACAGGTCTTATGCAATACCACAAGGATTCTCCAGGTGATGAGTGGGATATAAGAAACAATAGTGCTCCCTTTAGAGGCTACTTGTAAGTAGGTTTGGAGGAATGCCACAGGTCTGGCTGCCACGTGAACTGAGGTAGAAGACAATTCATCTGACCTTGATCCTTCAGCAGCTATTAAGGAGGGTGTCATCCCATTTGGTGAGATGTTCACTTTTTTGAGAATACATATCCAAGCTAAGAAGAAAATGATGTAGAGAGGAGAATGCATAAAGGTCTTTCTTCACCCAGGCCTTTGGCTAATTAAACAATCTACTGATGTAATCAAGAACACTGGCAATAGCAGCACATGAACTCTCTACAGCTTCGGGCTTTGTTTAAATGTTCAAATAATCAGTGTTCAAGGACCAAAGCAATTCCTTCCCATAATATTTCAACTAACAAAAGATGTGGTGATGGCCACTGGGGTAGTGGCAAATCAGTGTAGGAGACCCCGATAACCACCCTCCTAGGCATGTCCAAAAATGCAGGCTTCTTCATTGTCCTAAATTTCCCTTCCACTGTACCACTGGTGGTGACCCTTAGATAAGAGGACCTTTTGAGAGAGGATGCGGGGATTAAGGAGCTCATGGAGGAGGCCAGGTCTTTCAGTGACTGCTAGCCCTAATGCATAAATGGAACAACTTCAGAGGCTGTAGAGCAGGGACATGTTGCAAGACACAAAATAAAACAAAAACACAGGCAGTCACACTTCCATGCCTTGATTGTAACCTGCTGGTCTGATCCTCTTCTGTACTTATGTTCTGTCAACAGCACTCTCTTATTCTCTAACAGGTCAGCCATTTCCTCCGACTCTCAGAAAGAAACCATGAAGAAAACGCAGGTGGCATCCAAAGCACCCACAACACCCAAAGCATCTGCTGCACCCGCTGCACCCGCTGCACCCGGTTCACCCAGGAAACCCAGTGCACCCAGTAAACCAAGTAAACCAAGTGCACCCAATGAACCCAGTGAACCCAGTGAACCCAGTGAACTCAGTACACCCATTGCACCCATTGCAGCAACTAGTCATGAGGTGAGCTTGAAGAATCTGTAGAATCCACTGAGTTTATAAAAACTGAAAACCCATGTTGTAATGTAATTGTTTCCCAAGGTTCAGACAGGGATGTAAACCAGTTGTACGATATAGCATGCAGTACTTTGGGTGACATTCAGACTTCCGGAGCAATCCAAACCCAAGCAGAGTAGCAGTAGGGCAAGATGAAGCTGCCTAGTTCCTCCATCATTGCTGGCTGGATCAGAAGGCTGGGGGAAGGAAAAAGCCTGCTCTGTATTACCCCACCCTGGAAATAACCTGGCATTTGGGCATAGATCAGGCCAGATGCCATCAAGCAACAACAGTAGGGCCAGCATGGGATTCAGTGGATGCTGAACTATCTCATCCCCTTCTCACCTACACTCAGCAAGGATCCCACCAATTTTGCTTCCACCTGACCACAGTGAATGGAACAGAAAGCTGTGCAGCAGCAGGGCGAGGCTTGCAGAGAGCCATTCTGGGGTGTGGGGGTGGAGGGAGATGTGAGCTCCATCTGTTTCTCCACCATGGAGGACCTTGCAAGGTTGCGTTGTAGCCTTCCTCATGCTTAGAGTAATCCGATGGGTAGACTGCAAGTATAACCAAACCTGGATTCAATTTACTATATTTAAAAGTTTATGACCATCTGCAAATATCAAGGATGGACAGCAGATCATATGCCTCAATGAAACATAATTGGTGCTATATCATTAACACCCCGAATTAGCCAGTTCTTTCCTATAAAGGTCCGGTGGAGTACCATATACACAAAATGTCTTTTTTTGATTGTTTTGTTTAATAAGGACCTTGTCAGGGAAATGCCCTTCCCAGAGAGAGTCCCCTTTCAGGCAGCAAGTGAATATCTCTGTATTCTTCCGGGCTCTTAAATTTATAATAAAACAAGCCTCTCTATTTGAACTACAGTCAATTCCCTATACTGGTTTTAGGGTGCAGTTAAGTTGACTTTATGTTGTTGGGTTTGCTCTGACTTTTGGATGCTTTTACCTTGCATTTGTGCTGTTTACCACTGGTATTAGGTAAGCACTTTTTACCTTAAAAGTAAAGGTAAAGGTACCCCTGACCATTAAGTCCAGTCACAGATGACTCTGGGGTTGTGGTACTCATCTCGCTTTACTGGCCGAGGGAGCCGGCATTTGTCCACAGACAGTTTTTCCGGGTCATGTGACCAGCATGACTAAGCCGCTTCTGGGGAAACCAGAGCAGCGCATGGAAACGCTGTTTACCTTCCTGCCAGAGCGGTGCCTATTTATCTACTTGCACTTGGATGTGCTTTCGAACTGCTAGGTTGGCAGGAGCTGGGACCAAACAACGGGAGTTCACCCAATCACAGGGATTCGAGCCGCCAATCTTCTAATCGGCAAGCCCTAGGCTCTGAGGTTTAGACCACAGCACCATGCGTGTCCCTTACCATATATATACCACTGGTATATTCCTTTGTTTTTAACTTGGTTGTATTATGGATTTTAATATGGTGGTCAGCTGTTCAAAGGCCCGAGTTAATGGCTGGTATGCTGATAATAAGAACCTGCTGGATCAGGCCAGTGGCCTACCTGGGCCAGCTTCCCGTTCTCACTGAACCAACCAGATTCCAATGAGAAGCCCCCAAGCAAGACCTAAGCACAACACTCTCCCCTCCTATGGTTTCCAGAAACTGGTATTCTCTGACTCCAAAAGTGTAGAGCCATTGTGGCGTGATGTTGGGGAAGCAGCCTAGGAGAGGAGGGTTCAAATCCACATTCTGCCTTGACCTAGGGCCAGCCACCATCTCTTAGGCCAACCTACCTCACAGGGTTGTCGTGAGGATTTAATGAAGAGGAGAACTATGCAGCACCACTTTAAGATCCTTGGGAGATAAAGGTGGTCTATAAATGTACTAAACACAAATAAATAAATAAAATAAAATAGTAGATAATAACCATCATGACTAGCAGGAGATGGTGTGGCAATGATGATTATATTCAGCTGGAGTAGCCAAAGTATGCAAATGTTGCCAATATAAAATAATGTCTTAATGTTTCACTCTATCTTTCAGTCTACAAACGTTTTAGTGATAACTGTAGTTAATCAAGAGTTATTTAATATAAGTATTCTGCCCTGTACATTCTCATTATGTTTCTTCTTCTTCTTCTTCTTCTTCTTCTTCTTCTTCTTCTTCTTCTTCTTCTTCTTCTTCTTCTTCTTCTTCTTCCTGCAGGATGTCCCAATGAGGCTTATTTGGATTTCAATGGCTGCCTGCTTAATTACTGTACAATATGGATACAACATGTGGTTACTCTACACCCCTTTTGTGGTAAGATAGCCCTGCGTAGCACGTGGTTTCTTAAAGCAGGGGTTATTGTAGGCCTGGGAAACCTTTTCTCTGTTGAGCACCACATTCCTTCTGGGATAAATTGATGGGGATGATAGGCTGGCACTGGTGTAGCCAGATCCCAAACTAGGTAGGACACTGCTGCAAATCTCTCTCTCTCTCTCTCTCTCTCTCTCTCTCTCTCTCTCTCTCACACACACACACACACACAGAGAGAGAGAGAGAGAGAGACTCGTAGCAATTTCCTTCTTAAGTTTATCAAAAAGAAAGGAGAGAGGATATAGTCAATTTCCTAATGCATCCTGCTTTAGAAGCCAGTATATGACAAGTTACTGCTGAGTAAACAAATGTAGAGTGCTCCTTGCTCTTTTGAGTCTAGATATTTTAAAAGTGTGGACAAAACTTTTGTGACATACAATATGGTGTGGCAGGTAAGTCCCACCCCACATAATTAATCACAAGATGCAGTGCACACACACTGTTTGAATGGCAATGCCTATTAACTTGGGGAGGGGGTTCTGACCCCCTTAAATAGTCTATGGGAGGAGGGAAAGGGACCTCAGCCCCGAGGAGTTGGCCCCTATGCCTCCTAGCTCTCAATGTGAGTGGGAGAGACATGCACACACTTTCTCTGGGCATCCCAGAATTGCCTGCAGATCCTTGGCCATCATTCAGTTGGTCCCAGGCTCTCACGTTCTGTTGCCACATGATCTCATGCCACATGAGCAGTCCTAATCTCAAGCATTTATTGTGCTTCTCCCTTAGCTCCTGCATGACTTGTTCAACATAACAACCTATGAAGAGATGGAAGATCCAGGTTCTCAGATGTACATTGTGGCTATCACCCTTGCTTTATTTCCACTTGGAGCCATTTTTGGGTCCATTCCTGTTGGTTATCTGGCCAATAGATTTGGCAGGTATTGGGATAAATTTGTAACTGGTGAATGACATGCCCTAGGATGGTGGGGAAGGGGAACAGATAGGTGCTACTGATCTGCATGCCCCCAGTAACAGCTAATCAAATATGCAATATCATCACTTTAGCTGGATGGGATGTTAGGAAAGGACAAAGACACATCAAGAAGGGGTGTGTGGCAGGGAGAGACACAGTGAGATCCATTTAGGTCCATGGAATCATACCTGAAAACCTTTGTCAGCTGATAAAGCTTTGTTTGAAAGTAGTCAGAACATGCCTACCAATTGCAAGATAATCCCACCAATGCGGTTTTGATCAATTTGGTTCTTAAGACATCATCTAACATACACCAGCAGATTTTCTAATATACAGCTGTGGAAGAAGCCAGAAGTTAGTGGTAGAACACATGTTTACATCCAGAAGATCCTATCTTCTGTCATCAGCACCCCTCGATTAAGAGATCTTATATAGTATGGCAGCAGGTTGCTAGCTCTGGTAGAAATGTGTGAGCAATGCCTCCTGAAATTTATTAAGGTAAAGAAAGCGTGTGAGTAATTTCACAGTGCTTGGGAGTAGAGGTTTCAAGGCCTTCTGTAGGTCTTTGTTTCCGCACATTACTAGCAAACCCAAGCTCCAACTACTGCACAATCACACAATTGCGCTCATTTCACATGCTAGCAAGGTTATGCTTAAAATTCTACAAGGCAGGCTTAAGCAGTATGTGGACCGAGAACTCCCAGAAGTGCAAGCTGGATTTCACAGGGGTAGAGGAACCAGAGACCAAACTGCAAACATGCGCTGGATTATGGAGATAGATAGAGAGTTCCAGAAAGACATCTACTTCTACTTCATTGACTATGCAAAAGCCTTTGACTGTGTCGACCACAGCAAACTATGGCAAGTTCTTAAAGAAATGGGAGTGCCTGATCACCTCATCTGTCTCCTGAGAAATCTCTGTGTGGGACAAGAAGCTACAGTTAGAACGGGATATGAAAAAACTGATTGGCTTAAAATTGGGAAAGGAGTAAGACAAGGCTGTATATTGTCTCCCTGTTTATTTAACTTATATGCAGAATTCATCATGTGGAAGGCTGGGCTGGATGAATCCCAATTAAGATTGTTGGAAGAAATATCAACAACCTCAGATATGCAGATGACACAACTTCGATGGCAGAAAGTGAGGAGGAATTAAAGAACCTCCTAATGAGGTTGAAAGAGTAAAGCACAAAATATGGTCTGAAGCTCAACATTAAAAAAACTAAGATAATTTGGTCCCATCAACTTCTGGCAAATAGAAGGGGAAGAAATGGAGACAGTGAGAGATTTTACTTTCTTGGGCTCTGATGACTGCAGATGGTGACAGCAGTCACAAAATTAAAAGACACCTGCTTTTGGGGAGAAAAGCAATGATAAACCTAGACAGCATCTTAAAAGGCAGAGACATCACCTTGCCAACCAAGGTCCGTATAATTAAAGCCATGGTTTTCCCAGTAGTGATGTATGGAAGTGAGAGCTGGACCATAAAGAAGGCTGATCGCCGAAGAATTGATGCTTTTAAATTATGGTGTTGGGGGAGACTCTTGAGAGTCCCATGGACTGCAAGAAGATCAAACCTATCCATTCTGAAGGAAATCAGCCCTGAGGGCTCACTGGAAGGACAGATCCTGAAGCTGAGGCTCCAATACTTTGGCCACCTCATGAGAAGAGAAGACTCCTTGGAAAAGACCCTGATGTTGGGAAAGATGGAGGGCACAAGGAGAAGGGGACGACAGAGGATGAGATGGCTGGACAGTGTTCTCGAAGCGGGAGGCAGTGGAAGACAGGAGTGCCTGGCGTGCTTTGGTCCATGGGGTCACAAAGAGTGGGACATGACTAAACAACACTAGCAAACCCAGAACAAATTATCTATAAAAGGATTAGGAGATTCCTATATTTCTATACCTCCTCTCCCCCCTTTGCTGCTTTGATGGTATCATATACTGACATCTTCCCACCTCACTGACCCCTTTCACTGTCTTTTCAGGAAAGGTGCTGTGAAGATAACAACCTTTTTGAGTCTGATCCCTCCTGTCCTATTGGCTGTTGGTAATAAAGTAAATGTCTATGAATTCACAATTGCTGTACGTTTCTACACTGGGATATGCACAGGTGAGTCAAGGCCCCAGGTTTAGTAGTTTGGCATAGAATTCATCTTTTTACTCTGTGCTGAGCAGAGACACTAAGCAATAGTTTGTTTTCACAACAGAGGGAGGGTGGGCTGCCAAAGAACCAAGTAAAGCAGTATCAGTGTGCCTCATTTCCACACACATCTCCCTAATTGACTTTGGAAACCAGTGTTGTGGCTCAGAGAGGTCACCAAGATGGAGTAACTGGAAGAGGTGGCATTGAAACTCTATAGGACTGTGAGTTGGTAAATGGATTTTTGTGAAATATGAAAAGAGGAATCGCTGCGCAGAATTATTATTATTTAAATATAAAGTATGTTTTATCCCAAGGCCTTGGGTTAATTAGCATACTAATTATTGTACCAAAGAACATACCACCATGGGTGTTGTTTGACCATAGTTCCAATCTGTCCCAGCCAATAGCTATTCCATGACTAATAGTTAGAGATTACATGAATTGTAGTCCACTACCATCAGATCCTGAAGCTGAGACTCCAATACTTTGGCCTCCTCATGAGCAGAGAAGACTCCCTGGAAAAGACCCTGATGTTGGGAAAGATGGAGGGCACAAGGAGAAGGGGACGACAGAGGACGAGATGGCTGGATAGTGTTCTTGAGTTTGACCAAACTGCGGGAGGCAGTGGAAGACAGGAGTGCCTGGCGTGCTCTGGTCCATGGGGTCACGAAGAGTCGGACACAATTAAACGACTAAACAACAACAAACCATCAGTTTGGCTAGTATTACCAACAGTATTACCGTAGGTTGAATTAAATGATTTAATGTCATTTCTCATAGATATACGGGCTCTGGGGAGGTTCCAACAAAAGAACATTCGCAAGTTGAGAGGCAGCTACTGAGAACACGTGTCCGTACTCCCTTATGGGGGCTGGTTTGGTTCAGAGCTACAACTGGGTGGTGTTACCATATCTATGGTGTTGATGTCATGCCTCCATATAGTTCCACTCAGCGGTTGGTGACATTTTGCAGAATTCTACAAAAGAACACATTGGAGAAATGAGATATTACTTGCACATCCTACTGGAGCCTCAGGAATGTTCATACATTTTTGTACATGTCGCATGCTCAATGTGATTTATCTGTTTATTTATCAACTAAATAGGACTAATCTCCGTTGTTGTTCCTCTGTATCTTGGAGAGATCGCCCCTGGAAGCGTGAGGGGAGCTATCATCATGATGTCCCAGCTATTTTATTCTTTGGGCCTCTTTATAGGTCAGCTAATTGTTGCTAAAGACAACTTTAAAATGCGAGGAGGTAATTAAGATAAATTAATCCTTTTGCTTATACGAGATCAGACGCATGGCCACAGTTTCTCCACGTTGTCGTCACTCTATCTTCTTGCACAGGTTACGTGATTGTGATGGGCATTTCTGGGGTCATGCCAATTTTTCAGATCATACTACTACCCTTCTTTCCTGAAAGTCCGAGGTATCTGCTCATTCAGAGGAAGAATGCAGAGAGTGCAAGGGAAGGTACGATACTCTGAACTGTATTGAGATTATGCACAATGATTGCTGACTCCTCCCCACTACTGCCTATTGGGTTGCCCCACTCTCCAAGTTTTAATTTCATTTTTATGTGACTTCCATTTTCTGGAAAAAAAAGTCCTTTTTTGCTTTGAATAGCTTCCTTAACTCCGTTCATGCACCACAGTGGCATCCCCTTGGCCCTGTTAGATATTATTACCAATCAGAGTTGTATATTCTAGCTGAACATTTATGCTGACCATTTTAAATAACTTCCGGATATTCTAAATTGATTTGACCCTCTGGACTTCCCCTTTCCCGCTTCCTTCTTAACAATACCCTCATTCTTCTGAGACTCTTATTCTACTGAATTCAAATCCTTTCTGCCTCTGTTCCCACACAGTACTGAAGGTGCTGAGAGGCAAGGATGATGTGGAGAATGAAATAGACGAACTCCGTCAGGAGGACCTCTTTGAGAAAGCAGAAAAGAACATGACTGCTGCTAAACTGCTATCATCCCCAAACCTGAGAACGCAGGTCATCACCATAGTTGTCTTGACAGGTGGTGCACAGCTTGACGGCATTGGTGCAGTAAGTAAGGCAATGCCCCCCTTTAAAAAAAAGCTTGGAGGTGGAGCCAGATAATTGAGGGCTCATTGGGTTTAAAGGCTGCGGCATCTTATCACTGCTTGTCTTTAGACACAGCCAAAGTATATCTATTCAGGGAGCTACTCTGCGGGTTTTGTTGGGAGTTCAGTGCCCATCAGTCATAGCTAGGAGCTGCTGTCCAATAGTACCTGGAGAACCACAAGTTCTCCATCCATGCACAAGTTATAGTCAGACACTACGGGAAATATGGCATTGTCTGGGAGTAAATGTTTGACAGCTACAGAACACTAAGATCAGTTGGGCTTAATTTGAATCATGCAGTGGAAAAGATTGATACTGAGCTTGGACTTGCCAATCAGAAGGTTGGCGGTTCGAATCCACACAACGGGGGTGAGCTCCCATTGCTCGGTCCCAGCTCCTGTAAACCAAGCAGTTCCAGAGCATGCCCCAAAGTGCAAGTAGATTAATAGGTACCAATCCGGCGGGAAGGGAAACAGCATTTCCGTGCTCTGCTCTGGTGTTGGTGTTTCCATTGCGCCAGTAGCGGCTTAATGATGCTGACCACATGACCCAGAAAAACTGTCTGCGGACAAACATCGGCTCCCTCAGCCTGTAAAGCGAGATGAGCGCCGGAACCCTAGAGTCGTCTGCGCCTCGACTTAACTGTCAGAAGTCCTTTACCTTTTTCTGAAATGTTGAATGCACTACATTATTTGTGTGCCAAGACCCCATGACCTTGCAGTTCCTTAAGGGTGGTTAATCAGACAAGACAACAGCTTATGGTTTTATGGGATCAAATAGGCCACAACTTTTATCGGTTACAGATGTGAGTGGTTTGGCATAGGCATTGGGTGAAGCCAAACTGTATCAGATTATATCACGCCAGCCTGCCTGCTGGGAGTGCACCTAAGGAGAAACCACCTATGACCTACATCAAATAGGGGTACCCCCCAGGTTCCCCATTTGAGAAGTGGTATGACCCTATTCCCTGTCTGGGCTTCAAACAGTAGCCACTCCCCCTGGATCCCTTTAACAGGATGCCTTTAACCAATGAAGGGCAGGCAGAGGCTACAACTTCCACTCCAGCCAAGACCTAGGTTTACCCAAAGGTCTCCTTAGCATTTACAGTTGGGGCTGAGAAACGGTTAAACCCTTAAAGGTATCTACCATTCAGTGTAAGCAGTTGCTGTTGTTGTTTAGTCGTTTAGTCGTGTCCGACTCTTCGTGATCCCATGGACCAGAGAACGCCAGGCACTCCTGTCTTTCACTGCCTCCCAAACTCATGTTGGTAGCTTCGAGAACACTGTCCAACCATCTCATCCTCTGTTGTCCCCTTCTCCCTGTGTCCTCAATCTTTCCCAACATTGGGTCTTTTCCAGGGAGTCTTCTTTTCTCATGAGGTGGCCAAAGTATTGGAGCCTCAGCTTCAGGATCTGTCCTTCCAGTGAGCACTCAGGGCTGATTTCCTTCAGAATGGATAGGTTTGATCTTCTTGCAGTCCATGGGACTCTCAAGAGTCTCTTCCAGCACCATAATTCAAAAGCATTGATTCTTCGGCGACCAGCCTTCTTTATGGTCCAGCTCTGTGCTAAATAGACCAAGAGATGTATATGACAATTTTCTATGATTGGGAATCATGCAAATTCTATTTATTTATTTATTAAATTTCTTTACAGCTTTATATTTTTAATAAAAACCTCAAAGCGGTGTACAGCATATTAAATCAATAAAACAATAGCCGGACGATGTTCTTCAGACCTCATGAGGAGCCTCTTTTATAGGGCTGGGTGAGTGTGGGCCTTGTCACCTAGGCCAAGTGGAAAGGGCCTTGCAGGGAATGGCCTCCACACCTCACAGTCGGGCGATGTTCCTCCAGCCTCATGAGGAGCCTCTTCAGTGGAGCTGGTGAGTGTGGGCCTCGCCCCTAGGCCAGGTGGAAAGGGCCTTGCAGGGAGTGGCCCCCACACCTCACAGTCAGGCGATGTTCCTCCGGCCTCATAAGGAGCCTCTTTTATAGGGCTGGCCATCAAACCTCTGCTTAAAAACCTCCAAGGATTCATTCCATTGTCAAACAGCTCTTACTCAGTTACTGGTGCCCACCCTGTGGAACGCTCTCCCATTAGATGTCAAGGAAATAAACAACTATCTGACTTGTAGAAGACATCCGATGGCACTCCTGTTTAGGAGGATGTTTGATGTTTTATTCTGTTTTTAATCTGTTGGGAGCCGCCCAGAGTGGCTGGGGAAACCCAGCCGGATGAGCAGGATATAAATAATAAATTGTTGTTGCTGTTATTGTTGTCAGAAAGTTCTTCCTGATATTTACAGTAGTTGGAATCTCCTTTCTTCTAACTAGAAGCCACTGATTCGAGTCCTACCCCCCAGAGAAGGAGAAAAGAAGCTTGTTGCATGTGACAGCCTTGGAGATATTTGAAGATAGCTATCATATCTTCTCTCAGTCTAATCTTATTCTGGCTAAACATATCCAACCCCTTCAACCATTCACAATAAGGCTTGGTTTCCACACCCTTGATCATCTTGGTCGCCCTCCCCTGCACACGTTCCAGCTTGTAATATCCTTATTAAATTGTGATTCCCAAAACTTGACACATTACTCCAGAGACTCAGCTAGATTGGTAAAGAAATATCATTTTGTATGCATTGTATATGCATTATAACACAGTGAGCCTAGATGGCACTGTGGAGTTCCGTTTTTGCCAACATGATTTCTCATATAATGTTCACCACGTGTTTTCCTGAAACACTTCTTTGATGTGTCTGGATCCAACCGAAGTGTGGTCTGACCAAGATTAGACTACTGATTATTCTTTTCTGATTTCAGGTGCACTATTATGTAGATATAATCTGCATGGCTGCAGGGGCAGATGAGAAGATGTTGCAGTGGCTTCGTATGGTCACAATTATTATTGGCTTAATTTCACTCATGATCGCGGTAAGCCTTTTCCACTTCTATGTCTCTTTCCTTCTGAATCTTGAAACTCGCTGTTCTTCAAAAGAAAGAAATTTAAGTGTCACAGTCTCCCCACCCCCACAACACAGCCCCATGAAAAATAAACATTTTTTTAATGATAGCATTATGAGTGTTCTCTGACCATTCTTTGTAAGAGAACCATAGTTATTTACACACAGTACCTGTATTCTAGTTTGTATTGGAAGTCATCTAAAGGGGTAGAAAAATCAGCTTGAACATTTGTTTGATTGTTTGTTTGTTTTTGCATCAAAAATAATTATAAGATAAAAAGTATCCAGACAATTGAATTTCAAATCTAGACTAACTGTAAGGAGAAGCCCCTACTGCAGAAGAACCACAGTTGTCAAAATTCCCTTTAAAAAGTCCAGTTAAATTTAAATTGTCTGTGGTAAAGAAATACCCTATAAGCTGCAATTCTACACAACAGGGGAAACCAATCTGTTGTTCTTCAGATACTGCAACTTTTGAACAACTGAACCTTATTACTTTACTTATTTATTACTGACTTACTGAACTTTCTCTACACCTTTTCCTCATCCAGCTGGCTGGAGCTGATGGGAGTCCTTAAGATTTAGGGAGTACCATGTTGGCTAAATGTGCAAACTCAAAGGCACACCATGCTTCAACAGCTGTTGTTTATATGTGGATTCCTCCATAATGAAGGGTATCTTCATTCAGATATGACCGAGAACTATCATTCCTTTAGGGACACATATTTTTAGCAGAATGCTGATATCATCAGTCAACATCACACATGGCAGTAGCACAGTTTGAAATCATTTACTACCACTACAAAATATAAACAACATTATACAGCATTACTTTAGCAGGAAAACACAGCTATCCTGTGTTAGATGGCTACAGAAAACTTTTTTTTTATTATTTCAGAAGGTCTACTTGCTTTGAAAATTTTGCTGACTTTATCTGTGCTCTATTGATCATTATTTTATACAGTCATACCTTGGGTTACAGACACTTCAGGTTGCATTTTTTCGGGTTGTGGACTGCCAAAACCCAGAAGTACCTTAACGGGTTTTGGCGGCCGCGCATGTGCAGAAGTGCTGAATTGCAACCCGCTCGTGCACAGATGCGCCGCTGTGGGTTACGGACACTGCGTGTTGTGAACGTGCAATCCAAGCATCCAAATAATGTAAATTAAATTAAATTAAATATTAAATTAAATATTAAATTAAATATTAAATTAAATACTTCAGTGATTTCACTTGTGCACTTTATGAGAATTGCTCATAAAAACATTTCCCAAGGCAGGATTGTCCTGAGAAGTGTAGGCATAAAATACAACTGGTCCTTTTATGTACTTAGGGTTTTCCTCTGTTTCTTTTGTCTACCATAGTTTCACCCCTCACTCCTAGTTTTGTGGTCGCCACACCGCATAACACCACTGTCTTTTAAAATTTTATTAGCATTTTTATCCCACCCTTCTTCCAAGGAGCATGGGGCATTCTCATTTTATACTCCAAAGAATTGAGTCTAACACTACTTACTACACACCTCATTTGCTCTCATAATGGTCTCTCTCACATTTCATATGAACATTGAAAGAGTCTTGTCGGAGACTCTAGATGAGCCAAAGGCCCATCTAGTCCAGAATCCTGTTCTCACAGGGTGTGATGTTGAAAAATATCCCCCAAATGCATAATTTGGTTATACTGCATTAGCTTGCTTACGCTGACACTATCAATGAACTCTTAAAAGGTTAGTCAGGACTTGCCTTTGGAGAAGCCACACTGATATGTTCATCCATATGCTTCCTAATATTAGCTTTAATAATGCTTTCTACCAGTTTTACAGGAACCAATATAAGCTAACTTGCGTTGCATTGTACTTTCCTGTATCTCCTTTCCTCCTCTTTATATTCTCTAGATGTATCTCGCTGATTCTAAGGGACATAGGTATCTGCTTCTGACTGGCTTTTTGATGTGCAGCATCGTCTGTGTTCTGTTAACCATGGCCCTGGAAATGCAGGTTTGTAATTGAGAGTTGAGAATCACCAAATGGGCTGTCATTTAGCCCCGTTCTCGCTCCCCCTATAATCCATGCTATGTAACAGCAACAAAGTTAATGTGGAAGTTGGATGTATATGCTGATGGGTACATCTGTGGAAGGAGACTTGAGCAAAAAGCTCTTTCTGTTTATACAATTCATTTGGATTTTGTGCAAAGGCTTGAAGGGAATGGCTGAGAATGGACATAGTCTCCCATCTGTGAAAGTCATATGGATGTTGCAAGAGAACTCAGAGAGACGGAGATCTTGGTGTTCTGCCTCACCTTCTGTATTCAATTGGCCAGCAATTCTAGCCAAAGTGGTTGCCGTCCCATTGATGTTAGAGTCCAACTCCCATCAGCCCCAACTAACATGGAAAGTTGTGAGGGATGATGCGAACTGTAGTCTAGCAACATTGACAACCCCGGCACTAGATAAGGGGCACCTGTCAATATCACATGTACAAAACTGAAATGCAACCTACTTTCACTAACAGGTCACCATCGACGAGATGGCGTATGTCAACATACTTTTAGTCCAAGTATTTGTCATAGCACACTCGGTTGGGCCAGGTAATTGCTCACATTATGTTCTGATCTCCTTAAATGATCTGCAAGACATTAATTGGATAGAGGAATATTTGAGTTCTATGGTGAAACGGTGATCCATGTCATGAACCCTTTCTTTCCACCAAGGTCCACTTCCAAATGTAATTGTGGTGGCACTGTTCCTTCAGTCGTCACGGGCCTCAGCCTTTGTGATTGCGGGATTTGTGCAGTGGTTCACACACTTTCTTATGATGATGGTGTTCCTTCAAATTGTGGTGAGTGATATTGATAGTCAGCTTGATGCAGGGTGCAAAGTTTGCATCAGTGAGCTACATCCATCTCTGTTCCTCACCCTTATCCACCCACCCAGCCCTCGGGTAAAACCCAAGATATGAAGCCATAACCTCAGATGGATGGATTTGTCAGCATTCTTGTCTTGTGCTTTGTTCAATGTGAATGTTAAGGCATCTTGAAGATGTGCATATTTCCTAATAAGGTTCAAACAATCTGAACAATATTCAAATGCCCAGTTGGCCATGAAAACCATTGCTTAGCCTTGAGCAAATTGCTCTTGCTTCCAGGGAAGGAGCCATAGTTTTGTGTGCAGAAAGTCCCAGACCTGATCTCTGGAATCTCCTGGAAAAAAACCTCTGTCTAAGGACTTGCTGCCAGGCAGTGTACTGAACTGGTTGGACAAATTGTCTGACTCTGACTGCAGTTTCATGTGTTCATCCTTCCCTCCTTGGTGGGTGCACCAAAACCGCACTTCCCTGCTCCTTCTTGGTCAGCCTAGGGGTGGGGCATGTGGAGACATCCCTTCACCAGCCATGAGGAGAAGGAGGCGCTGCTGCTGTCCCTCCAGAAACCCCAGCCTGAGTGCGGCTTGCCTCCCCGCAGCTGCAGCCTCAATGAGGGAGCCTGTTGTGGCAGCGCCTGGTTGCTGGTTTATGGCCCAGGCCCATAAACCCGTGCCCCCCACACTATGCCACCAGCTGCTGTGATTGGTAGAATGTGTGAAGCCTTTGAGTTTATTACTCTGCATAAGAAAGCTTCCAGGTTACTGCACACATCTCGATCTTCTACTTCCAGTGGTTGAATGGGTTTAAGGATATTCACTTCTTATATCATCAAACCTTGTGCTCATGTACCCTAAGCTCAAAATAATAACAATAGTAACAACAACAACAACAACAACAACAATAATAAATGTATACCCCACCCATCTGGCTGGGTTTCCACAGCCACTCTGGGTGGCTTCCAACAAAATATTTAATATCCTTCAGATATTAAAAGCTTCCCTAAACAGGGCTGCCTTTAGATGTCTCCTAAAAGTCTGGTAGTTGTTTTTTCCTTTGACATCTGGTGGGAGGGTGTTCCACAGGGCGGGTGCCACTACCAAGAAGGCTCTCTGCCTGGTTCCCTGTAACTTCACCCATCGCAGTGAGGGACCCGCCAGATGGACCTCGGTGCCAGACCTCAGTGTCCAGGCAGAACGATGGAGGTGGAGACGTTCCTTCAGGAATACTGGACTGAGGCCATTTAGGGCTTTAAAGGTCAGCACCAACACTTTGAATTGTGCTCAGAAACATACTGGGAGCCAATGTAGGTCTTTCAAGACTGGTGTTATGTGGTCTTGGTGGCTGCTCCCAGTCACCGGTATAGCTGCCGTATTCTGGATTAGTGGTAGTTTCTTGGTCACCTTCAAAGGTAGCCCTACGTAAGCGCATTGCAGTAATCCAAGCGGAAGATAACCAGAGCATGCACCACTCTGGCGAGACAGTCTGCGGGCAGATAGAGGCTCAGCCTGGGTACCAGATGGAGCTGGTAAACAGCTGCCCTGGACACAGAATTGATCTGCACCTCCACGGACAACTGCGAGTCCAAAATGACTCCCAAGCTGCTCATCTGGTCCTTCAGGGGCACAGTTACCCCATTCAGGACCAGGGAGTTCTCCACACCTGCCCTCCTCTTGTCCCCCCAAAACAGTACTTCTGTCTTGTCAGGATTCAACCTCAATCTGTTAGAACAGCTGCCGTTGGAGGAAGTAGCAATATACAGACATCACTTGGTTTCCCACTCTGTGAGTAGTCCAGCTCTAGCAGTAGTGAGACAAGCAAGCTGACCGCTGCTGCTACGACCCATCTTACCTGTAGAAGGGCTCTTTTTGTAGAGCATGAAGAAGTAGCCAGCAGTTCACCACTGAAAACTCCTCTGGTCAAAGCTAAATGGTTTGGGGATGGCTGTTTGTTAAATGTAGTGGAGAAGAACATCCCCGAGGAGGTGCTCAATCTCAGGTATAGCTGAGATGATCACATTTAACAGTGACCCTGATAGCTCTTCCAAGCAAAACAGGAGCAGCATTTTGGATGGTGGCATGGGCAGGGGCTCGTGGTTCTCACTGCAATATCCTCCAGCTTATCCTATGCCAGAAACTCAGACTGAGGATAGAGAATCAGAAGGAACATGGTCTAGAACATGTGGTTCCCAACTTTTTTATTTTTACCATGCCCCACCCAAGTAAAATCCTGATGCTCCCCTGCCCCTGTGATATATAATTCTTATTATTCAAAAAGCGAATTCCTATTCATATGTTAAAATAGTTAATAACTATTCACTGTTAATAACTCATTCTTGAATTGCCCCCCTTAAAAATAAAATTGCCACCCTGTGGGGCATTGTGCCCCACGTTTGGAACCACGAGTCTAGAAGCACTGTGAGCTCCGGGGGGTGGGGGTAGGGAGAATCCCAGAATGATATGTGTGCGAAATATGGATGAATACAATTCTGTATTATGCTATTATGCTCAAGTCTGTCCTTTTCATCTCTAGACAAAAATCGGGACCTACAGCTTCCTTATGTTCTTGCCTTTCTGTGGAGGCCTGTTTATTTATATCTTCAAGAATTTCCCAGAAACCAAGAATAGGACCTTTGTGGATATTAGAAGAATCGTAGCAGTCCAGAAGCTTAGGAAGACCAAACTTAAGAAACCGACAGAAAAGTAGAAACTTGGGAAGCAACCAATGCAGTTTATTTATTAAATTCTTTTTTAAATAATAACAATAATAATTCAAGAGAGCCCTTCTTGTTATCCTTCACTTGTCTTAGCCCAGTTGACGTACTTATAATAGCAGTTTCCCTCCTGGTTTGATGACACAGCCTTTATTTTATATTTTTATTCCCCCCCCCTCCCCATATTCAGGCTATTCTGTGAACATAGGTAGATTTCATCAAAGCAGCAGATCTAACTCTCACTAACTACCACCCTTCAAGGTCTTAGAAGCTGTTTGTGAACATTGTGTAAACAATTTTATGGCTGGTCTGAAGCACATACAGCTCTGGGACAGACTGCAGCACAATGGCTGCAATTGCAGCTTGGGAATTTGAAAGAAGCTTTGCAAGTCTGATTGGAAACCTGTGAGGAGAGAGGGGGTGATGCTTATCTCATACTGAAGAAGCCTTAAATCAGAGATGAGGAAACAAGTGACCTTCTAGATATTATTAGACTCAAGATCCATCATCCCGAGCCAGCAAGGTCAATGGTCGTGTTTCATGGGAGTTGGGGTCCAACAAGGCTTAACTTCCCACATATACTAGGTGTGTACATCCACTTTGAATGAAGTCTCAATCTGGAGCTAAAGCAGCCTGCTTTGGGCATATTCAGACTGCTTCTAAAGCGAAGCCGCTCTCTTCCTAAGCATTCTGAAGCAAATCAGCCTGATTTCAAAGCTTTCATCCTGCTTCAGAGCTCTGAAGAGCAGTTAGAAGCAATTGTTTCACCTCTGGCAGCAAAATATTTTGAGACAGTCCTGCCTGCTGTCATTGCTGAAAAGCCTGCCCTTTACTCTTGCATTGAAACAGAAACCGCTGTTTCTTCTTCAGAGATGGAGGGTTCCCATTCCATTCCGGAGAAGAAATTAAGCACTAGAAAATGTAACATTTCAGAAGAACCCTTGATCAGGCAGAAAACCTCTCCCCATATTTGCAAGAACTGTGCCTCTTTCCAAGAATTTTTGCCAGGAGGAACGCACTAATGAGTGTCAGGTGCTGTTCTGAATGCTGGGAATGATTTGTTGGAAATCACATTAAATACCAACATCCGTCTGCAGATGAGATCTGCGATGTTCTCGTTCCAATCCTGAGCAGATGGAGAAATGTAAACACTTGCCACTTTCCCATAGATTTGCACATTTGCATCTGAAATGTCTACCTGTATCTCCTACCTTGTCCTTGCATTCAGGTGACGTTGTAGTGAGAAGAGTGAGAGGCTATCTGGCAAAGAATATCAAGCTGATTCAGGAGGCAGAAATATCTCAAAAAGCTGATATTTATCTTCCTGCAGGTTGCAACCTGTTTCAAAATCACACATAGCATCTTTCTCTCTTTGATTCTGGTTTTCAAAAATCTATTTCACCCATTCCCCCACTCCCCCAAATGGAGAACTTAAAACCTATTAATGTTCAATTGATTCCGAAAGGGCTGTTTTGATGACACTTGCGGTACAAACAGCAGTGTTACATATTCAGGTCTGACTTCTCCACATTATTTTGGGCTCCTGTAATACCTAGGTATATATGTATTTTCTTTTTCTAGCTTGATCAGAATTATTTATTATTTCATAACAGGTAGATAGTTAAGAGCTTAGGCAGCTTCAACGGCGGGCACCTGGCACCCCCAAGAATTGGGCACCTGGGTGCCCCACACACCTTTCACCCCGGGTAAAGACAGCTTTGTTTATAGTCAGCATGACCTTAACTGGAAGGGATAAGAGAACTCCTTCAAACTCGCTTCCCAGAAGGTATAACCCAAACAATCATGACCCTTCTGCCTACTTCTCTCACACAGAGAAGCTGCTAGTAGCTTCTAGAATCCTCATGTATTAATCAGAATCAGAAAGATCTCCACACACCAGATCAATACTTTCTGCACTATGAAATGAAAACTGACAATTTTAGGGTAAGAACATTACACTGTACTAGGACTTGGGTGTCCCAGGTTCTGTTGACTCTGTAACTTGGAAATCCTGGGCAGGATACCAGAAGAGCCAGTGCAATTCCAAGCACAGCATGTTGGATGGACACTGGGAGACTGAGGTTTAAATGCCGTTTCACTAAGTGGCTTCTGACCATAGCTGGAAGTAAAAGCAGATAGAGTTGGGGGACACATAGGATCTCTGCTTCCAGATCCAACATTTCTGGGGGTATAAATGTCGAAGAACCTCCAAACCATTCTTATTTTCAGTTATGGGGAGTTAGCCCCCCTACAGATTCATTCTGGATTTAACTCTGTGGTAGTCTGAATTGCAGGGCAGCAGTTGAAGAAGGAGCAAAAAGGGTTTTCTTGTGTGTGTGTGTTTCTTTGTGGCTGATTAGCTGTTCTCCCTGAGTTAAGGTCAGAGGGGGCAGGGTTTCTGTTGAGGCAGGTGATTAGCTGTGGGAGGAGCTTATCAGAGCTTGCAGGGCAGCAGTTGAAGAAGGAGCAAAAAGGGTTTTCTTGTGTGTGTGTGTTTCCTTTGTGGCTGATTAGCTGCTCTCCCTGTGCAAAGGTCAGAGGGGGCAGGGTTTCTGTTGAGGCAGGTGATTAGCTGTGGGAGGAGCTTATCAGAGCTTGCAGTTTGATCCATCTTTTAGATTTAGGGGAGCTAGCCTCAAACGTTTGTTGGGGGAGACCTAGGTTTTTTTGTGGGGGGAGTTATTTATCCTGTCTTCATGCTTTTTATGATGGAGGACCGCTGTAGCCACCCCCAATGACACGTTCTCAAGATGGAGGGGGAGGGAACAGCTGCAGTCGCCTGCGGTTCCTGCACAATGTTTGCCATCTTGCCAAAGGTTGCAGGCAGCTTTACCTGCAGCAATTGCATGTTGATTGCCCTCTTAAAAGACAAAGTCCAGCAACTGGAGGAACGTGTAGCTACGCTCCAAAGAATTAGAGAGCTGGAGCTCTTCTTGGAAGCAACAGAGCACACCGTCTCCACCAAGGAGGAGACGGGACTCCCCTGAGAAGGAGGCTAGTTCACCAACACAGGAGCCAGATATATGGAGAAACATGACTCAAAGAAGTAGGAGGCCCAGGGTTCGCTCTGATTGTTTAGAAATACACAATCGCTTTGAGGTCCTCTCCCCTAGCATGGAAGACGAAGAGCAGACTCCATTTGAGGATCTCTCCCTCATTACAGTCGATCAGGTATATGAAGACGAGCAGCAAAGTCAGTCCTCAGGGAATGTGCAGGCGACCTTGGAACGGACAGCTCACGGAAGAACCCCGACCAAACCTAAGAGGAGGCGTGTAGTGGTGATAGGGGATTCCCTACTGAGGGGAACAGAAGCAGTGATCTCTGGGCCTGACAAGATGTCTCGGGAAGTGTGCTGTCTCCCCGGAGCTAAGATCCAAGATGTAACTGAACAACTGCAAGGAATCATAAAACCCACTGACAAATACCCCTTCCTCTTGGTTCATGTGGGAACCAATGACACTGCAAGCAATAGCCTCCAGAAGATCAAAAGAGACTACGAGGCTCTGGGCAGGAAATTGAAGCAATTAAATGCACAAATTGTCATCTCATCTGTCCTCCCAGTTGAACGACGTGGCCCAGGGAGAGAGGGAAAATAGTGGAAGTGAACAGCTGGCTTCGCAAATGGTGTAAACAGGAACGGTTTGGATTCTTAGATCACGGACTGCAGTTTCTTGAAGATGGACTTCTGGCAAGCGATGGGCTGCACCTCACAACGGTTAGGAGAAATGTTTTTGCCAAAATCTCAGAAACCTCATCAGGAGGGCTTTAAACTGACTAATGTGGGGAGGGAGACAGTGCTCCTGAAGGTAGGAGTCTATCAATTGATGAAGATGATCATCCAAATGTCATAGACCAAATGGAGCAAACAACACGCAGACCTAGTGGTGGGAGGAAAAATCTTTAAATAAGAGACACGGGGAATGATTAATGGACTTCAATGTCTGTACACTAATGCGCAAAGCATGGGAAATAAACAAGATGAGCTTGAGCTCTTGGTACAGCAAACTAAATATGACATAATAGGCATCACTGAAACCTGGTGGGATAAGTCCCACGATTGGAATGTAATAATAGGGGGATACAATCTATTTCAGAGAAACAGACCAGACAAGAAAGGAGGAGGAGTGGCGTTATATGTCAGGGATGTGTATACCTGTGAAGAGATCCAAGATTTAGAACCTCAAAGCCAAAGTGAGAGCATTTGGGTCAAAATTAAGGGAGAGAAGAATAACAGTGACCTCATTGTGGGAGTTTACTATAGATCCCCAAGCCAAACGGAGGACATAGATGATGCCTTCCTGGAACAGATGGCCAAGCATGCAAAAGGAAGGGAGATAGTAGTAATGGGGGACTTCAATTACCCAGATATTTGTTGGATGTCAAACTCAGCCAAGAGCATAAGGTCAAACAGATTCCTCACTGGCCTTGCAGACAACTTCATTGTCCAGAAAGTGGGAGAAGCAACAAGAGGAACAGCCATTTTAGATCTGGTCCTAACCAATGTTGATGACCTGGTTAGTGGGGTAGAAGTGGAAGGATCATTAGGCGCGAGTGATCATGCTCTTCTGAAGTTTATTATACAGCGGAAAGGAGCAGCCAAGTATACTAGGACTCAATTTCTTGACTTTAAGAAAGCCGACTTCATAAAACTTAGGGAAGTGCTGGGTGAGATCCCATGGACAGTAATACGAAAAGGAAAGGGAGTTCATGATGGCTGGGAGTTTGTTAAGAGGGAGATAGTAAAAGCACAACGTCAGGCAATACCAATGAGACGCAAACATGGAAGGTGCCTAAAGAAGCCAGGGTGGCTATCTAAAGAACTTTTAACTGAGTTAAGATTAAAAAAGGATGTGTACAAAAAATGGAAAAGGGGGAAACCACCAAAGAGGAATTCAAACAAATAGCCAGCACGTGTAGACACAAAGTCAGAAAAGCTAAAGCACAGAATGAACTCAGGCTTGCTAGAGAGGTTAAAAGCGACAAAAAGGCTTT